GCGTGAAACCCAACAAGAGGCATTACAGAGTATGCTCTGTGCACACTTAACTTGTAAATCAGCGTACAATCATGTATAATAACATGTATAATGTACAGATGTCAATGCACTGTTGTTATAATGTACTATCTACCCTCGCTGTGGTGGGCCCTCAGGATCGGATGGATCATCGGGGTGCGGCAAAGGACCCGAAGGTCTGGCGGAAACGGCTCCTCGCACTCGGTGGCAGTGAGCGCGGGTGCTGGGGTTGAATGCAAGGTTACAGCTAGTCAGACAGACGCTGTTTTACCACTCTCGCACAACACAACTGACTCACCCTACATTGAGTAGTCAGCACACCAATAAACGCAATGTACAATGTCCAAATGTAATGTAAATATTCTGGCAGATCTCCACCAATCCCTAGGAACTCACAACCATTTAGAATACTCCATACAAGGCCGGATATCCGCGCACGCTGTGCAAGCGCGGTCCTCTGATTAACCTGACGGCGCGGCACTGTGCAGTCGGCCGGACTACCTATATGTTCCTTGATGGTTGTGACATAATACATGCAATTGCATATTTGCTAGGGCCAAATAGAAATAGTCCTTGAGACCTTGGTAGGCAGTTGCATGCAAGCTAGTTTCAACATGTGTTGAACATGTTTAATCGCTGTGACCTTCAGTCACTTGGATTTGACCTTTTAGGATTAAGTTAAGCACACCAAATAGCATGCGAAATGGTGCTCCAGCCAACGCATGAACTCATGCACCAATTATTGTACGATTGAATGCAACTTTTGTTGTACCACTCTCTACATCCATTGATACAACAATAGATACAATAACCGCAGCATGAAAACGAAGGCAAGTTTTGAGTGATGGAATATAATTTTCTGGGCTGGTGTTTTAGTTATATGTATTGAGGGGATGTCATGCACTACATCGAGTTGGTGCCTTGGCCACTGCACGGTTAGTCTTCACAGTGTTGGGTTTTGTGCCTTGCAAGCAATAATTTTGCAGCGCCCGTTCAAGATCAAATAGTGTTGAGAATCTATGGGTTGATTAAAAAAATAAGCAGTAGCGAATGGGCGTCTTTTTAGGTGACGAACTCTTATTCTTCTTAGCGTCCACAGAAGGGTGCATAGTGAAGGTGCAAGTGGATAATAGATCATGTTAGTAGCGTCCATTATTCTTGAAAGATTTTGTTTTCGTTCGTTTGTTTTTGTTTGTTTTTGGACAAGGATTTCCGTTGCAGGTTAGCATTCATTCTGTTTTCCGTTCCAGGCGTTTTTTTTCCTTTGAACGTTTTTTCACCCTTTTTGGGACACGAGCGAGCAGCCAGGAACGTGTGCATTGGAGCGTGCCCGCAACGGGCTGTCCGCGCTGGGAGGGGCGAGGGCGAAGCCCAAGGCGGGGGGCTGCCCAGGCGCTGGCTGCCGGCGCCTTGGGTGTCCTGCGATTGACCGCCGATTGACCGCCAATTGACAGGCGCCAGAGCGGGTGATCGCAGCAGCGAGGCGCGTCGTGGGATCGCCTGGTGTGTTGGCCGAGTTTGGCGCCTCGATTGCCGCTGGGTCGCCGCTGAATCGGTGGCAACGGCCAGGCAGGCGTTGTGGGCGATTGAGTGGCATAAGGGCAGCCAAGTTTGGACACCATGGCTGAAGCAGTGGTATGGGGGGATAGTGCGATTGCCCGCCACTTTGTGGCCCCCCGGATTGACACCTCGCGGGCGGCGAATCACGCCGCCCGTGGGGGACTCGAATGCCCCCGCGCTGGTGGAGTGGTTGGCCGCCCACAAGCTCTGAAAAAGTTACACGGATCGGCGTCTCGCGGGTGCCGATTTGCATCGGCCGCGGTGGGCTACCGCCGGTGGCTTAGAATGGCGTCAAACAAGCAACGCGAATGGGCTCCCGGGAGGCGCCAAACCCACCCTCGGATTGATGCCTGGCGGGTGGGTAAACGCGCCGCCCGTAGGGGACTCGAACGCTCCCCTGGTGGTGGCCCGGCTGACCGCCTGTGAGCCACGGGAAGGGTACACAGATCGGCGCATTGCTGCCGCCAAATCGCGCCGGCCGCGGTGGCTTGGAATGGCGCCAATAGGCGACGCAAATGGGCACCCACGAAGAGCCAAAGGAGCAGCCCGTTTGGCACCTCGAGGGCGCCCGTTTGTGCCTCCCGTGTTCGGCTGGAATGGCCCCCCTGCCGGTTGCACAAAAGGGCGCCCGCGAGGTGCAACAGGCATGGGAATTTAGGCACCTCGCGGGCGCCCATTCGCGCCAGCCACGATCGCCTAGAACGGGCTCCGCCGATGGCGCGAGTGGGCGGCTGCTAGGCGCGAAATTCAACATAGGATCGGCGCCCCATCGGTGCGCAATCACACCGGGCGCCCACCCTTGAAACAGGCCCAGCGTTTGCGTGAGTAGGCGCCCGCAAGGCAGGATTGCCAGGAGGGTTTCGCACACTATGGGTGGCTATTCGTGCTACCCCCAATCGCCTAGACTGGGCCTCCCTGACGGCGTGAGTAGCCGCCCACAAGGCGCGAGATGCGCCGCACGATAGGCGCCCCACCGGCGCTCAAACACCCCGCCCACCCTGCCTTGAAGCGGCCCATGCTTATGGGGCACTTGAGCGCTCGCCAGTCGCAAGAAGCGCGGAGGGATTGGCGCCTCGCAGGCACCCATTCCCACTGCCCGCGCTGGCCTGCAATGGCCTCCGCCGGTGGTGGGAATGGGTGCCCGCGAGAAGGGGAGGCGCGCCTTGATTCGCTGCTTGCGGGCCTCCATTCCCGCTGCCCGCGGTAGCCTGGGCGGCTGGCGGGAATAGGCACCCACGAGCCGCAAGAGGCGCCGAGTGATCCGCGGGGAATGGCCGCCCAAGAGGCACGAGCTGCCGGCCTGATTGGCACCTTGCGGGGGCCAATTCCTCCTGCGTGTACTGCTTTGCAATAGGCCCCCAGCGTGGCTTGAATGGGCAGCTCTGGAGCTGCGCACCATCCAAGACTTGCGCCTAGTGGGCGTCCATTCCCGCCGTGGGTGCCTTTTTGGAACGCCCCCCCGATTGGCATGAATGGGTGCCGGCGACCCGCGAGGGGGGCCAAGTCGTCTGCGCTTCTAGGGCGCCCATTCGTGCCACCCACCATGGGCCGGAACGGCCTCCGTGGGTGGCGGGAATCGCCGCCCGCGAGGCGGGAGATCCGCACTCTGATTCGCCCGCCCTGGTCGCCCAATCCTGCTGCCCGCCACCGCGCTGGCCACTCCCTGCCCCGCTCTATGCCGTGCTGTTGAAGCCCGGTCGGTCTTTGTTCTTTTGGCTCTCGGGCGTGCCTGGTCCCTTGGGTCAGTCGAAGCGCCCTTTGTCAACGGTTGACGCAAACCTCGTTGCAGGTTGCCTTATTCGCGACCGCAAGTCGTCTGGCTCCCGCCCCTGTGCGCGCTTTGCTGCGGGCGCCGGCAAACCTCGCTCGGCGGCCAGGGCGATAGACGCCAATCGCCACGACTCAAAGTTCCCTTTTCCTCCCATGAGGCCATGGCGAGCATGGCTATGCGCGGGGCGGCGGGACGATGACGCACTTTGAAAAATCCGTGGCAGGGCGACTGTTGACACACGCAAGGGTTGCCGCAGTGCTTTGTGGCAGTACTGCATGTACGCATGTTTGACTTGCTGGGCGAATATTTAAATATTTAAAATTTTAAATACCGTCGGGTTAAAATGGACAGCCAGTGCCACTAAATTGGCCCCAAGGAATGTGGCTGTAACTACCCCCATGTATTTCCACAACACTGTCTGTCCGTCCACGAGTTCCGGAAAGGGCCGCGTGCTACGTTCTAGTGCTCGCGCTCCTTGCTTGGGCCCTGTGCTTGAAATCGTGAATGGTGCACCTAGAGGCTAAACCCCACAGGCAGCGACTTGCAATGCGAATGGCGCCCGCTGGGCCAGCCACGACCATGGCCATGGGTGTCGAGGTGCAGAACTAGGGAACTGCGGAACTGCGGAATTGTGGAACTACGGAGGGGAGGTACCAATGCCACTTCCCATGACTTAGCCGTTTTGAGGGGGGCACACGGGGGGCGCGGCTCGCCCCTGGCTAGGGGCGAGCGGGGCCGGCCCGGTGTAGGGAGGCCCCGGTCCGGGGCCTCCCTAGAGACATTGGAAAGCAGCGACTAGATAATGTTTCTCGCCAACGACGGGCACCAAAAAGCCGGGTCAAGTTGTCCGAATGCCGGTTGCTGAGGCTAGGACCTAGGGTGCACGTGACTTCGGGCAAGCACCGTTTTCTTGCAAGACGTCACCGATTTGGTGCACGCAGTAATTTTATTTTATGCCTTGGCTATCCTTCGGTGATGTCACTCGGTCGCCACGGGTTCTTCTGAGATGTAGACTTCAAATTACCGCTTCAGGTGAGGCGGCAGATGCCGCCTTTTTCCAACACGGTGTAGCATTCTTTTTTACGCTTTTTGCTCCCGGCGCGTTTTGAAACTCCCGGCACAACCTTTTCTTGTCCACAAAAGCACCCCCCCGCTGCCCTCCCGCAAGGGTGGACGCCACATCATCGCCCTCCTGTCGCCCCTTGTCCGCTTCGTCAGTCATTGACGCGCACCCTCGGCCCGCTCGGATCACAATGAAGGCAAGGTTGTCGCCCTCACCGCCACAAAACCCGGCAGCCATTCTTTTGTGTCTGGTTCGGCGCTGTTGGTGGGTTTGCGGGGCTTGGCTGCCGCAAGGTTTGGCGGGGTGCACCACCCCTGCTCATGCGTTACCGGGGCTGGGACAGGTGGCTGTGTGGCGCTTCCGGCTTAGCGGCTTCCAGGCGTTGCGACTGGACCAGGCGGTGCTGAATGCTGCCACGGTCGTTGGCTCCTGACCGCGCTTTGGTGCCGCTCCCATTGCTCGGTCCAACGCATCGTCCGAGATCCCGTCTTTTTGGGGCCAAGGGTGCGCTTTTCGGGCAGTGCCGAGCTGACGGCGCAGAGGAGCTGGGAGCGTCGATCGCTGCGGCGGGATGAGAGGTGGTCTCACGACAGAAGGCTCGGCGGCGGGGCTGCTGGCCGCGCATGCCGTCAAGGGGCCCCTGCACGCCCCAAGGCATGGCTTTGAGCGCGGTGCTGGGAGGACTGCAGCGGGGCACGGCTCTCCGCGATGCCGCGGGGCGCACTCCGCCATCGTCAGCGCCATTGGCCGTGACTTCTCGCCTGTGGGCGACTCTGCGGGGTCCGAATTCTCGGATGTCGGAGCAGGGGAGGACGACGTGCTGGAATGGCGACACGATTTTAATGAGCGCTTCCTGGTAGGAGATGTGATTGGGGAGGGCAACCAGGGGCTCGTGCGGAAGGCGGTGGACCGGGAGACGGGGAATGTGGCTGCAGTCAAGGTTTTGGCACGGGTGGCGGGGGCGGGGGGCATGAGCGCCGTGGAGGAGAAGAAGGTGCGCTCGGAGGCGAGGTTCCTGCGGCGCCTGCAGAGCTGTCCGGCGGTGGCCAGAATGTTTGGCGCATACGAGGACGACGAACACGTCTACATTGTCATGGAGCAGCTGGACGCGGGAAGCATGGCGGATGGGCTAGAGGAGGCGGGGCGATTCTCGGAGCGCGAGGCCGCGGAGCTCATGAGCGCGGTGTTCGGTTTCCTGGCGCACTCCCACGATCAAGGAATATTTTATGGTGAGCGTCGGAGCTTTTCGGGCTGAGTCGCGGGCCCAAGAACAGCGGGACCTTGCGCTGTCGACGGTGGGCTCACGGCACTGTGCTACCGATTGCCAACCGGTTTGTCAAGTGCCCCTGCTGTGTCTGGAAATGGATTGGAATTCCCTGGATTGCACTTTGGCTACAGCATTTGGCAATGCCAGTCCTTTGCCCCCTGCAGGCATTGATGGGCACAGCAGCCCCCAGCAAGTACTTGTTAGGCCTCCCTTCGTCTGCATGCTGCTGGTGTGGACGGAGTGCACACAGAGGTGGACAGGCATGATCTCCCAAGTTCCTCCAGGATTGGGAATTGTAATCCCTTGTGTTCATTCTCTGAGCAAGAGCTGTTGTTGCACTGAGCATGGCTCCCCAGTCAAGTGTTCAACTTCCTGACACCCTGGACGCTCTCTCCTATGCACGCAGGAGACGTGAAACCCGCCAACTTCATGCTGGGCAGCTCACCCTGCCAGGACTGCAGGCATCACTGCAGTTCTGGAAGGCTTCGAGGCTTGGCTGTGAAGGCAATCGACTTTGGCACGTGCCAGCAGAGGATCCCCGGCATACACTTCAGGAAGATGGCAGGCAGCCCCATGTACATGGCGCCAGAGGTGCGCCTGGGCCGATACGATGTGGAAGCCGACTTGTGGTCTGCAGGAGTGATGCTATTCCAGCTCCTAAGCGGCAGGCTGCCATTTGCTAAGTATGACGACACAGGGGAGCTCACTGACGCTGGCAGGCACTTGGGATTCTCTTTTGAGGGCGACCTCTGGGCAGGCGTGTCGGCTGAGGCCAAGGATCTCATCACCAAGCTGTTGGTGAGGATTCCGACACAGAGAATTTCAGCGAGGGCTTCACTGGATCATTCTTGGTTTCAGAAGGCCCTTGGCCCAGAGGAAAGCTACGTTGTGGGAAAGGAAACGTCCAGCATCGTGGTTGCTCCCAAAATGCGATCTGTGGCTGCCAAGGTAGAGCCCCTGTAAACTATACAACAGACATCTGGATTCAGGAAGTGTATAGAATCCCCTGTACAATTGGATTGACATTGGCGGTGCATTCTGGTTTGTTATTCTGGTTGGTTTTGATACAAAAAGATATTCCTTTGAGATAAATGAGGGTGCTGGCCATTTTTGGGCCATCAGGTGATGGAATGCAGATGAAATGACGTGAGTTGGCTGCTTCCAGGTTTGGGTGGGCTTGTTGGCTGTCGTTTGGCTGTGTTGTCATGGGGGAGTTCCCAGTGCATTGTGGTAGATTCTGATGGAGGGTGCTGTTGACGTTGGGTTAAGGGGCTGTAGGATGAGCTGGGGTGCTAGTGGAACGGATCATACAATTGGATAAATTCCTTGGGAGTCACTCATCGCTGTGTTTTGTATTCTTTTTGTGGGAATGGTGTCTGCTGTGTGTGGGCACCTTGCCATCAATAGTTTCCACTTTGTTTCACTTCATCGTTTCGTCGGAACGGAATTTTGGTTCTGGAGGCAGAGTGGCTTGCAAGTTTGGGTGCATCCCTCTGTAGCGCCTGGATCTTGGGCGACAGGGAGTTGTCTGGGATAGCTTGGGCACAGAATTTCTGTGACGAAAGGGGGCCTTGGTGAGTCTTCAAGAGGGCCAGGTCCTTGGGTGTCTGTATGGCATCACAGTTTGTGGCAGATAGTTCGGACGAGCGTGTCTGCCGACACTTGCTTCTGGACTACCTTCCTGGAAGGGGAAAGTTCAGGCAAGATTTTGCAGGGATTTCGCAAGATCCTGAGGATCTTGCGGTCATGGAACCTCCAGAGCGGGGCAGGCAGTGGCTATTGTTCTGCACTCTGGAGGTTTGCTTTCTCCCACATAGTTTTCACACTGGCCTGTGGGAGTCGTTTATCGCTTTGACTTTTCTTAGGGCTTTGGTTCCTCAAAACAGGAATCAGTTTTGGAAGCTCGAATTCACCTGTAGCACAGTGATGAGGAAGAGTTGTGGTGTTCCCAGTTGATGACCCGGGTGTGTGGGGTACAGTTTGGGTTCAGTGCGCGCAAGCGTCAGCACAAGAATGCATCGGCATGGCGCCCTGGGCTTTGTTGCTCAGATGGAACTGCGTTGCTTAAGGAGAAATCTGTTGTGAACTCTGATGCGAGCTCAGGAGTCCTTTTTTTCTCTGCTGTAAGCATTCAGAACCGAATTGGGGAGATGCACTTTTGGGTTTGGGCTCTGTATCAAAGTGTTTTAAAATCCCAAGAAACCGCACCATGCAGACGAACACCCCTGACCTACCAAGAGAGAATTGGGGCTTTTCTGCTTGACAGCGCCTATGACCACCAACAGGAAGAATGAAATCAAAGCCGTGAGCATGTACGAGAACCACAAGCACGCCCTCCAGGGATGTTCGCAAGATTTTGTCACTGTCCTTTCATCATAGCACAATGTGACCGCACCAAGTAGCACATCATCTATTGGCGTCGTCTACTGACGTATGCGTTGTGATGCACAGGCTCTATATCCCTGCGCGTCTGATCTCCAAATTGCACAAACGGAGGTCAATACGTGTGGGTCGGAAATTAGACCCAAAAAACCTCAAAGCACCATATCAAGAGTTATCCATAGAGCTTATTCGAGTTGTCGCAAAATGGATTGTAATGAACAAACATCTTTGCTTTAATGGTACTCACCTTGGTGCATTCACAACCGGATGGCCCAAGTATGCCACCGTTTCGGTCGTAGAAAAGGCATTCTATGCCAGTGCTTTAAAAGAGCTCAAAAACTCCCAAGTGCGAATGCACGAGAGGCACGGGAAAGTGCTGCAAAATTCACAGAACATTGCTTTAAAATGGGGTTGCATCGGTTGACTCAGATATTAGCGCTTGGAAGCCAGGTAACCAGGATGCCGGAAAGATGATGTGATGCATCCCTCTGCACCTGGATTGCGAGTAAAATACTGCAGTACCTTGGGAACCCATGACAGGGTAGTCAGCCGGATCCCATCCAGCGCACAGGACGCGGCTATGAAGGACGCAACAAGAACAGCGTGCGTAACCATTTCGCTTGCACACCTGGCTGTACGAGGCCAAAAACAACATGATGAAAGGGTTGCAACCCCTGGGAGTGTGGTGCGAGAGCTGGAATAGGAGCTCGAAAAAGCAGGCTGCTGGTTGACTAAGTGGCATGTCGGGAGGCCACTTGATGGGCGACTGGAGCGGGGGATCGACTGTTCCATTAGACAACGTAAGATTGCTGCAGGACGCCAAATTGTTTTTCCTCCATTGTCTGAATATGTCGAGCTCCACTGGTTCTCTACAAATGGGATAGAGAAGCGCAGGAGGTGCACGACCATGGGATGGATGGGTAGGTTCAGATCGGACAGACCCAAGTGAGCGCATTGAATAATAAGCTCTATGTGGAGGTCCACGGCAAGACAGCGAGGACTGCGGCACATCGTGAGGAATGACAGAAGGCTGGGCGGATGGTGTTCAAAGCCCCCACGTTGTATATGCAAGCGTAATTAGTGGTTAATGGGTTAGATGGGCAAACATAGGCAACGGGTGAGAATCGTAATTGTATCAGAACTGGTTTTCAAAGGTTGTCTGCTTGTCGCGAAGTGGCCACGGGCCACACATTGTAGTTACTAATTTTTCTGATGAGCCCCATCTATTGGCGACCCGAACAGGGATCAGAAAAGGCGATCTACCTGTAAAATATTGGCAATTCTGGTTTTTAAGAATACCACAAATCCTGTTGGTGGCGATTGTGGTTGTGGTCATTGTTGCCTTGACTAAGTGGAAATTGGGTGATTTAAGCGGATTTCTGCCTAGCCTCGTTGTCATTTTGACAACTGCCTCACGGGCAACACCACACTGCATGTTCAACAAACGACATCAGAATTTGTTTGCATTAGTTTTAGCGTGCAAAACACACATGTACTTTTTTGTGGACAGCAACACCTGGGCTCTTGGGTGCGCACTCGCAGTTGCCCTGTAAAATAGTTTTCAACATCCATCTATGGGGAACCAACCTCGAATCTGATTTCAGAGCTGTTGCATGAACTGGGTCCATGCTCTTGAGGGAACTCCCTTGAATAGGATACAGTGGTGATGGTGATGGTGCCATCGTGTGTGTCGCTACTTCATCATTCGCCCACACCAATCAAAATTAACCCAACTGCATGGCACACGCTGCTTTGGCAGCTCATCCAAGAGGGTCTTGCGCTGGGTGCAAGCACAAGTCCACCACTCAAACCTTTCCCACTGTCACATGCACACGCCCAACACTACATGCTGCCCCACCCTGCTGTTCATCCATGAAAGCCCAAGCCCACATGGAATCTCCTGTTCCTCTCTTGGTTCCATGCCCACTCTAGTCTCAATGGCCCCACCGGGGAGTCCACGCGGAAGCCAACACCATACCCGTATCCCTTGCCTGGCTTTCCCCTGTTGTTGGCTGGGTTGCCAATGACTGTTGGCCCACTCTTCAGGTCGGTGCCATAATCGGCAAAAAGGGTCCCCTGGATGTTTGACACAAGCGGGACGTGAAGCTCGGCAGTGCCCTCAAGGTAGTGTCGAGCCGTCCCGACGCCCCCTTCTACGTAGCCCCGCACAGAATTCGTCCCGCCCAGCGGGAATGCTTCATATGGCGGCAAGTTCCCCAAGACCATTCCGCCCTTACCATAGGCCATCAGGGAGACTGGGCCCAAGGACACCAGCTTCTCAGCACGTGCCTGCAACTTGCTTATGTTCAGCCAATCTGGCCGAATGTTGATCGCCTTCTCTGCTGACACCACCAGCTGCGTGTTGTCCAGTCCACCAAAGGCTGCCCGCACAAAGCCTGCCACCATGTGGTCGTGGTAGTCCCCGCTACAGTTTACAGGCGCCTCGGCAAAGTCTTGCCTCACTGCCCTGTTGTTGTCATCCATCAGCGTGACCCTCTGGGCCGAGACGCCCACTGTGGCACTCCACCCGACCGGAAGCGGCCGGCTAAATTCGCAAGTGCCGATCAACCTTCCGATGATGGTGTTGCCCCACTCCACACCACTCCCCCTCGCTGCACTCTCCCCGTGCCCGTAGATCGGGTTGCCTGACGTTCGGGTGTTCATCATCCCCATCGTCCTGGATGTGCGGTACCTATCCCCCAATATCCATGGGTCAGTGTGCTGTAGCTTGAACAATTTGTCAATCTGCCCAAACTCCATCGATGCTGTCAGCCTCTGTCCCAGAGAGAACAGGTTCTTCTGGTTGTAAGAGATGTTGCCAATGAATCCTGGCAGGGCACCTTCTGTGTGTGACTGCCCTGACACACCCGCACCGCAGGTCATCCCGCCTGTCTTCCTCTCCCTCAGATTCACAACAAGGTCCACCTTGGGCCGCTGCGGATCCATTCCAGGGGACGATTGGGGGGTGATGTTGACATCGTCAAAAAGCCCGGTGGAATATATGGCCTCGACATCACGCTTGCCCTGCCTCATGTTGTAGACAGAACCATCGCGGGTGGCCATCTGTCGCAGAACCACTTCAGATCGCACAGACCCATCGTCCTTGATGTCGCCGGTTTTGGCATCCAGAAAGCGGAGATCTACCCGCCCAACAGTGGCCTCTGCGAACTGCACATTGGCTTGCCCTTCAGTAAATGACACGTCCATCACCTGAGGCACTACAGCACAGTGCGCTCTCAGGCATACCGCGCTTCAGGTGCACCGTTGCTGGGATCATTCCCAACATCATATATGCCAGCGGACTTGCCAGACAGCTTCACACTGAGGGCTCTCCGGATGAATTCCTTGCAGCTCCAACTTGCAGAAGTAAAGAGTTAGTAATTCACTGTTTCTTGCTGGCATGGGGAATTGTGTGCCATTATGCAGCATCTGCCAAACATGGCCAAGCAAAAATCTTGCTAGTATTGCTCTGCAAGCAGCTGCCAGACTGTGTTGTTCTCATTTTGTGAGGATAGCGATTGAGTAGGTGAAGGGTCTCTTGTATCAAACAGCATGTTCACCATCAGCAGTCGTCACATTAGCATATTGTGTCCCCATCGATGAATCCATACATCAATCTCTAGGGTGCAGTCATGAAGGTGCAGGCTCTGGTGACCACTGCACCAAGCCAACAGACAGCCGATGCATCCCCTAAATGACAGCATTCGAAATTCCACACAATCCTGACTTTGGCTGGAAGTGGGCAAAGGCTCGTGGTTTGACATACATGCTTGTGCCCTGGTGCAGGCACGGCCGTTTCGATGCCTAGTGACTGCCCTGTCGACGGAGGTGGGCAACCCCAAGGGTTGGAGAGTGCGCTGCGTTTCCCTGCACTGCATTTGCAAAAGAAGCCTTGCACCCTGCATGCCACGACGGGCAACGGCAGCAGCGGGTCACCCACCTGGCCCAGGACGCCGGCGTCCTCGTACCAGCCCACGATCTTCCTCACCGCGTCGCCGAAGGTGTTAAAATTCAGAGTGCGGCCATGCAGCCCCCTGAATGCGTCCTCGAACACCACCTGCGGCAGCACGTCCCCCCCTGTCGACACGATGCTCTTCAGCTCCGGGTTGGCCTTGACGATCAGGCTCAGCTTCACGCCGTCGCGCGTGTCCTCCGGCTCTGGCCGTATCTCCTGGAAGTAGCCCGTCGCGAACACGCGGTTGAGGTCCTCCTGGATCTCCGCGAGAGTGTACGCGAAGTTGGGCTTGGTCACCAGGGCGCCCTCAGCGATGGCCTTCAGCGCGCCGTCCAGCCCCACCACCTCCACCTCGCTCACCAGAATGCGCTCCTCGGGATCCGCCCGCCGTGGCATGGCCACCCCGCTGCCATCAGCCCCGCCTGCATCATCCCCGGCGGAGGACGCCGGGCGAAGGCCCGATGAGATGCTGGCGAAGCCCACCGGGCGCAGGGCGACGCGATCCTGACCCGCTGATGGGCGCCCCGACACTAGGAGCTCGTCGAAGGGGGAGGGGGATGCGCGCACGATCGCCCCCAAGGCCCAATGTTCGAGCCGGCGGGCGGTGGTGCCCAGGGCGCAGGCGAGCGCACGCGAAGCGGCCCCCAGCGCGTGGGGCCCCCGGGCGGGGCGGCGTCGCCGGCGGGGGTTGCCCAGGGGCGCCACCGCCCTGTTGGGATTGAGCATGGCGACCGCGCGGGGCTGTGCAGCAACCCCCTGCCCCTGCTGCGGAGGCAGCCGAAGGGCTCCAGTGCGCGTTTTTGATTTTCTTTGCACGGTACCAAGTTTCATTTCTTGGTGGAAAACCAAGAAAACACGCAATTTGCGCGTGCGACACAGCTGTGCCAGAGGCTCGATGGTGTGGCGAATTCTCGACTTCTTCTCCCGTGTTGTTTAGTTTGAGTGTGTTTGGTAAGGAACATTGGCCGTTTGGTGTAGAGTAGACTAGAAGGTAGCCCTTCATGTGAAACCCCCGTGCGTGAGCCCTCTTACAATGCGTTTAGCTGGACTTGGAGCACTGGGTCGGGAGGGTCGCCAATTGTGGAACGCTGTGCCGATAAACGTGGATTACGGTGGATCGGCACGCCAAGAACCAGGACTGCATTGACGGGCAAAGTTGAATGCATCATTTCTGAGCGTTCATTGAGTTGGTCGTTGGATCTTGATTGTGAGCCAGCCGCAGGGACTGAAACAAACTTGCTGGAGACTGGCCTGAGCAGGGTGTACCAGCTGGGAACTAGTTGATTTTTGATCTGTCGTGACTGAGGACTAGTTCACAGAGTTCTGCAAGGGTTTTGTGACGAGGGATCCTTCTCGATGTGTTGGATAAGAATCAGGACTGGTGCTGAAATCAGTAGATACATCTATGCAACAGTCGTCCTTCTAGATCTCTTCTGGGCCCACCACTCTCGCTTTTGTGTTTTCTACAAGCGCTTTTTAAATTCACCCTTGAGTGCCTCTGCCGTACTCTGTTTCACTGCGCGAACGCGGTGCGTGTTGCCAAATATTGGGATCATTTCTGTCGGCAACAACTATAGCATAGGAGATCGCAGACAAATGGGCTCTGCATCAGGGAATGTTGCGTAGTCCGCAACATTAAACAACAACTGGTGGTGTTAAAACTGCCGTCATTCATGTGCACCGGCACATCAAAGGCGGGTTCGTGACGGACACAGGGTAGCTGATTGGCCACTATTAACAATCAGTCAAGATGAAAATGGAAAAAGGGGAGAAGGGACAGGTGAAAGAACAGATACATGTTGTCTAAAAAGGCATGATGGAAACTTTTGAATATGGTGTAAACGACATATTAATAAAGCGTCCGAAGGTCGTCATGCCTTTACAATTTGTGGTGCTTGACTGGATGCCTGAACGATAGTCATAGGAAAATGACTGAGGAGACGACGAGGCAGTACAACGTTCCACCAGGTTGCACATTTTCAGATGCGCTGAAAAGCGGTGAGGACATCCAACTGGAGCTCGACTATTCATAAACATGAAGGCTCAAATTTTTATGAGGGGCGACATGTTTATTTTGCGAAAAGGCAGCGCCGGGAGTCTGAATTTGAACACCGCAGATACTTCCGTTTAAGAGCAGCCCCGAGAATATGGATTTCACAGCTGTGTGAATGTGTACTTTATAACTGTAATCTCACTAAGAGTCTGACTGAAGAAAGGCAATCGTCTCCATGCGTGGATAAGCTGTATTGAAGCGCTCAGACCAGGGATGTCACCGGGAGTCATGGGCAAGAATCAGATGAGCAAAGCATGCACGAAAGGGCCTATCGTGGATTACAAAACATTAACATGAACGGAAAGTATGTTCATTGATACACGTTGTGCACAGAATGACTGAAAAATTGGCAGTTGATGCGTGGACAGCATCTAAAGATAAACAGAAAACAAACATAGTGCAGCGCTGCTGGAGTTGGGGTATGATTCAGTGCAAAGGCTTGCAGCTTGACACGTTTAAAAGTGATCGAACACAATAAAGACATAGGCTCTGACGTAAGGTGTCGGGCACATCGGCCCTAAAATGTGTCTATCGAGAATGTTGGGCCTGGAGTCATGTGGCCATGCAATGCAAAGAATATGCAAACTGTTATGGCTATCACAAGCCATCTTCTGGCGAGTTTAGTAGAACCTGGTTAAAGGCTGTGCGGTGATGAAAGGCTAGTTGAACATTACAGTAGTGCGCTAAGAGCTTGATAGCTGCGAAGGTGACTCCGAGCAATGAGCCACGAGCACTGAAACAATGAGCCAGGATGGCCCGACAATTACGCACACGTCACTCCGTTGAACTGGACAGTGACTACGATTGATGCGACGGGTGGTGGGCGCACCAGGGCATGGTGCGCGGGGAGAGCTGCAGCCATCTGAAACTCATTCTGATGAAGAAATATGGCTCATGGAGCACCACAATGCCGCAAGACGGATAGGCTGATTTGCAGCCTTGAGGCACCTGAAAGATTTGCTTAGAAATACAACTAAAACCCAGCTCCAGTCTGTCACAACCCTCCTTAGGCTTCACGAAGGGGGGGGAGGACGCCCTTTGCATTAACGTTCACTTGCATATTAGTGAAGCAGTTTGACTAACGTCCATGTTTGGATGTCGCGTTGTGATGAAGCCCGACCACCATGCGTCGCTTTGTCCTCCCACTGTGCCACAGCTGCCCGTTCCCGGCCATTCCTGCGGCCTGGGCCCACGCAGCGAAACCAAAGGAACGATTGCCCCAGTAAAGCCACCGGCGATCCGGCACTCCCTGACCGGCAGAAGGGGCCCGCAGCCCCCATCCGGGCGCCTCGGCGGGCGCATCGCCCGCAACCCGAAAAACCACGCTCGCGCCTTGTGACAACGGCCTGTGTGAACCTGTTGTTGTTGAAACTGCCTATCATTGTGAGAGTGACAATCCTCATCAGAAAGCTATACGAGGCACCTACCTGTGTTGTTGAGTCGTGGATGCGTGGGGAATCACTCCAGTTAGCCAACTTGGCCCGTGAAGTTGCCCGCATGAAGGGCCAGTTGAGGTTTTTGTGGAACTCTGAGCGAAACCGGCGTGCTCAACATCAAAGAGAGCAGTGTCGCTTCACAGCCCCGACGCGTTCCGTACCATGAGTGGCTGCAGGACCTGTTTGTGGTCCTAGTCACTTCCAGCTGACTTGCGCCCTTCTGCGTCATTTTGTAAGCTGCATTGTGTCCCTTGGTTGTTTCTGTATTGAGACCTGGGTCGGGGACACGTTGTGAAGAAGCATCTTAGTTCTGACGATGGCTCATCAGACTCATTTGGCAGCCACAATGATGGCCGTCGAACAGGTGGCATAATGATCGAAGTTAACGCAGAGGGCACAGGCCGTGAACTCTTGTAGTTGCTGTAAATCGAACAAAACCAAGGAGCTCAACAGCCTGGGTGCATTCGACCTTGACACAGTATAGGTACGCTGTCTTCTGGTGCTGCTATTCGGATTAGCGGTGATTGACCACCGGGCCGGCACTGTCCGTTACCGAATTGTAATCCGATGCCTGAAATTCAATGATGGCACATGAGAACATCCCTCTCAAACGGAATGTCATCCACAGCGTATTTGCGTGGCGGTCACTTTTTTTTGATGTTTCATTTGCAACTTTCCAGTTGACACAACTGGGGTGGCTGGGTACTGATGTGCTGTGAAACTCAATGAGAAAATTGATAACAGAATTGGGAGTCAGATTAAAGAGATGAAGTCTGGCACCAAGAACCCCACAGTTATTGGCCGGTCACGTGCTCGCTGACATATGATGCACTCGTCGGCCTGATCGAGACGGTGGGAGGACGGCTGCCCAACCATCAGCTTCACTTTAACTGATTTTGTTTTTTGGGTTGGTGCTGTGGGTCGGTGCTGTGCATTAGTTCTGCAGGTCAATGCTGTGGGTGGTGCTGTGGGATAGCGAACATGTTACGCATGAGCCAAGGGTGAGTTGGGTCCGCCAATCTGAGCACGAAGCGTGGTGGCTGCAGAAAGGGCGTACTACAGTACTCAAGGGATGCTTGATTTGTTTGGGTGTCGCTTTGTTCAGGGACGGCCTGTTGCAACGACCTTGTGGCGGCTCTTGGGGGCGCTCGTGAGAGTATTGGACGGCGTCCGTTTGTGGCATGTTGTGGCCGTCGAGCCATGCGCATTCAATTGCGACGGCGGCATCTCAAACTGGGATGGCCAAGGAACTTCGACAGCTGCCACAATGGTGCCGATGTAGGTGTGTGCAATGGAAGTTGCCAATCGCTGCAGCGTACTGCACAGGTGGGAACGTGTCAGCGGTCTTGTGCAGGGGAGACTGCCACACACAAGCAATCGTTGTTGGATATCGAAGGTAGTGGACAGGACGTCGTAGTGTTCGCAAGCAAATTGGCATCGGCATATGGCATTGGGCATCGACAACTCGATCGCATGGCCGCAAGCACGCGTGTACTGATCAAACAATGCATTAAAAGAGGGTGCACACTCCTGATGCAAAAGGAGCCCAGCAGTGCTGGATACATTGTTAGAGCCCCGTGCCCAACAGAACCGTTCTCACACTACCTCCCCTTCGTAGGTACTTCAATTCCTGTCGTAAGCGGCGCCTAACGTGCACTAGGCCCACTGGATTATCCTGGGACGAGCACCCGTTCGTTATGGTGGCCGAAGCCTTATGACTTATGCTTTATACCCCAAACTCCTTGCACGTGCACGGAGGGTAGACCCTTCCCAACCTTGTATCCCGAACCCTTGTATCCCGACTCCAAATAGCCGTGGCTGAACCCCAACACTTTTGTCACCCCAAGTTCCGTATCGGTGCAGCACCTCATCTCTCACAGCCCCGGCTGTGGCGAACGACAATTCGACACTGAAACACAATGGTCAGGCCCTCACAAATTCAACATCCATCCTGTGAAACAAGTGATAGGGGTCCAGCTGCCTGCTGCCTTCCCCTTGTTCCTGTGACCCATCCTGCAATACGATCACAGCAGGCCGCATATAGCCCCCAAGAACCCGAGAACTCATCCCCCCAAACACATAGCTGCCGCTCTTCCACACGCGCCCGGCAACGATTGGCCCGGAGGGCCCATGAAATGTAATCAAATGCTCTCCCACTCCCAACCATACAACCGACCACGCGACAGCCCAGCAGCCATTTCTCACATTCCTCCATGCTACGAATGGACGCACAGAAGGTCACCCCATTGGCTGCCTGAGCGGTCGCCGACCCTTGGGCCGCACGGGCCCTTTATGCAGCCGCGCCGAGCGGCGGTATCCAAAACTGAACCCAGCAGTACCGTGGACAAGGTTCCAGTTAAACATCCTGCAGGGTTGAAGAAGAACAAATTCGTCCACTCTCACGTTGGAGTCTACCTTTAGAGCTCCCAGACGCCTTCGACGACAAGGCCCACACGGCACTTCCCCCTGCCCACTCAGTGGGTATAACGCACCAAGGCGTGATTAACTCTTTTTACAACCCCCACCCCGCCCCCAAGGACCCACCATCACGGGGGAGTCCAATTAAGAAAAAAGCCCCACCGCACAGCCGACTACGACCGTGCGGGACGTCCGCCATGGAAGCACACTGTTTCATCTATTTCCGGTTTCTAGCTAGGAGCACCAGCCCTCAAGCGCCCGGCACCACCCCGCGAGGTTATACCTCCTCCTAAGGATGGGCCTGACGTCCGGCACCCTGGCCAGCAGGTGCAGCGTGGGCAGGACGTCCTCCAGCAGGTGCCGGTCGCCCGGCTCCCCGAAGAACGACTCGCACAGCAGCCCGTTGTCCGGCTGCAGCAGGAAGGAGTACGGGTTGTTGTCCACCAGCACGGTGCGCGCCAGGTCGCCGCCCAGCCGCGCTAAGTCCTTCACGTGGTCGTGCACGCTCGTGGCCACGGTGGAGTCCCTGTACAGGCTGCCCAGGAAGAACCGCCCGTCGGCGTCCAGCATCTGGATCAGCGGCCGCGCGTAGTCTGCGTCGCCGGCGGTGTATACGTACACGTTCGCCAGCCTGGACACGCGGGCCAGGAACTCGAGCAGCCCGGGGCGCAGGAAGGACACCACCGTGCTGCCGCCCCCGCAGTCCACCTCGAGCCTGGCAAGGTGGCGGCACAGCTCCAGGTGCACCGGCACGTCGTCCTGCCCGTAGGACCTCACCAGGGTCTCGTCCAGGTCCAGGACCACCGTCAGGTTGGACGGCTCGTCGAGGAAGAGATCCAGCTCGCGCGGCACGGGGTGCGACTGCAGCCGCGGACGCTCGCGCGGCATGGACGAGTGGCGCGTCAGGGAGGCGTAGCCCGGCGTCCGCCGGCGCACGTCGGCCCTGGGCGTCTCCGGCAGGCCCGGGAACGCCGGGATGCCTTCCGCGCACCCTGCGCCCTCGCCCAGCAGCTCGTCGTCCTCGATCCCCGCGGCCGCCTCCTCCTTCTGCAGCAGCTTGGCCTCAGAAGCCAGCTGGGCGGCATCGTCCTGGTCGCACCCCACCCCCGTGGGATCCTCACCGTCCGCGGCAGAACGGGGATTGCCTCGGCACGCCGAGTCCAGGGGGCGATGCCGCCGGGCTGCATTCCAAGCTCTGGCGTGCAGGCCCAGGGATAGGATAAGGCCGGGCGCCAGCGCGGACACGAGGCCGCCGATCAGGAGCCACGCCGTCGCGGCCAGCGCGGGCAGCGCCAGCGTCCAAGCGGCCATCCCGTGGGCCCCGCACGCCCGAGGGCACCACCTAAGGGTTGGCGCCCCACCTCGGAGAGGGTTCGATCGTCGACGAAGGCCCAATTGCTACGTAGCGGCCTGTCTGCGAGACACACAGCGCGGTCTCAGCGACCGTGAGGGAGGGGGACGCCCCCTCGGCGATCGGCCAAAGGCTGGCCGGCCTCGAGCGGGGAGCGAGCGGCCCACCATCAGGGTTGCAAATCGCGCGTCAGACCGTCTGCTTCCTCCGCAAAGAATTCCATAGGGCGCAGCCCAGCTAGCCAGCCGGGCGTTGGTCCTTCGCCCGCTTACACGCCAACTCGCCACCAAAAAGCGCGAGGATGCGACGACCCAGCGTGTGCCGATTCGCGCCATCGGCCGCCGGTTCCCATTCGGGGGAAGGGCGGCCGGTCCCGCCCGCCCAACGGCGGCGCCGCCGCGCCGCCGGGCGGCCAGCCCGTGCGCCTACCTTTTCGACAAGAACCAGGAGAGCCGGTGGGGGAGCCGCGATTTTCCCTCAGCACCTCCCGCCCCCATCGGCGCCATGCTGCCTGTTAAGGAGCCCCGCCTTGCTGGGCGGGCCAGACGGCGGCACATCAAACTGACGTGCGCCGTCAAAATTTGGTCACGGAATCTGGTCCGCTGCTGTGGGGGTGCTTGCTGGGTGGTTGCTTTCGGAAGAGCATAAAGTACTATGGCACCCCCTCGGCCCGGTGAAGTACCCTTCGCAAGGGTGTAAAGTACTGTGGTGCTTTCTCCGCTTCGTAAAGTACTATGTGGAAGAGAGTAAAGTACTGTGGCACTTCCTGCAACCCGGGACAGTACAGCAAGAACCCCAGTTCGTCCCAGTCGCCATTCCTGTCTTCCATCACAGTGGCAGCGAGACCATGGCGAAGGGGGAGCAGGCGCGAGCCAAGAAACGGTGTGCGCCGGGCAAGGACCCTATATCGCAATGATTAGGCGCTCTGATGTGAGTGCTTGGCTGCAACACTGCCGCGTCGCTTGGCCGCAGGAAGACGGCCCGTGGGGATGGCAAGCTGGCGTCGGAAGCCAGCCGCCATGTGTTGCGAAAGGTGCGCCGTCGTGCGTGCGCTCCGGTCGCGTGACGTGTTGCCGTGAGACAGCATGGCGGGTTTTGAGAGACGCTCCTCACGTCTAACCGAAAAGCGTGTGTCATAAGTGTGGGCACCTGCTCAGTTTGAATGTCCGCTGAACAATGCAATCATGAAACGGGGATGCAGTTTATAGGGTGCCCACGCGCCATGCATGATTGGCCTTCGAATGTACGTGCTTTCACAGGCCAAGGCCGGCGGCCTGGGGAAAGTTGCCGGCTTCACCGATTCCAATGCTTCGTGGCTAAAGCCAAAGAGCAAACGTCACAAAGCAGCGGAGGCGGCCCAGGTTGCCCGGCCCGGTACGATGTCTTCGATGGATGGGAGAACAGCAGAAGCGATCAGATGCGACACACATGCACTGACTGGTTTCCATTTGCAATCAAGACATTGTCTGTGTGCATGCAGCGACTTTTCTGTGTGTGCATACTCCTGTGTGAGTTCACCATAACAAAGGGCCATCTCCGTGTGGGCTGGCAACAAAGGAAAGGAACCAGCTGTCCTTGGAAGTCGTGCCTTCTTTCCATTTACAGCAGTCGCTTATGTACACTTGTGTGCGCACTACGGATGGAAAGAAATCTAAAGTCTCAAGGGGAAATGGTTCCTTTTTCTTTGTTGGCATACCACTGGCCCCCACCCCACCCACCCTGAGGCAATGCTCTCTTGTTCTTTTGAACTCACACGGGAGAGTACACCGTTGCTGTTGATGCAAATTCAGTGACGCTATTGGGTCCCTTTTTCAACTGTATGGCTTGCCTGCAATTTCTTTGTGTATCACCAGCCCTCAAACAGTCTCACAGAGCAATTATTCAGCAACTGTAACTTTTTGTTTGTTGTCATGGTTGACTGCCTTGATGTTCTTATTGCATCTAGAGGCGCCCTGTAGTATTTTAACAGTGATGAATGCCTACTGGCCCATTGAGGTTGAAAAGGCACGATTGCCAGTGTGAATTACCATAATGGAAGAACATTTGATGTTGCAAGTGCGATTGTCTGCAAACAAATGCAGCTGTCCTGTAACCACATGCAAGGATGGGCTGCCTTCTACTCCACTGCCAGGATAACAAAGAGTTCTGCGGTTTTGAGTGCCAACTACACAGTCCATCATCAAAATCCTGTGGATGAGGTTGTCACAATTTACAAAGCATGTCTCTTGAACTTGACGGGTGATGATGGGCACAAATCCATGGGCGTTGCTTGTTTGGAGTCGTGGCTTCATGTTCACTTAACCGCATATTACAATTGGGCCATGAGAAGAAAATGGGTGGAAAAGAGAAAATCCCAGACTCTCCGCTTCTCACACTCACAAATGCTTGCTCCGTCAGATCCCAGGTTTTGTCATACATTTGAAAGCGAATTCTTGAAGTTTCCCGATGCCAGAAGCCATGAATTGAAATGGCAGTAGTCTAGAGCCAAGGAATTGAGCATCTTCACAGGCAGCATTTCTCGAAATGGATACCCTGCAGTCTGTGCACATGAATACATTACCTTGATCGTCTTCAGCCTGCATGGACTGTGGAATTGAACTTGCAGTTGAATGCTGCTGCCAGCTTGGCAATCTTGGTTGCATCACTCATCTGGTAAGGGTAGATGCAGAGGATGTGGTTGCAGTCTGACTGTTGGGTCATCAGAACATCAGCACTGGGTGCTGTGGCATTATTGCTTGCTGGTGGTTGTTTACTGCGCCATTGACGGTGTCCATATTGATGTGCTCCCAGACAGTGATGATTCAATGGGAACAAGTGGAGACGACTTTGGGAGTGAAGAAGTTTCCTCTGCAGAGGTCTGCTATCCATGTTCACTATCTGAAGCAATGTGTCAATATGTCTTTTGGTGTTGAAGGGCTATGATTTTGCTCCATGATTGAGCCGAGCAAAGCTTGAGAAGAATTTTGCCAACGTCGATGGCCTAAACATAATCGATGGTCGAACTGTGTTCAAGGTTGATAGATGCAGCACAGTTGTGGAGGTGACATTGGGGCCCAAGAAGACATTTAGGATAGCAGTACCTCTTGAATTTTCTGGTGCAATGGGACTGTCTCATGGGCTTGGGCCAACTTACTCCTGCTTCGATGCTTGTACTTTGAATTTCGCTAGCTGCTCTGCATTAGATTTCAAGATGCTAAATGCACTGCACTGGTTACATTCTATTGTGTGGAACAAAGTTTGGGAATTTGAACAAACATGGATGTGACATTATGTCTCCATCATCGCTTGCAGGGTGCAAGGGCTTGTTTAGTCTGTACCACTCTGACAATGCATTCCAAGTAGTTCAGAGGCCACATGCCGTAAATGGCTTGTTGTTGGGCATGCCAGAAAGGTATTTATGGATGGCGTTCACACCAGTTGCACCAGCTCGTGGGGTCCATATTGTGGGATGTGCAAGTTGTCAGTTTGTCAGCAGCGTCAAGAATTTCATGTTTCTGTGAAGCCTAGAAGCCCTGGTAAATGCTGTCAGGACCTTTCAGACTCAAAAGCCCAAACAGACCAAAAAGTAGTACTCTCAAAACATTGAAATCGAAGAAGACCCGTGATTGGAAGTGCCTGTAAGTTGTGTTGGGACAGGTAAAAGTCCTGATATGGGAACAGCGGACTCTGTATGCATGGCTGTCTATGCTGTTGCCTGTCTTGTTTCAAGCTCTTGGCAAGGTTTTGCTGTGGCTGCTGAGCATGCTCAACTGGGCAGGCTTTTGTAATGAAAACATCGCTGTGGATGTTGCAGGAGGGAGAGCAATGCAAAAACCTTCTTGAGAGTGAGGAAGAGGGTGATGGCAGTTCAGATATTGCTGGCAGCAGATCAGATGGAGCAGAATCCATTGATAGTGAAGCTGATTTAGAGGAAGGGAGTAGCGGGAGTGAGGCTGAGCTGGAAATTGAAAAGAAATCTCGGCTGGTTGAGAAACAAAGGCAAGTGGCACGAAGCAATCATCTGCACATTTTCTGGCTGCAGTGCTGTGAGGGTTATTGCTAAAATGGGAGATTGAAGTCGGAATTGCTGGTGGTTGCTTTTACTCCACTGTATTCATGGCTTGGGATGGTAGCTTGTTGTTGTATTTTGCACCGGATACTGGTGAGGATTGTATAGGAGGCAAAATCGCCTATGGGTGGTTAGACACTCACATTGCCAGGATTTCATGTGTCTTGTGTACATATTTTCCATCTATCCAAGCTGCACCTGTGCTGTAAGTACTTGCATCTGTATGTTGCCGGTCTTGCAGAAAAGGAACTAGTGTTGGTCCCCAACCTTACTGCTAAGCATGCAGCTGCAGTTCATTTCTGAGCTGTGTTGCGTTGACCTTGCACTGGACCTGTTTCCGCACCAGCGATCTATTTGATACCCATGGCAGTAGGAAATTGTTAAGCTTGTGCTTGTAAAAAGCTACCATTGAAACAAAGGCGGGTACTGTGGATGGGACACATTGTGCGATTGTGCTCTCAAGTCCTTTTAGTCAGGCAATGTGACAGGAGAAGCATCCTTGCCTGACCAACTGTATGAAGCTCCTAAGCGAATGCTGTGTGCCACCCCTGTGCCAGGACACAAGCTGGCAGGAAACAAAGGCCAATTGGCTGTTGTGCCACAAAATGTCAAAAGATGTGTATGCCACCTGAAGCAACATGTGTACCTTTGCGTTCTGAAGATCTTTGGCTGCTGTTCCTCTTGCTGCTTGGGACCTACCCTCAATCCATCCACACAGCCTCGTGTGAGATATTTGCCTGCTTCTCAACTCAATCCATAAGCCAAACAGAATTCCATTTTCTAAATATGAATAAAGTTTGGCAGAAGAGCACTTGCAAAGGCGAGTGAAGCAAGAATACTCATGTCAGACAAGCCCAATGGTGTGTGGTTGTTTCAACAGAGCCCGTGACAAGATGCATGCTGAAGCAGAGATAAAAGACATGGCACTTCAGTGGCAACGGGTGCGTCGTGTTGGTGTTGTACACACACTTGCCATCTGCATTTTGCCACCGTGGCAATAATCGATAAATGAAAATGAAAGGGGAACCTTACCTGTTTGTGCATTCCAATTGCTGGCAGTTTTATCTGGTGTTGTTGTGTCAGGTCATCCATCAGTGTATCTGAAGGTCTATATCATTTTTTGATGGACATTTCTTGACCATAGTTTCCCAGCAATTTTCGCCTGCGGCGCAAGTCGTCTGAGAACACACAACATCTGTGCTTAGTGCCTATTTACATATAATTTCCAAAGTAGCGTTTGTGGAATGCTCTTGATGCTTCATTGTGTGATTGTTTGCTGTGCGCATCTCAATACAGTCCGTGGACACTTGAAAGAACGCTATTGCTAATTCATTGCTGAAGAGTCCTGCCAATGAATTCGTCTCACCATGCAGGACTGCCTCTGTTGCTGTGGACACATGTCAGATTGCTGCGCCTTGCCTGGGTAAACTAGTGTGCTGCTCTTGTGCTGAGTGATGTGTTCACAATTTGATCAGGAAGCTGAAGGGCAAGATGATGAACTTGACGATACCAGCATGATAATTCCTCAAGCTGTGCCAGACTTGACAGAAGTGAAGACAAGGATAGCAGAGATTGTGAATGTCCTTGAGAATTTCAAGACTTTACGGAACCCTGCGATGCCGAGAGCAGCATATGTGGACTCTGTAGGTATCATGTTTGTGGCTGTACATGTCCAGCTGGACCCGTTTATTCAGTCAAGGGTTGGCCTGGATCGTGTGAACACCTGTTGCTGATGGTTGGGCTCCTGGAGAGCACCTTTGACACCCACGCCAATATCTGAACATTCAGAAGAGCTGTGCACCATGAGCTGTGAACTTTGAGCTGCGAACTTTCAGCTGAAGCACAAAGTCCTTTACGGATCGCCCCTTTGTTTTTTGCTCACCCTGATTTTGATTTGGTGAGCACATGTGCCAGAATGTAATGGTGTAGCTGATTTCACTCTGTTTGCCTGGCAGAAAATGAAAATGTGACAAGACAGTCCAAGGTTTGTTCAGAGTGACAAGCTGAAAATCTAAAGCAGCTGCTGGAACTGAATTTGTCCTTGCTGTGGAACTTTGGCAATCCTAGATACTGCTTGGTGCTTTAATCGAAGTACAGAACTTTGTCTAGCTATTGTCTGTCCTGCTATTGTCTGGCATATGGAGTACTTGGAAATTGAATTGGCGGCAAGCCTCGGCTGGGCTAGGTTGGTTTGATTGCTGCCACCATTGCTGCATTTCCACAGGCAGTCAATTGCTTGATGGCGCGGTTGCTTTTGGTCTCACAGACTGTGCATTTTCATGGTGCAGTTAAAGCACAACGTGAAGACGTACTATGGGTACAATGGGTTCATGGTGGACTGCATCCTTGGTTTGTTTGGGCCTGCAGAGGCTGTGGAATTCATCGAGTCCAGCGAAGTGGCCAGGCCCGTGACTTTGCGCACCAACACACTGAAAACGCGGCGCCGAGAACTCGCAGCTGCATTGATAAACAGAGGGGTGAACTTGGACCCAATTGGAAAATGGTCAAAGGTAATAGACGCAAAGTGATACCGAATGCTGATTCATCTTGGAAACCTGTGATCTTGCTGCTGGTTCTGAGGCTACTGCATGCGGGCAAATGGGGTACTGATCCTCTGCTTTTCATAGTATTGTGTGCTTTGGTGCCCCCAGATCCTATTGATCACCTAACAAGCTGTTGTTATCTTCTGCAGGTTGGCCTGGTTGTCTATGAGGCTCAAATTCCGCTTGGCGCTACGCCTGAGTACATGGCAGGCCACTACATGTTGCAGGGGGCATCATCTTTCCTGCCATGCATGGCCCTTTCACCTCAAGCGCACGAGACAGTTGTGGACATGGCAGCAGCTCCTGGTGGGAAGACCACCTACCTTGCAGCACTCATGCGGAACTCAGGTAGCATTTCACACCATGATTGCCTTTGCTTGTCTGCGAAGGGATAAATGTTGCCCTGATCTTTCTGTTACTTGTGGCTGCTTGTAGCATCGCCTTGGTGCCATCGTACATTGCTGGACTGGCCACATTCTTGTGGGTCTGCTGAGTAGCCTCTTTCTCTTTGCTGATTTGTGGGGGATGCGTAGTTTGTGGCTTGATGCTAAGTGCAGTGTTTTCAGTCTTTGTGTGTCTCTCTGAAAAGAAACACATTAAAAGGACACATAAGCTCACTCTTGCTGGCTGTGACTGCTTGTTGCCTATTGCAGAGTGAGAACTGTTTGATCCACCCTTGCCATCCAGTGCATGCAATTGCTTGGCCATCTGGCTGTGTGTGGAAGCTGTGTGGTGACATCGAATGCCTTATTCAAGAGAATGATTTCTTGCAGGAATCATCTTTGCAAATGAAATGAAAAATGAGCGAACCAAATCATTGGTTGCAAACTGTCAGCGAATGGGTGTCACCAATGCAGTGATTAGCTGCTATGATGGACGCCAGTTGACAAAGGTTCTGGGCCCAAAGCATGCCGATCGTGTTCTATTGGACGCACCATGCAGCGGAACAGGTGTAATACACAAGGATCCATCAGTCAAGGTATGAGCCCTGCATCACAGATATTGGGACTCCTGCAATGTGCAGATCTCAGTTGCTGTGCAGAATCTACTGGGATATGTAGCCCTGCCCCTGGGTAGTCTTGGAAAACATAGTTCTCCTTCCAAGAACTCGTCTGTGCCATGTATTGCATGTCGGTGATGTCTACTTTTGGCGTTGTGTTCCCAGAGCTCCAAGACAACGAACGATATATGGAACTGTGTGAACGTCCAGAAGCAGCTGTTGCTGGCAGCAATTGATCTTGTGGATGCTGCAAGCAAGACAGGTGGATACATAGTGTATTCAACGTGCTCAATAATGCCAGAGGAGAATGAGCTGGTGATTACATATGCACTGCGAAAGAGGTTTGTGAAAGTGGTTTCGTCTGGGCTTGAGTTTGGCCGTGAAGGGTTTGCTCGATATAGGGACTTCAGATTCCATCCAAGCCTCAAACTTGCAAGGAGGTACTATCCGCATGCGCACAACCTGGATGGTGAGTATTGGCGGTGGTAGGGCTTCGTTGTCCATATTGTTTTGTCCCTCTATTGCATGATTTCATGCTGACGCATAGATGGAGTGCATTTCAGTTGTTGCTGTGTCTGGTGCGAACTTCCCGCCAATTTTCCCGGGCACTTTGACATGCACACATGAACTTTGCATGGACGTTAATGGCAATGTTGGATGCCCCGTCTGCTCTCAAGAAGTGGTATTGTCAACAACGCATACTTCAGTAGAGACGGTGTGTAGTAGCCCTGGATAGGGCTATCCTGGAAGAGTTTTTGTGGCAGTGGGTAGCAAATGGATGAAATGAAAAGATAGGCCAAACTGAAGAAGGAAAACGTGCATGAGAAGCGAACATTGATTGCATTCGAATTTGCATTGTATTGAAATGGACTTGTACAGCATGAAATGCCCCTAACGAACACACTCGCCCTTCAGCACCAGCGTGGCTGCAACAGCACATGCGGTCCTGATATTATTGGCGATGTTGCAATGGGAACGGTAGCCATGTTTTGAGGCATCGTGCCTTAATTGGAGATGTGAGCCATGCACACTTTTGTTTCTTCATGGTCGGAGTTCTCCATGATGCCTGGGAACAATCACTTAAATATTGTAGTATGTTATGATCATCTGCGAGAATACAGTATCCTGACAGGTTGATCTGCCTCATCTGCACCAGGCTTCTTCGTTTGCAAACTGAAGAAGTTGTCCAACGGAGCAAAGCCGCCCACGGGCGAGGCCAACGATGGCGATGAGACTGCCAAAGCTGATGCCGCGTTGCAGACTGGAGAAGACGCCAACCCTGTGAGTGTGCCTCTGCCAGGCAAGCCACGTGCTGAGAGCAATGGAGTCAGACGAGATGGGGACGACGGCGAAGGTGCAGATGGACGTCGAGCAGAACAAAAGGGCGAGAAGAAGAAAAAGAAGAGGGAAAGGGGCATTGTAAAGAAGGCTAGAGAGGTGCAGTTGCTGTCATCCTGAGGCCGTGCTGCCTGTTTGGTTGCGCCAATGGGTCTTTGCGTGACTCCCACAGCAGCATCCTGGAGCCAGTTTGAGGGTGGCCAACATATCTGAGTCAGAACAGCGTGGTCACCTTTTTCGTTTGCACTTTCCAATTGCAAGCTTGAGTGGTTGGATCTCATGAGACATGCATGTGTCCTGCTGGATTGCCAGTGAATCATCGTACGAGTGTGGAAAGGCGGCTTGCTGTAGATCATTGCTTCTGCTCTATATGCACCGTATGTAACTTTATACAAAATGAACTGGCTGGGTGTGAATACGATGTTAAGATGGTGATTGTGAATGGTGCTCCAGGAACTCATGGAGGAAATGCGCAAACTCAAGGCAACTGATGACGCTCGATGAAATGTCTAATTGTGCGGGCGTCGTTTGCAGCGTGGCCAAACGGGTTTTGGAGCAGGATTCTTGGCGTGATAGTACAAGCAGTGTGCACTGGGTATTTCGTTCTCTGCTCGAAAGGCCACCTAGGTTAACGATTTAATTCTGAGGGTGCACTGTGATGGCTTCAGTGTCTTTAATCTCTTATATATTGTAAACTGAGTCATGCCTTGTGGTGACATGCATCCCAAGGGTTGCCATGACGGCAGTCCCATTGCAATCGATGCCGTGCGAGGAGTTGGCCTCGCGTGGCGCACCTATATGTGGCCTCAAAGTCGGTTGCTGGCATGCGCATTGCGTGCCAGCTGTCCGAAACGTCTTCGCTGAGCCGAGCCCAGCTTTCTAGTTCGAACTTCCGTTTTCCGAGCAAGTTGTTAAGTCGTCGACCTAATTTGAGGTGCGTAGATGCGAGCTTCCCAAAGGGCACGACGCGCAGTGCAAGAAGCTGCCTGGGCCTCGGTGTGTTCAGAACAGTGCAGGAGCTGGTGCCTTGGCGCTTCCTGTTCGACAACAGCCGTGGATTCTTTTCAAAACGTGCTCGACTTCGAATGCAGAGATGCGGAAAAAGGGACCGATATCCGCCCGACCTTGAAACCCACAGGTACCGTCGTCACGGCGCCCAGGTGTTTCCCAGCTTGTCACAAGTCCACCGTCCACTACCACGAGCCTGGAGGCGGGCACCCGCACCCGCCACAAGCTCCTGCAGTGATAATGCAACATGCTGGGTGATCGTGTCAGCAGGGCATCAATGCGTCGATGGGAACGCACGCATCACAGTCTGACACGGTAACAAAAAAAAAGTGGGTGCGTATTGGCATTGAGTGGCATATCGGGTTATTGAATATCCCACAGTTGCGCCCACGCGTTCTGGCAAACTCGAGCCACTGCAACGAGCAGCGTGAATCGATCGTTCGCTTCCCCTGAGGAGTTGGGCCGACAGTGAATTGCGTGACTGCTTGCCAGCACACAGCGCAATCGGCCAAACAGCGGCAATGGACAGCTGAACAGAGCACGCTGTTGAGCAAACCGCCAACACGCTCACCCTGTGCGGTCCCTCAGGTCCCTCCTTAAAGGAAAGGTGCGCAGCTGCCTGTTTGCACGAGGAAACACAGCGGACGCCAGCACCTTGTCTCGCAAATGCGCTGCCAGCCGTAGTGCATACAAATAATGGAATTGGTGGCACAGTTCTCATAATTCGTTGCAACACCGTTCGGCAAATGAATTGGACATGACGTGTTTTGGATACGCAGTGCCCATGAATGTGGACGAGCAGTTGCACCCATCCGTCACATGCAGCAGCACTGTCGCCTTCTGGTGTTCTCGTCATCGAGCAGCTCGGGACACGTAAAAAGTGCCATGGAAAAAGTATCTTGTGCAAAGGAAGTTGTTTTTCACTCGAAAGAAGGCACTGAGCGTTGCTGGGCTTTGAGCAACATAACCGCCATTTCCTACTAGGGCTGCTTATTTAAGTTACTCTAAAGCAAAAGAACTGCTGCACGTGAAATTTCGAGCATTATCTACCTATGTAGCCAGTGCGCGAACCTTCAAATGCCGCAGTTCTATATCTTGAAAAGCCCTTTTTACTACTTTGCATCGACTACACGAGTTATCCATGCGCGGCGGCATCTCGGCTATAATCATGACGTGAACAGTATCGTTGATGCTGTACATAAATGGCCTGCAGGGCATTTGAGTGCTTCAGAGTCATACCGCCGCCTGGTTCATACCGCTCATCACTTCAAAGTAGATCTCTGCGTTTGGGCAGTTGCCGGCACCTAACTGCTGCCCGTCAAGTGCCTCGTCGGAAGCACCACGATCTCGTCGATGCCCCATTGCATTCCAAGAGATCTTTCGTCGCGGGGGTGCTTTCATTTCGGGATCTCAATCAATCAATGTCCATACAGCGTCCAAAGATAGTCAAGATGCCCAACAGCGGCAATCTCGGCGCCATGTCAGCGCCCACCATCACACAGCCGTCACGTAGGATCCATACTTCCTGATCCCATAACATGAGCCTCAACATTATGACGCAATTAAAGAAAGGGAAATGCGACACGCGGACATGGTATCCCCGCCGTGTGCTGAAAAGAGAGAGCGGTCGAATTGATGGCAGCAATCCCTCCCCAGCGGAAATCCCAAACTCGGCCTCGGCCACCCAATCACGAGAGCGCGGCCCAGCCATTGCGCGCGAGCCAGGCGTCACCAAATTCTGAGGCCGGGCCTCGATCACGCGATGGCTGCAAACAGACCTGTTGCCTCCCGCCCCGGGGTGCCCTTTTTCCCCCTCCTCCCATTCCCTGGCATCCGCCATCACATCGAGGCGTCAAAGGTCCCCCCATCAGTATTCGAGCTGCCCGTGCCGCACGTTGCCGCACTGACGAACGGCGGGCCGGGGGCTCCGCCTGATCTATGCAAATTGTCCGGCGCCCTGAATCTGCAGCTGGTGGGCGCCCCCGCCCCCCTGGATGGCAAGTGGATCCACGCGGGAAGGCCGCCGCCGGGGGCGCTGGCCGACATGCGCCGCTGGCTGCAGCCGTCTCCGATTGCGGTCTGCTGCAAGAGGGGCCGTGAAATTGTGCAGACTGAGTTTGGGGCTGCAGAGGGCTCCCTGGTGTCCATGCACCTGGAAGAGCCGCTCATCGGGCAACGGGAGGATTCAAAGTCGGTGAGAGCTTACTATGCCTTGCGCAGTGAAAGGCGTCAAGAATGTGCGCACACACAGCGGTGTTGCTGGTTGCTGAAACCCGGTGTCCAGTTCCACCGATTGCATGCTTGGCACCGCTTGACAAGGCGGGCCCTTTCACCAAGCTGCCGACGTTGGGCAGAGCCCCGATGTGATGTGATGGTCGTTCGGGGCGCCGTGTGCGCAGGACGTCAACCTGGCTCTGAAATTCCTTCAGTCGCGCGAATGCGGAACGCCTGCATTTCACAGGGCAATGGAGAGCGAAAGCATCAAAGAGATTGAGCTTGCGGTGAGGGCAGTTCCCTTCTATCCGTTGCGTGCATGTGACGATGTCCGCTTCCCAGCAGATCTGAGACACTTGCAGACATTTGTGCGCAAAACAATAGGCTGCGGCCGCTCCTGGGCGGAGCGCAGGAAGATTTGTAGTTGTTGTAGCTGCCGACTCCCGCCTTGAGGCATTTACCCCGCGTGCCATTAGGTGAGGCTTCGCGTCCAGAAACAAATTTTGGTCGGCCATGGAAATCGCACCCCCTTGCCTTTCGCTACAGTTCAATGCAAAGTCATTCGCCCATTCTGCCGATACGGTCGCAGGGAAGCATTGATGCTGTTGTGGACACCGTCCAAGCTTTGCCGAAGCAGCTGCCTTCGCAAACGAGAGCGATTTGCCGTGCGTTGACGAAAGAGATGGTGGAGGAGATGGTGGATCAGCGATGGGAGGCGTCCGCTTGTGCAGAAGTGGGCGATATCAGTGCTGCCCTGCTGGAATTGGAGGTGCCACTTATGACGTCACCAGAAGAGAAATATGCGTGCACTTTCAGAGCTGGGAGCTCAGAAGGCGTTCAATTCACCGTTTTGCGTTACGCTGATGTCTTGGGAGAGGTGGACCCTGTTCCACTTGAATTATGCACAGAATCGTTCAATGGGCTGGATTGGCACGTAGATTATGATGTGGAGAGAGAGGTTGTGGGGATTCCGGAACCATGGAATCAATTGTTCAGTGACAGGACGGGCCACTCTGAAGCCCTTCCATTGCTGAAAAGTCTTGTATGTGGTGAGGAAGCAGACGTCAGCGTCAATTGTCCTCGCGGAATGGAGACCACCGCCGATCTAGTCGAGGTGGACATGCCCATGAGCATCAGGGGTCATTCCGCGTCCATAGCTGGGTCTTTGGTAACAGAGCTCTTGGCGGAACTTGGAGACCAGAGCGTCAGTGCAGAGATGCCCTCCTTTGGCGGGCCGACGCTGTTGCAGCTATTCTCGTCGGATGCGACGCTGCATTTGGACATGGTGACCCTTCCTGCTGTCGTCATCGACGAACTTGCTGCGGACGAAGAGGATGGGGCGGAGTCGCGGGTGCAGATGTGGACAGAGTGGGCCGCCCACCTGCGTGTGCACCCGTGCGGCACTGGCCACCTGCAGCTCTACCTCGATTGGAGCATTTTGAATCAGCAGAAGAACAGGTCTGAGCTGGGACTGCTGTGCGCGGGCCTCGGCCCCAAGGACGATCCGGCAAGTCAGCAGCTTCCTTTGCCGTGCACCACGAGGTGAGCTCCCGTTGGGTATACCGATACGATACCGATATACCCATACCGATACCGGTATACGTATATACCGCATGGTACATTTTGGGATGCGTGACACGTGGTGCGGTTTTGTTGTGGGAGGGAATGAGTAATAATGTTACTAAGCATCACCGAGCATGGTTGGACAGCCTCAACGCGGCCGCTTGTGAAGTTCCTCTGAGAGCCACGTCCGGACGGAATCGAAGATATCGCGTGGGATACGCCGTTCCTGCCTGGGCCATTTCGGCACCGCGACCTTTCGCTGCGCGCAGGGTGGCTGGAGTCCTGAATGCAATAAAAGAGGAGTGCTCTTGCATCCCTTCCCAAGCAACAACCGGAGCTGTCGATGGCACTGGGCAGCTTCTCCTGGAGACTGGCGCAAAGGCGGCGGAAAAATTCTGCAGTTCTATAGGCCAAGGGGACCAGGGCGGCATATCGTCTGTTGCAAGGCAAATGCTTTCCCAGTGCCGCGCACCACTGGAGGATACTGTGCCTCGTTCCGTTCAGCCTCGACAACTGGAAGCGCCTGTTTCTGGCGGCTGCGCTTTTGAATTCTTTCTCAGTCTCCACTCCGGGACCAAAAGCGCAGCCGCCACTCATGGTGATGGGTGCCACTTGCCGGTTGAGCCCGATATTAGCCAGAAGGCAAATATGCCGCCACCGATGGATGCACCTGTGCTCGGCAAAGACGCTCAATCGGGCAAAGGCATGAGCGACAATGCAGGCAACGGTACGGACCACATTCATCCAAATTTCGCTCACGGTGGCGCTGTTCGGCGTGAGGAGATCAGCCGTACGATGGAGGACATGCAATTCTCACCAGGTGGAGTATCTCCGGCTATCAATATCGCGGAAATCTGCCCTGTCGTCTTTTCGCACTCAACATGTTTATTGTGATTTGCACAATGAGCGTGCATTCATGCACTGCATGGCCAATGTTGTCCATTACGCAGATGTCAAAATTTTCTCCGCTCACCATCGGTTGCTCCGATATCCATCCACGCCAACAGCGCACGCCACAGATGCCAGTATCAACGAACTTTCAGAATGCAGCTACGTGCGAGCCACACCAACTTGTCTGCTACTTGTGCCAGGCCGGAAAGCGGCGGTGTCCATCGTGGTAAGCAACAGCGCAGGCAGGCTCATTCGCCGACGGCGCGATCTTTACGAGGCTGTATTGGCACAGGAGAGGTGGGGAGCGTCTGTGGTGGAGAGGCACATGGAAGGCGTGGACATGGCTTTGCCGCCGTCCCTTGCAGTCTCATTTATTGTGGTGGACGACTCTTGGGTGCGCATCCTTTCCATCCTTGTGTCGAGAGCACGTGCACCAAAATCGAAATCAGGGCTGATGCGCTCCTCGTTTGAATGGCGTCAGAAACGCAGCGCGAGAATTGATGTTTCGATTGGGCAGGCGCCGCCGGAATATTGCTGTTCAGCTCTCAAGAGCAAACGCCAAGTAGACACACAAAAGCATGCGGGTTTGTGCGTTGGCTATCATATGCCATGGAATACGCCACGTACAGTTGTCTCTCTTCTTCTAGACCATTCTTAGAGGGGAATGAAACGTTCATTGGTGCTCAATTTCGGGCTTCTCGCTTGCGAAAAAACGTACACTTACCCAAAAGAGGCGTGGAATTTAAGTTTCATTCTGCATACCATACCTTCGTTTGCAAATCCGCCACACATGTTGGACTGGCATGAGAGTTTTGGGGTTTGGGCAGACAGGGGAATCGAAGGCTGGTTTGGCTGTCGGGGCGTTTTCAGATGGAGCTCACATGTGCTGTGGGCAAATTCAACAACTGTTTGCCTTGTGCAGGCGGGCAGCGCCGCATCCCGCTGGGATCAACTGTGGAACTGTTTGGCTCCAGTTTTCCTACGCTACGATAGCGTCCTATGCTGCATTGAGTGCAAAGGTGGCATAAATAGGCAACATCGAGAAGAGCTTCTTCCGCCTCTCTGTCGAGCGCAGATACAGCTGGGAAGAGAAGGAAAGCGGCTCAATTATTGTATCACCAAATCTCCAGACGAAACGAAGGTGACGCGAAGCGCCCCCGCATGCGTTCATTTGGCCCATTGCATCGGCTAATCCGATTGTTTGGATGTCGCTGTGGGACAACATGGGCAATCTGCATGTGCATCGCGACTGGGAGAACCATACGGCACCTTGGTTGAGTATATTCTGGCGTACATGCTGCGCACTAGTGCTTGCGTCTTGAAAGTTTCCAGGATACCGTGCCATGCCTTGAGAGCTGAGCCGCTGGAAGCAGTCGCAAGCATCCATCTGATTGACCTCGCATCAGCGACTCACTGAAAAACTTCCCAATGGCAATGAGGGGCCGCTGATTTGTATCGAAAATCGAAGGTTTTCATCGCATTGCCTGTGTTGTGCATTCTCCTTCTGCTGCAACTTCAGTACAGCCTGGCGCCTTGCGGTCCAAAATATTGACTCACATAAGTCGCTGATAAAGAACTCTAGACTTCCCGTCCTGTGCTTTCATTTTCATCATTTCTGCGTGAATGACTGCAGTGGCACCAGCGCCACCAGTCTTCAGCCAACAACCATTGTTTCCGCCGCTGTGCTCAGATTTTCCCGCCCCACGTGTTTCTCCAGGGCTTTGCTACCACGGCTGTTTCCGCCGCTGTGTCCAAGGCTCAGAAAGCCCCAGAAAACTCGTGCTCTCCCATCCTCAACGACTTCGAAACCCCGCAGGAGTGCTTTCTGAACGCTCTGCCCGTGCTCAACCCCTTCTTGAGCGCGTCGCTGCTGTCGCTGGACATGTTCACGAACCTCAGAGAACTGCTGACGTGTGTGCTGCATCAGCCACGGCAAGTGGCCGAGCGGCTGCCGGGGACGAACCCCGAATCGCTGGTCCTCCTGTCGGACATGCTGGGCGCGAACAAGCCCGCTTTACCACAGCCGCAATCAACATGGCAGCATGCGCCTGAAAGCTTCTGTGCGGGCGCATCTGAGTTTGAGCCCGGTCCGACAGTGTGCGATGGCGAAGAATGTGTTGGCATGGCCGGCGTGTCCACAACGGACATGCCGAAGCCCGTGGGATGCCATCTGCAGTCGCGTTCATCTGTCCTTGACGAACAGCCATTTGATACCATGTCCCTTGACAGCTTCGACGCGTCGTGCCTGACGGAAATTGGGGCGGGGATCGATCCCCTGTTGTCCTCCCCCGGACTGGGCACCCCTGACGATGCAGCCAACGAGCCGGTGAACGCATTTCCACTGCGGTGGCATGACCGGTGCGGGCCCCATCGAGAACTCAAGTGCAATGATGATCCCAGCGCATGGGCGGATGGCAGCCCCCGCAAGAGGGCCAGGGGAAATCATGCCTCGGCCTTCTCGCCATTCAGCACCAGACGCGTTAAGGAGGCAGCCTGGCCAAGGGGCCAAAAGGCCAGGGGGTGGGATGAAGCCCCATGCCCAGGCCGGGGCCCCAACCGCAGGCCGCAGGCACCGAGGGAAAGGGCTCCCCATACTTGCGAGGAAGTTGCAACGGACTTCGGGGCCGACGGTGACTGTCCGTTTTGGTCACACAGTGAGATGTCAAACATTTGCGCAGCTCCCAAGGGCATAGCAACTGGCGGCTGGGCCCCTTGCGACAGTGGGAAAAGGCAGAACATGCAAGCACAAGGTGGGCGCGGGAGTGTCTGCGGTGGAGGTGTGCATGGAGGTGCAGGCCACGATTGGCTGGATGCGGTTGAGCAGAGCTATCATTCTTTCAGTCCCGTAGGCGTCGCCAATCACAAGGGAGTACCTCAATTCGGTGGGCTTTTTGGCGGTGAGTGCAATACCAAGCTGCACACCCACACACAAATTCACAGTCCGCTTGTTGGCTGCCTACACTATAGTGTCCAAATCCCAAACTGCATCCGATGTGAATCCACCACTACACCCACCAGTCCTGGACGTGTGTTGATCGTGTAGACAGCCGCAAACGAGTTTTCAACGATGTTCACGCTTGGAAACACAACGGCTGCACGGTGCATTGCAGAAGGCGTCTCGCCAACACCAGGAAGCCGGGCACCAGTTCAGCGACGCCTACTGTGTGGTCCCCATGATGTTGGCGCTGACAACCTTGGTGCGGAGTGCGGGACACACAGAACGCAGGGACGGATTCCTCCCTCCAGGACAGTAAGTGGCCTTCAGCATCCGGCAATGCATCAGTGACACTGCGGTAATCTGAGGCAATTGCAGGGCACATCACTGAGCTGCTGTTAAAGCACGGGTGTCTCACGCTAGTTAGACGTTCACAGGGGCCCGCTGTTGCAAACCATTCGGAAGCGATCACATGGTAAAATGGTCACTTGTGACCGCTGCGAGCATATTTTTCCGCTCAAGAATATGCCAACAATGTGCAATGTGATGTCCATGTACATGCCTTGTGAAGCCATGTCAACATCAAAGCCCATGTCAGAATTCGCTACTGGTCGCATGCTGCCCTTTGGCGCATCCGACGCACCAGCGATACAATTCCATGTGATGTGTGTACACGTATGTCTATTGCACACAAACGTGTGTCGTATGTGTATTGCTGAATTCGATTGACACGGTCACGAGTCCTGCACAAGGAAACTCCAGGAAGCAGGTTCCTTCCCAGCTACGGACATTTCACAGCGGCATGGGACGTTGGGAGGCGACAGTAAAATTGGCATATTGGATGGGGCACGTCGCGCACATAGGAATCTTCTATTTTCCTCTTGCCTCCTGTGCAACATCCGTGGCGCTCCCGTTGCAGCTCTTGCTACCGCAGATGTGTGGTTTAACACTTCCATTCTCACAGGATGGCAAGGGATGGAGGAAGGATCGTGGACATGCGTCTCAACGACCAAATCCATTCAACATGTTTGCTAGCAAGAAGATTGCTAACAAGCGAGCGACGGCATGGCACAACTATTGATTCGTGCATGGCCTTCGCACAATGAAATTTCCATACTGTGGGGTCGCTGGACTCGTCCTGCGTTCAAGAGAGGCGACTAACACATGCACAGGCATGTTCTTGAAATGCCCACATTTTCACGAACCGCATGGCACTATGTGCGCAAGTCGAGCGGCTTCCATTTGGTGATGCAAGGGCTGCCTAGATGGACGCAGCAGTAGAACACGTTTCAAGGGTGTGCAAGCGAAACATGCACATGCACTCTGAGGAAGAATGCGCCAAGCTGGAGTGGATCATTGTGTGATGACGACAGCAGCAGATCCAGCATTAATGCAAAGCAACTGTGGACAAGTTGTGTGCACGAGTTTGCAATCATGTGTGCCACGCGGAGAATAAGCTCTCACAACAAGGGCAACCACCCTGCTTGTTGCAGCAACCAAACGGCGCTTACCTGTTGGATGTGCCCTTGCACCTGTGAGTGAACAATGCTGCCAGGCCTCACACAGCATGTTTTGATATCGTTCTGAATGAAATGTGCACATTGGCAGACTGCTGCCAATGTGCTGCGGCCAAAGTTGCTGGAGTGTACTGGAGGAAGCCCTGACAAAGCTTTGCCAGCATGAGGCAAAACTCACAAATTGACAAATTGAAGTTACATTCAGTTAGAGACATCAAAAATTTGGCTGTCAAGCAGCCTAGGGCAGATCCTGCTCCCCGCCCTGCCTCGCGAGGCATCATCTCTCGGCTTTGCTTTCAGGTTCAACAACCAGCTCGCTGACTTGCTCGATTTTCTTCGCTTCAGCATCACGTATCCCTTGCCGTAATCCCCAAACTGCAAGGGCCGACAGAAACCTGGCTCTCAGTCGACGTGCCACGCCACCAGGCCCCAGCATGATGGCCCAGTAATGCATACACAAACTAACATGGCCTAGTAGCCTACAAGGGATTCTGGATGGGCGGGTGCTGCAAGTCCATGTCCACTGAATGCACCACATCCCAGTCCTCAAATATGCACTCCTGACATTGGCTTGATACACAAAAGCATCCAGCACAAAATCCGGCTGTCTTTGAGCTGTTGCATTACATGGTGACAAAATCGTTTCCAAATTCCAAAGAAAAGCATCCAAACCCAGGCAGAGGAGAACAGCATCATCGGACCAGAAGCAAGGAGCACATTGCCAGGCCATCAGTGGCAGCTTGCAGTTTTTGTGATATGATAACCACCAATCAGAACCGCTATAGCCTGCAATCTCCTGCACTTCCTTGGAATCGATTGGAATCAAAGACTTCCACATCAGCTTCAATGCGTGGGAATAATGCTCACATATTGTATTTGCTAAGGACTGGGATGGCTATTGTACAACATATTTTCTTTTGTTACAAAGAACACGCAAAGTGCTGTGTGATACATGTTTTTGATGAGCCCATCCAATTACACAGAAAATCACAATCAAAAATGTGGTGTACCAATCAGGAGATTCGTTATGGTGAGCAATGACTCGGCGCCTCCATGCAACCAATCGACATTGGCCAGGCTTGTCCCGAAGTTGCTTTTTGCTGTGAATGCAGACACACAAGAAATGAACAGAGAATACACAGATGTTCTACTGTCTACACTGTATTCTGTGATCCATGCTTCCCAGCTAGGCAGGGAGCAGCACAGGAAATTGTGCATGAGATCTCATTCTTTTGGATCCAAACAGCAGGTGGTGACTAGCATTTGGGGCTGTCCAAGCATGTACACAAGCAAACGATGTGAGCATGAACACACAAGTGTGCCTGGGGTTAGTGCACCACAATGCCAATCCTGGTAACAGGGCTTTGTTTTGTCATATGACAAATCAAAAGAGGAGTAAAATGAGGGTGGTGCAGAAATACCCCAACTAGTCCAGCACTTGGGGAACCAACCATGATTGAATGTTGATGGCAACTTATGGCAAAAGAAAAATGATGGACAACAGGGTGACCGCCATAAAACATTTCAGCAACTGTGGTAGGGTCGACCGATGCTGCTCATGGTACATGATCGCAGAATGCATTATAATTTCTTTTCTGCGATGATGGACACAGAGCCTGCACTGCAACTAGACATTTTGCTTAGGGACAATTGGCTCAATCGCAATCATGAAATATTGAAGTTGAAACATACTGCTGATTCCATCGCTACCAACAAGCCATCGAGTTCAGAAGATCTTCATGAGCATCTGCAAATGTCCAGGTTTACTTTGGGACACAACAATGCGCAATATGCAGCTTCCAATGCTTGCAAGTTAAGGGCTGCTTCACATTCTGCAAGACATTATGGTTTGCTAAGCATCTGTTGTCCATCAGTACATGGCGAGTCGTTGATCTTGGTTCTTGTTCATGTGTCAACAGCTAGAGCAGGGACACACAAAAAGAAACACCCAGCATTATGCCAGCACGAGTGGACGAATTCATGCCCTTACTTCGTCGCAACCCGGCATAGTTGCAGAATGCACTGTCCCAATCGAGGAACCCACGTTGGGTCTTCCTACCGTATATTCCGGCAGGTATCGTGACACCCACAAATACCAGAAGAAAATAGAAGCCAAAGAGCATGACGGGCGGTGCCTGCTTGGATCTCGTCAGGTGGTAAAGGAAGCCAGCGTAGGGCACTATGCTGAACGCAAAAAGCCCGGGCGCCAGACTCTGGAGCAACACACCAAGCACTTAAAGCTGCACACCCAGAACAGGCGAACGTCCTCGCAATCCACAGCCTTGGGACACGCAGGGCAGAGGCTCGCAGCCTTTTGCCAGGAGGGCACGCGTGCAATCGGACCAAAAATTCGGATTGCCCCTCCCTGTGCCTCGAGTGCCCGCCCCTGGCCCTCACCTCCGTGCTGACGTTCGGGGCCCACGCGGTGTCAAACGGCAGCGCCCGCAGGCCGCCGCGCTGCGCCGCAGGCAATCGGGGCGACGCATCAGCGCAGGGCCAAGCACCCCTGCGCCCCCTTCTCTCTTGCCACAGCGGCGCTCCGCCCGAAAAAGCTGGGCAGGCCTGGCGGGCCAGCATCTTCCTGCGTGTGCAGCTTGCAGGCGGGGCTGCAATGAGGAGTGGGCGCAGGGATCCAGTCCAGTGACTGGACCCCAGTCCACATCAGCCGCATCATCGATTTGCGTGTGAGCAGTTGTCCGCCACGGACGCCTTCAAAGAGCGGAGCCGGGCTGAGGGCCAGGTCCTGTGCCGACGAGGAGCAGGATGCTGCGAAAGGGGGCGCAATCTCTGGCCAGCGCCTTCGGGCGCCAGGGCCTTGGGCAGGTGAGCACGACGAGGACGGCGTGAGAGAGGATGCCGCTGCCCCCAGCGCGCTGGCCCTTGTTGGTAGCCTGACTCCCGCATCGACGTCGTGACCCGGACAGATCAGGGGCCTGGCGGAGGCCGCGGCGGAAGACTTCCCCAAGATCACGGTAGGCACGCGTGTTATGGACCCGCTGCTGGCGGCAATCTCGATCGCAAGGTGTTCTGGAGAGCCGCGGCCCACTGCCGCTCGTTGTGTGCGCAGCCACCGGTCCAGCTGCATGGGGTGTCCGGTCGGTATGCCACCGCCTTGTGGTGCGCCGCGAAGAGGGCGAATGAGCTTCCCCGCGTCGAGGAGGAGATGAAACAGGTGGGACACGGGCTGCGCCCTCGGACATCGCCTGTTGAGGCTGCTGTTAGGAGCCAGAAACCCTGGCCTTTGGCAGTCTCGTTGCGCGATTGATCGCACTCTCTGCTCCGATCTTGCCTCATGCTAGGGAGCGTAGTCGATCGTTGCTGCAGTCTACAGGCGCAAACACCGAGGTAAAGGTGCTTGTGTTCAGTTCGTGGTTTGGTAAGGCTTAATGCGATATGCCTGCTTTGGATTCCTCTAAACGAAGCAGAAATGGCCGGCTCTGACCACATTCAGGGGTGCACCGGCCTTAACGGATACAGGCCAGATCATGCTCGTGCCACACTTGGGCCCTTTGCCAGGTGTGTCACAGTCTCCCACATGGTTTGTGATCTGGGATCTGCACTGATTTCTATATTGTGGCTGGTGTGCGGCCCCGCATTTCTTGAAGGTGTTCACAGCAGCAAACGAAAACGAAGACTTCCGCAGCTTTCTCATGGATCCCGTCACATCGCGGAAGAACAAAATGCAGGGCATGGAGGCCATGCTCACTGATATGGGAATGAGCGAAGTGACTAAGAGATTCTTCAGTGAGTGCCCCCCTTCCCGGAGTGTGCTTTTAGGCTTGAAGTCTGGGTCGTCTTTCTTTTTTGCTCCTGGGTCGCACTTTTGGATATCAGGTATGCCTATTTGAAATGATTGTCTAGAAGAAGAACAAATATGGTTGTTTGGGCCTTGCCTTTGTTTGTTTTGTTCCTTTATGTTGTGCATTCTTGTGTACCAGGTTGTTGCCCCATACTGTTCATCTTTAGTGCCATTCTTAAATGTTTGGAGTGCGACTTGCTCGATGGTTTGCTGGTGTGAGCCAGTCCATGTGTCTGCAGCTTCTATGACAGCGGCTTGGCCCATAGTTGTGACAGCGGGGTGGCAGCTAGGGATGAGTATAAGGTTGGGCATTGACTGGACAATTGTTTGTTTGCAAGTGGTCCTTGCCGAGAATGGGCGCATGCGTGATGCTCAAAAAGTCTGGGAAACCTTTGGGACACTGATGCAAGCACATGGCAAGCAAGTGAAAGGAATGGTGACTTCAGCCGAGGTACGAACGAGACGTTCTGTGTTTCACCAAGTCAGAATGGTTGCAAGTTAGTTTATGGCATGTGCTGTGGTGTTGCAAATAAGCGAGAACAATGGTGTGTTGTGGGAAATTGCTGAAAAACAGCTGACTGCCTGTCGCAACACTGCATCCAAAGAGCTACAATGTGCTGTGTGATTGTCCAAGGAACAGTGGAAATGAGGACATTGTGCTTGCATTTGAAATTGTTTGGTGTCTGACTGTGTGTGTGCCATGTGCTGTGCTCGAAAATAGCCTCTGCCACCTGGGGAGCTGAGTGAAGTGCGTGAATCGCTGCGTAAGTATTGGAACAGAAGGGCTTAAAGCTTGGCAGCTGCTAGAGTTTAGAAACGCGGTTTGCTGGGGCAGGGGATGCTTTTTGGATTTGGTTGAGTGATGCTGAGGTTGTGGGGTGGATGTGGTGCTTGGCAGTACCAGTACTCTTTGTTTGCAATGCAACATTTGCTGCACGTGTATATCACAGACATGGCCTCAACACAACCGGAGTGATGGAGTGAGTCTATGGGAAAGCCAAGCGTAGGAATCGCCCAGATGGAGCCAGATGGAGGCTGAGCATGTGCCTGCACGTTCTTTCAGCAGTTGCTTCTGTGGCCTGTCTGCTTTGTATTTATCAATGGATGTCCACCATCGTGGCTAATGGGGGCTGACACCATTTTGGCTGGTTTTCTGGTCGCTGCTGTGGATGGGAACATTGTTGGCAGGTGGTGATGCCAAGCGCACCTGGTTGCCAAACAGGGTGTTCGGACCAGCGGCACAGCCGATTATGTTGGTGGAATTTCTGCACTCCAGCAGCAGTGCAGTTTCCTCGTGTGTTTGGGCATAAGCATGCTGTTGATGATGGGTACTGTTGTGGAAGGAGGCTCACTGTTGCATCTGTGTTGCCCACAGAGAAACTCCTTGGTGAAGGGGAAACGCTGCTGCTCGATCAAAAGGTGGGTCACGACAACATGCCAGAATTCTTGAAAAAAAATAAATTGAAATCGATCGGAAAATTTGACCCAAGCCATGGCACCCCAATAGCTGGCAAATGGAGGCCATGCCATCTTCTCCAGGGTCGGTATGAATTCACATGGATGTTTCTGTATTTTTGGCCACATTGTTAACGATTGATTGATAGTCAGAATGTCCATTGCTGAGTGTTGGTTGCCATGAGATTTGACAAGTGCGATGTACACATGCCAATGGTGCACACCCTTTTTGGGAAGAGGGCACTGTCCCAGTTGGGCTGAGACTTGCCTGTGCTGGAAAGCTATGCATTCAATGCTGTTGGTCATTGTAGAGATAGAAACATGCATTCATGGAGTGTCGCCTGAAATGCAGTGGCACGTGTGTGGTATGGAGTTGAAATCTGCACTCAAGCATACTTGTCCTCACAGCTTGTCTCTGGTATGAAGCCACCTCTTTCCACTGGCAGCACTGCTGTCATGCGTTGCGATACACCTATGATGCCCAGAATGGCTATATATATTAATTTGGTGAACGAATATTTCTGCAAGAATGTGTTATAAGTGCAGGGGTGGTCAGCAAGTACTGAAGTTTGGATGCTGTAGTGCCCATCAACGCCGTTGAGGTGCAAGGGGACGCTGCTTCTGCCCTGCAAGCGCTTGTGTAGTCATGTGTCTTCAAAGGAGCTCAATGTGCAAAGGCATGAGTGTTTGATGTTGGGTATGCCCGTTGCAGGTTGATCCTGATATCATCGGAGGCCTTGTGGTGGAGTTAGGCGACAAGTACATCGACCTTTCCGTTGAGAAGCGCATCCGGGACATGGAGAGGCTGCTGATGGAAGCCATATAGATGAGTTCTCTTTCAATGGGATTCACATGGTGTTGGCTTCTTGCCAGCAAGCAAGCCGAATGGTCATGGCTGGGGACATGGACATTCGAAGGGCGTTTCTTGCGCAAACACCTTTAACTGTGCATGCACGTTTGTGCCAATGCAGGCAGTAGGTTGGCGTTGTTGCACAGTTTGCGTGCGTTGGTGGGGAGCTTGGTGTCTTGCCTTCTCTTGCGTGTCTCCAAAATCTGGGCACCAACATGCTGCCTGTTGTGCTTTGCAGTAGATGGCAAAGTTCCCAGGCTAGTCGTCCTGTTGTGCTGCATGCACTTCTTGTCTAATGTCGCGTCCTTTGGGTGTGCACTCGGAACTCCAGGGCACCATTAATGCACATCTTACTGCAAACGACGTGGGGCTGAAATGATGGGTGGAGCTTGCGACTGCCACGGCACGTGTGATTGATCGCCAATCTATTGGTGATTCCCAGGCTTGCGAGTGCTGTGGCTGCACTGGCAGTCTACTGCTGGAGAATGCCTGGCGCAGTCGCCAGTGAGGCTGCCAGCGGCCATCCCACCAAGCGCCGCATATTTTCAAGGCAGCGCTGTGTTGGTCTCAACGTCGCATGAACACGTGTAGTCAGCGTCAATATGCGGGAACTGTGTGTCAGGAGTGCGTGGCTTCCCTGTGTTGACTTCACAGGGATGCGCTTGCAACTTCAGTACTCACCTGCTGGGTTGCCTGCCATGGCTTTAATAGCACAACACAGTCGACTGCCCGCATAGATGTTGACGAAGTCCAAGTTTGCACAGTTGTGCAAGTATTACTCCTGAAGCATGACAAAAGTACTGTCGCCTTCTAATTTCTTCCTTGCATGGTCAACTTTGGAGCAGGGAATGTGTTTGTTCTGTTACATTTCCACTAGCCGCAGCTCGACCGCCCACGTTGTGCTGACATCGCCTCATGTTGATGGGACATAATGTGCGATGGTCATCGAGCAGCGGTGGCGGAACCCCAACGATCCGTCACGGTTTCAGAACAGGCAGCACAATTCACATAGTGCAACCACGCCATGCGCTTGGGAAACACAATCTATCGATTTGCAACCCTCTAAACGCTAATATGGCCCGTGGCATAGCACGAAAAAGACAGATTGTGCTCATCAGTGGCGCCGTGACTTTGATTCCTGAGGTTCATCGTCACACTCGGCGTCCAACAGCATCAGCGACAGCGGTATCTTTGAATGATTGCAGTGGATCTAGCCCAGCCGCAACAGCCCCACAAATGAGCGGGAAAGCCGCAAGCTACGAGGCACACAATGGCGCTGGTCGGACACAACAGAACGAACACCAACTAGCTGAGGCAGCGCCATCGGAGATACTTTGCCCAGACACAGAGGTACATCAATGTTTTGCCCTTTTTCTGGTCAATTCGAATGTATTTACCGCCTTTCTTTCTCCTTTCAGCCTCGTTGCTTCTGTTGGATCCTCCTCCCTGCAGCCTGGAGCAATCAGTGCAGCAATGCATAGTATATGCGTAATGGTAGTCCCATTTGCTAATGCATCGTGCATTTTATCGATGCACTGTCGCCTCTATTTCTGCGACTGCCCTAGTAGCACTCTCGGGCCATCCCGTGCAGTGAGGTCCATGGTCAAGGTGTGCTGAAATTAAGTCGAGTACCCAAGAGGCACACGTGAGGTGCGTAAAACCAGTCATCCCTCAAACCCCCGCTGTTGAAACACCAGCACAACGACGACTCTCGCACAGCATCCATGCTCCGCTGGGCACCTCCAAGGCTCCCTCCGACGGCAGCTGTCTCACCCCGACACTTCGCCACCCGTCCCACAGTTTGAGAACGATTGAAAGCACAGCGCGAACGAAGCACAGAGGAAGTGTTAACGGCTTCACTGTGCTGGTGTTTCGTCATCGCCATCAATCCTTTTTACGCAACAAGGCAGGAAGGTAGCCCTGACCTTCCTATTTTGCCGTGCAAAGCAGTGTCCTTGATCAGTTCATTGAAATCTCTGCGGCTTCAACACCGCGCTGTGGGCATTCCTCCACAGGCGGAATGACGGGGAATGTAGCTCATCGGCGCCATCCTTGACAACACACACCGTAAGCCCCACTCGGCTGTGTCGAACCTTCGGACACGAGCACTGGAATGCTCATCCTTGCAGGGGCGAGGTGTCCGTGTTGCCGCCCCACTGGTCCCCCGCAGAAGGGGTTGAGTGGCGATCTTTAGCCCGCGCAGTGTTTCTGGCCGCGAGGCAGTCCCGGTTTCGGCGGGGGCGCTTTCCGAACGATGCCCTGCGGCCGCATTTGGACGGAATGGCTCGCCGAGCACGTCGCAAAGGAAGCAAGGGAGGAGGAACCCAAGCGCTTCGCGGCTGCCGTGCAGTGCCTGAAGGACGACTGGGAGAGGGCGAAAGGGGTCGATGGATACGACAAGTTTGATCGCGTGCTGCATTGGTTTCCGAGGATCTTTGCGTGAGTGGAATCGGCGCGCACGCCTGGGGGGGATGATCGGCAACCGAGTGCCCGAATGTCGCTGACAGAGTGCGGACTGCGATCGGAGCTGCGAAAACGTGTTCCAGAGTGCTGGCTGTATCGCGCTGACCGCCTTGTCCGTTGTCTCTTTGGGAGAGCCGGTGCGATCACGGGGCATGGGCCCATGCCAGTATGCTTTGGCAACGTATAGTCGAAATCTGGACGACTGTTGAATGTCGCACTCTGTCATGTACAGCGATGGTCAGATCCCTATCCAACGCGCAGCTACGGACATGGATGTACAAAATTCTGGCTTCGGCGTACGTCGTTGCGGCAATTGGGAACTGCCTACCGCGGTAGCGGTGGGCATTGACATGGACGCGCAAGCGAAGCGCACCCCGTTGCGCACACCGTTGATTATCTGCTTCATTGTATCTGTGTGTGGCTTCAGATCTGTGCTGCATAAATGCTATGCTGTCTGATGTCTTCCGTGTCCCTTGCGGGCTTCACGGTTGTTTTTATTGCATCTCCTGTTGTTTTCCAGTTTCATGGACCTCAAAAGGGACTATCCAGTGGAAGATGTCATTACTCTTGTCCAGGTGTCCCTGGAGATCGTGTTTGATGCCAAGGACGACGTTGCTGTGCTGGTGAGTTGTGGTCATTTGAGAATGAAGAACGTCACAGGTTGTGTGGACTGATAGGTACATCTCTCTAGAACAAAAGTACAATGAAAAGCAGAAGCAGTGATGCAGCTGTCGGTTTCATCTGCTGCTCTCTCTCACGGGGCATTTTGTACTTTATTTTGAACTGCACCATGTCAAGAGAACAGTGCTCACAGGCAGGCAAGTCCTTGCTCCACAGCTGCAGGATTCTATGCAGGATGCTATGTTGCTTTTTGGCCACCTCCCCGTGCCATTGGCAAATCATGACCCTCCTGAAGACGCGATTATTTTTGGCAACCTTACCTCAAGGCAGCTGGTGTGCTGGAGTGCAAACTAAGCACCAAGCCCTCTTGTGATCATGCACTGTTGGTGATATCATTTGCATCTTCCCTTTGTGCCGCATTTGACCTGAGTTCATGCTGTGGGCTGTGCATGCTTGCAGGTGAGATATGGAGAGATTGTGAGTTTCCACTTGAAGAAAAACAGGAAAGAAATTGCCGGGAAGCTGGAGATTCCCTGGCGACCTTTGCATGAGCTGGCCACCCACGTTTGGGATCGGAAAAGGCTGAGCTACCAAGGCACGTTCTTGATGGGATGATGCATGATTTCTAGATCTGGAGCAGCAGCCAGACCAGTCGGCTCTATTCTTTGCCTGTCCGCATGTGCATCAGGGCTTCCTCAGCGGTGCGCACACCTTGTCAAGTGTATTGGCTTTCGGGTAGAGGAGACAAAGGGTGCAGGCTATAGAGAGTGGCAAACTGAATCCAGAGTTTGATTTGGTTGTGTGATGTCAACATTTCAGGCGAAGATTCCTTGATGGCCCTCCGAGATTCCATTCAAGAGCTTGTATACCGCTGCTCATCATTCTTCCCAAACTCCTCCGCAGCAGAGATTTGGGCTGAGTTCCGGCCTGCTCTCTTGCACACACAAGGCCATGAGTGCTTTGAAGCGCTCGGTTGGCTGGTTCATTTCATGCCCACCCAGTCGATTGGAAAAGATGCATCTGTGAACTGGGATGGTTGGTTTGATGAGTGGCTGGATCTCTATGAGAGGATTGCTCACTGCGAGTTCTGGGACTGCCACTGGCTTGACCTCTTTGGCAGATTGGCCAAGCATGACACCAATGGTAATAATCACATATTGACAGTACGCTGACATTTATGGGCATCAACTGGTATCCATGAAGATCGCAGTGATGGGGAGAAAGTGGGCATCTCTACAGTGTTTGAAATCAATCGTAGGCCACCTTGGCCCCCTGCCTGCATTCCTCTCTTCATGGACAGCACCCTGTTGCCCAAACAAGGGCAAGGCGAACATCACTGCCATCCACACTGATGTTTGTTCTAGAGAATTTCGAATTGCGCCACTCGCGCTGTAAAGTGCTGTGGATAGTCTTCGTGTTGTATTGTGGGCAGCATTGAGCGGCAGAATCTGAATGTATTTCCTGGGATTGTGACCAGATGTTGGCAAGCTATCTGATAGATGCGTGTCGTTCTTGCATTAATGCACAATGTTGCATTGTCGACATCAGGAAACTTTTCCTTTATCTTTGCCAGTCGGGTACCCGTCGAAATGACACTAAGGTTGTCGGGCTGCACAGCTAGTTTGCTGGCCACAGGACGTTAATTTTGCGCACTTGCATCATGCAAAGCCGAGATTTGTCCCTGAGGCATCGTCATGCAGTCACTGTGGGAGTTTGTGGTTCCATTTGCAAATCTGGTGTTCAGGGTGCAGAATTATGATGCCCATTATGCATTTTATGCACAGGTGCAATTGACTGGGGAAAGAACCTTCCACGCCTTTACACCCTGTTCCTCCGAGCTTTTGCAGTCCCAGTGGGAACAGCGACTGCGGACGCGCCCATGTTCAAATCACCCTCCCACAGGGCAACGCTCCTGTTTCAGCTCAAGGGATCACAGGAAATGCTGAGCATTGCTAAATGCATGATCTACATCCTGAGGAACATGGCTGATGAGGGTAGGTGTAACTGACTCACCTGGTGCGTGTACAAGACCTCTTTCAGCACGAATTTGGGCATTTCACACGCTGTCCTGGGCATTAACACACATTGCAAGCTTCAGGATTGCTGTTGCCATTTGTTGAATTTATTTGTGACTGAGGAACGTCTGAAAACGCTTGCATGTATGGCCTGGAGCTGCTCATAAAATCGTTGATTCTAGGTCTTTACATGCTGGTGCACTGCCACGCCTGTTGGAGAAGGATGTGCAGGATGCGTCGTGACGTGCGTATTGTTCAATGCTCAGGCCCTGGGCTCCGTTGCATGGAGAAATTTGTCAGTCTGTTGGAACAGTACTGCCATCCATCCAACAACGGCAGGTGGACGGGTGACTTGGCAAGTTTCTTGAACTACCTTGTCAAGTATTTTCTGGAGCAGCTTGCCAAGCAGGTGCGGCAAAGGAATACTGTTTCCTGTTTTTTTTGCGTTGTGCGGTGGCTATACTGTTTGGGTATTACACATCGTCGACTGTTGGATGTACAGTGGCCTTTGTGCTAGTGTGCCTGCTGGATGCTTTTCCAGAGAATGAGAGGCAGGTTATCGATTCGGTGTGCATGATGTGCACAGTGGGGAGACCTGATGCAATCGCTCATGGTGGTAAAGAAGGGTGATCTATAGTAATGGAATATCTGATTGGGTGTAGGGACGTGAGGGCTTGACAGAACCAAGACACACCATTTCAAAACAGACTGAGAAGAGCATTCTTCGGTGCCTACTGCTGATGGCATCCCGTGGCCAATACTCAAAAGAGGAAGACATGAGGCTAAAAGCATCTCTGGCTATGTGCAATTTGGCATATGTCGATCCCGAACGTGTTCTGCCATTAGTGCACAAGAGGTGAGGCTAATTATGATCAGGTACTCTTACAAGATATGGCTGCCAGATGTTCCTTTGATACGCTGTGCCAACCAACCCCTTAATGAGTTACATTCCTTCTATCTGGCTTTGATACAAACTTGTGTGACTATAATTGATTCCAATTTGGAAGGAAATTCACAGAGCACAAACTGGCAACATTTACAAGAGTTCTGAATGCTCGCATGTACTGTAGCTTCCTTGGTGGAAGGAAGTGGCAATTGAGATGGCCCGCTCCCCCTTTCCAGGTTCGAAGAAGCAATGGAATCGCTGACTGCCACACACCAACTTTCTGCTTCCATCCATGGACTGGGAATTTGTGTGCGGCCAATGCTGCTGGCTGGACTTCATCTTGATGGTGGATTCGATGCCAGAGAAGCCGCGACTGAGGTGAACAGGCTCTATTGGTGCAGGAGGTGGGCTGAGCCGTATGACGCCCCCCCGTCAAATTCCCCATGAATTGCAGTTGTCCGAGTTGGCACAAAAAGCAACGAAGGGCAAACACAGCCTGTTCACCTGATTCACCAAATTTGTATGGGCTGTAATGCAGTGCCAGAAATACAGATGACTAATTACCTCCTGTCTGAATTTATATGTGAATTTGCAGATTGAAATTCTGGATTGAAAGAGCACAAGGGAACTGAAATTGCACCCATCAGTTTGGCGTGCCTTATTCCCTATAAGGAGTGTTTGTAGCAGGCAATGTTGTGTCTCTTTGGGGTTTTGTTCGAGAGATGTTATTGAAATTTGCTTCTGAATTGAAGCAGGCATATTCTGATGGAATTGATATATCAAATGCGTTTTTGAGCGTGCGAAAGCTGCCATGATTTGCCAGTGTTCGACAATGCAATATTGTTGCAGCGCCACTCTGAGTCGGTGCTGTGTTGCTGATTGTTGCCTCGAAGTAGTGAATCTGTCACTGGAAGCCAGTTGTAATAGCTAGCAACCACTTGAGTTGTTGATAGTGCAACTGTGAAAGTGTGCAAATGCATCGCAAGTCTGTTCATCAAGTGTTTGAAAAGCTTTTGCTGATTGCGTTCTCCTGTGTGCAGTCAATTGCAGCAGCCATGATGGAGGTGCTTCCTGGACTGGATGCCAATGATCAAACAAAGACCGGTGCCGTCCTACGCTTCTATGCGGCAGTGATGTTCAGCATCCCCAGCTTGGAGCCGCTGTCTGGTCCAGCTGCTGGCAGACTTGTGCTCCCTTTGGATGTCGAACTGTGGGCCGAGGAAGTGCTGTCAAGAATCTTTGCCCTGCTGGAGAACATGGAAGCACCGGAGCACAGGACCGACCAATCACACACCGCTGCCAAGGCGGCTGTGAAGCCAACATTCTTGATGCATGTAAGCCGCTGTTGTTGTGTTCCTGATCTCCACCTTCTTTGTGCATGCTGGATTGTGTTTGTGGCATTGAAGCAGGAGAAGAGACACGTGCAAGCCAGATAAAGTCACAGTGAAGCAGGGCCGTGTTAGCATGCAAAGGAACTGCTCAATTGTTGCTATTGTCCATTTGGTTTTGCTGTTGTGTCTTCTATTGAACATTGCGCACAGTGCTGGTGATGGAACATGGGTTTTCTTGTTGATGCACAGGAATATGCATTCTTTGAGGCCTTTGTGGATCAGCTGCTCTTGAAATTGCCAGACGATCTGCGACGGCACGTGGTGAAGCGGATCAGTGGTTTTCTCCTGACTTCCTGCTTGCCGTCTGTGATAAAAGAAGCCGGAAACATGTGTTGCTCAGCATCTGAAATTGACCCTGAGGCGACAATCCAATTCCTTGTCAAACCACTGATTGAGAAAATCTTGGAAGAACTCCCACCTGTCTCAGGTAGGCTGTGCATATCAGACAACTGATCTGCAGAATCATTCGTGTCTGGTGGCTCAAGAATGACTATTGTTGTAATTTTTCAATTCCAAAATATTCCACCACATTTCAGTGTCCAGGTGCAACCCCGTCCTTGCAGAGGAGGTGTGGGCTTTCTGGCACCTAGCAAGAAAACACAAGGCGATGTAAAGTTCCCAAAGGTGTGTGCATCGAATGAATGCTCAAACATCAAGGAAGATTGGCATTTGGGGGATGGGCCCTGGCAGATTAGGAAGGAAGGCATAGTCTTTTCTTTGTTTATTTGAATGAATTGCATCAAGGTGTCCATTTTTTCCTGCTGAAGCCAACCAGCAGGTGATACCAAGCATTGTGCTCTTGTGCCTGCCCTGATGGCTTTATTACACACCTGTCAAGAAAGCAGCCAGGGGAGTTTCAGCTTGCAGTGCTACCCTGTTGCTGGCCTCACCTGTGGCACTTTGTTGAAGTTTTGGTCTATTTTGCAGCCTGGCTGCTGACTGCTTTCCTCCTGCAAGCAGCCAATTCTGTTTGTGTTTTCTGTTGTCTGGTGATCAGGAGGAAGCCTCAACAAAAACAATTTCAGCCATTCCCTGGAGACAACGGTTCTTTGGCATTTGAGCCTGTTGCATGCAGCAATTGCAACACTGGGAAAATTTATTGCCTCAAACTCAGAGGTGCTGCTTCTGGCAGATTATTCTCTTCTGGTTGCTGTATTTGCGTCTCAGACTGCAAGTGCAGTGGGGCTTGGCTGGATTGGGAAGGGCATGGCTCCTCGTTGCTGTCGCCTGGAAGATGGTCATGCGTCTTATTGTGCTGAGAATTTTCTTGCAACCCATTTTTGCCCAGCCAACATTCCAACAAGGCTAGAGAATGTGCACGTCTTCCATACCATGTCACGGGGAAATATCTGGAGGAAGTGAATTCCTGGATGCTGTCGATCAAATGCAAACCTTTCAACAATTGCTGCTTGGAGATGGACAGTCTGCTGAAATATTCATCTCCTGTGTGGGCTTCTGGGGCGACCTAAATAGGCCACAGGTTCTATATGCATGCTTGTGTGTACTCTGGCTGTCAGGCACCAATCATAGGACCAGGGCGATATGTCTGTGTGTATTACCTGTGTTTGCTGAAACAACCTTGGGGTGGGAGTTAGGGGTTCTCCAGCTTCAGGAGCACACTCCGTGGTTGTTTCACGCAAACTCACTTTGGGCGGAAGAAGACATCTTGCCTCTTTAGTTTGCTATTTTTGGCATTTCAAGGTACTCAACTTATTATTTGTCTTGACTGCTGCAGTCTGTGATGGAGGTTGTGGACCGTGCGCTTGCAGTCACTTCTAAGGAGATTCAGGGCGCTGGCATGGACATACTTGAAAATGCACTGAGTGCTCTCACGAATTTGTACCCAGTTCTGGAAATTCAAGCATTCCGCACAAACATTCTCCCCTGCGGAGCACAGAGTTGGGTTTCAAAGGACCCTGAGGACTGGTCGCCACCCAGGTGCAGCCCAGTGTTTTGATATTGTATTTGAAACAGGCAGCTGTCGTGTATTATGTGTGATTGTGGGTGCGTTTGGGGCCCATTTCTGTTGCATCATTGCTGCAGTGAACGATGTGCAGGGTGTTGCCCTTGTGCCACTGGTGTTGCACTTGGGTTGAATGTAATTGAATGGGGACAAGTGATATGTGATACATTGCAACAGTGTGTGGGTTGGGACATGGCTGAGTTCATTGAGCACAGGTTTGATCGAAGCCAATGGTCTTGTTTGGGGTTCATAGCCCTGGCCCGAAATCGGTACTGCTGAAGTGCTGTTATGTAGAGTTAGTGGGCAACTGTAAGATGACGATGCAAGTGCATGTTGTTGGGAGGGTTTGGATATACGTTGCATTAGCACTGATTGGGATGCAACTCTTCAGCATTGGCAGTCAGAACTTCAAGAATCAGCGATCACTTATCGCCCAACGATGGTCAGGGCGCCCTGAACCCAAGCAGCCTCCATACCTCTCAGCAGCCCCCAATACTTTTGGGGGCGCATTGTTGGCAAGAGGCAATGTTGAGGAGACCCTGGGTTTGCAGTACATTCAGTCTCAGCCCATGTCGTCTGTCCAGCATGTGACCATCTCTGACTGACTTTATCTGTGTGTTCTCCTGAAAGGTGGCACACCCCTTCTGCTGCTGAACTCAACGCAGCAGAGAAGTTTGTGGAGTATTACCTGGAGTCAGGAATAAATGAACTGCACGATCTTGCATCTGAGATGGTTCAAGATTCCAGTGGCGACTTCAAAGACAGAGTGACGCAGAGCCTGTGCAAGGTGCAGACGGAAGTATCCTTGTTCCTTTTCCCTGATGACAAAGCTCAAAGGATTGTTGAAGCTTTTGCCTGGTGAACTGATAGGCTCTTCTCCTTATTGCTGCGCTGGTTGACTATGTATCACCATGTTTGTATGGGCACGAGCTGGCTCGCATGGCAGTGTTCTTCTGGCAGCTTCTCCAAAACACATCACATGTTAGAGTCCAGTTTCCACCCCTGTCTGAACAGAGAAGATGTGTGGGCCTTATGCTACCTGACAACAATGTGCAAGGCAATGCAAGGTCGTTTGCCAGGGCTTGTTTGCCTGTTGTGCCCCTTTGGGTAGCATTGTTGCATGAGTTGTTGTGTTCCATGTTTGATCAGCATCAAGCCACGATTGATGAACACATCCCCTGCAGATTCACTGTTGATCCCATGCAAATCAAGCAAGAGCTGTGCCTGCAGGCTGTATCTGCAGCTGGTTATGGATGTGCTGCACAGTAACTGATCCAGCTTCTGGTGGAATGTGGCCCCAACACTCATGTTTATGTGGAAAATGAACATGTTCTGATAATGCACTGGTTCCACTTGTGTCCGCAGGTGCGGGCAGTCCTGTTTGGGGCAAAGGAGAGCCTTGTGGATTTTGCCATCCCTGAAGTGGTCCATAAACCTCCAGGCTACTTTGGTGAAGTTGTTCCCCTCAGGGTTGCCGGTGCAAGTGGGATCACGATTGGAGCACCAGGTGCAAGCAGCCGCTGCTGACTATGCTATGCACAACATTGGCCAACTGGGTTTCGTTATTTGATATGCCACAGGCATCTTGTTTACATGCCTTGCAGCCTGTGATTAGACCCTGAAGCTCAGAGCATCCATGTGAGTCTGTATGAGGCCTGTCAGATGGTGTGAAGTCACTTTGTGTTCAGTATTGAGTCTGGGAAGATTTTACACATCTTTTTGGGTTTGGTCTCATAGTTCATAAGTAGTTCAAATACAGAGTTCATCTTTATGCTGTGTGTGTTGATCCGTTTGTGGAATGCAAATCTGTTGGGGCTTGGGTGGATTTCTTTTGTATTCAAAGGCCTGCTCAATTCTTCACTGAATGTCGTTTTATTCTTCTCTTCCCATCTTTCAGGTCTGCATGAACGAGCTGCGGAGGCACTGTGTCAGATCTGCCCCCATCTTGGGGACCAAGATCCAATCGTCTCCTCGCTCCTTGTGGAAGCTATTGATGGTGTGCTGTGCCTTGGAGGATCACCTGCGCCTGATGAGTATTCGGATATCTTGAATGACGGGCAAGATACCGCTGACACCCTGTTTTTGGAGCCCCCAGTGGCGGCCCCATTGCTGCAGGCATGTACACGTGTGCCTCGTTTCTATGCAACTTACTGCAGTGAAAACCGAATTTGTCACGTTCTGGAGTCTCCACCAGTGTTCTATGCTCTCTTTGGAGTCGATTCATGCAGGCGTGGCACTGTAACAGATTCAGGAAATCTCGGATGTTGCTGCGAAGCGCTCGCTCCTAAGAACTCGTTCTCCTCTGCTCTCAGCACAAGTCTTTGAGACAATCCACATCGTCTGTCTGGGTATGCAAACTGTTTTTGTTTGCCTTGCCATGTGTGGGATGTGCAACTGCATAGAGTTGCATTCGGTGTTGACAGGGTGGCCTGTGTTTGGCGGTGCAGGCAGGGGTTAACTGGCACAAGCGGAAACCATTGTACCGCACTCTCTTCAGGCTTTGTGATCAGTATGGAAAGAGGTCATCAGATGCTATGTACCAGATGTGGTATTCCACAGCAAACCCGATTATACTTGACCCCGAACTTGTGCCCAAGAGCTTTGGACAGCTCTTTGGTGAGGTGGTGCGGTTCTCCCTGCACCGATATGAGGTCGTTCGACAGGGGGCACTGTGTATTGTAGAGAGGGCTTTTGTGCGGTAAGACTTGGGATGCCTAGTGTGCCTGCTTGACTTTCTTGCTTTCTAGTTTTGTGTGCAAAAGACAGAACACTGCAGGATGTGTGCATCACCACAAACTTGGTACACATTGGCAGTATGTGTGGATCAATTCCAAAATGAGCTCCTATATGCAATTCATACCTAAATGCGGGCGCTGTTCCAGGTGTTCTAACTATTGTTCAGGGTTTGTTGTGTATTTTGGATTTTGGATTTGATACCTGCTGCCTCATACAACATCTGATTTGTTGTGGTATTTTAGACTTGAGACCTGCTGCATCAACACAATTTCTGTTTGTTCTTCAGATTTCCAGCTCTTGTGGATATATATCAGCCAGTGTATTTGCTGGCCATTGCTCGGTCGCCCATTCCCCAAGAATTGTCGTTGAAGGCGCTTCATGGCAACCCAACGTTCCATGAGGACACACACAAGCAGCTCATGGCTTTCATGTCACCTCTGGATGTTGATTCAATTCCGTCTGTGGCTGGTCAAGCCACAGAAAGTACTGCAGAGGAGATGGAGCAGGATGCCATAGTGGCAGGAGCAGTATCTGTCATGGCTGTGTCGGTCGCATGGAGAGGGATTTTTAGGAACCCAAAGAAGCTGGCGATGGCCGTGTATGTAAGTTTTTTGTGCACAATAAGCTGGGGTGTTTGTAAGGGTGTGAAGTGGCAGGCGTTAAAATGCCTCCTCATTGTGTTGATGGGTGTGTGTGGTGGCATGCAGCTTGCTCTTATATCACATTGTGGAGAAAAGCGCCGAGCTGCTTGTTGTTTTAATTGTTCTTTGCCCGTCCCTAGTCCCATGTGCTTGCTGCTGAAAATACTGAGAACTGGAAAAGAGCTGACAGTTGCTGAAAGGATGCTTCTCTTCATCTTATGTAAAGAATGGATTGGTTTGGTCTGCTTGACAACGAGACAATGCAATGTTGCTCAGCTGCGGTGTCATGCACTCCACGATGTGTTTGAACAAGTGCAGCAGTATTGGCAGCGCGAGGCCTGTCTCCATGTTTCCTGGAAGTTGGCATGGATGAGTTTGGGCATTAACCATCTGTGTTTGCAGGCTCTCATGGGATCCAGGCAGAACAAGAGCAGTGGCTCGCAAATGTCTGCCAGCATCTTCATTTGGCAATTCCTGCTTCGTTTCCTGGGGGTGCCTGCTGGCCATGGAGGTGAGTTTCATGTGTGTGCCCATGCACTGCAAGGGTTGACACATCACGCACTATTTGCACTGCACACCATTGGCCACACAAGCGTTTCAGGTGGGGCTTGCCCCAGCTGCATTGCAACAGCTCTGGACGTGGAGAATAGTTGGAAAGTAGCTTGTAGTTACCAGCCTGTGTGACTTATCTGCAAGGCTTGTGGAGGATTGTGGGCAAAGACCAGGAAAGAAGCACATGATGACCAGTTGCGATTTGGGGTGGGTAGGTGGATTCTCAGTGGGGTGTAGCCTTTCTGGCTGCATGCCTTTCTGGCTGCATTTCTCATGGATTTGAGGTGAGCATTTAGGATGATACGTTTCTGGATCCATTTGTGTGGAAGGAGAGATGTGTGATATGACCACCATGTTCTGCCATGTTTGCAGAGATAATTCATTCATGCTGATCGTGCAGCGGGCAATGATGGTGCCGCTTCCTGTACTGCCCAGGTGCTATTGATGCAGAGATTCTTGAATGCCAGAGAAAGCTGATGCAGCTTGGGAAAGAGGGCGTCCTTTTGAACTGGAAGTATTCTCTGCTAGCCAATATCCTGCTGCTCGCCAGCCTTCCAAACAGGTCTGATGCAGCCATAGTGGCCTGTGTGGAGCACTTTCTTCAGGTAATTGATTTCTGCCCAGATGCAAAGCCAGTGGTGTGTGCCGTATGTGGGATGACTTGCTCTTTTGAGACTGAAATGAAGCACAATATTACTATCCGCTGTTAAAAGTCTCAGCGGGCCATGAGAACCACAGTCACGATCGACATTTGAGAGATAAAGGATCTGTTCTGTGGTCTCTCCACTTCATAGGACCGGCTCTGGCCTGCAGCTAGAACAGTGACTACAGGTATCCATTCTGCACTGCGCAGCTTAGGTCAGAAGGCAACCTTGTGACAAGGCTTTTTTTTAGTTTTCTTTGGGGGCAGGGTGACTGACCTTGAGAATTTCCGCATTCTTGGCCCAAGTCTGGTGAGTTCACATGTTGCCGTCTTTTCAATACATGTTCATTATTTACAGAATTTGAGGGCCTTCAATGAACTCACAGAGGGTGCCCTGACCAGATTTTAAAAAAGTAATACTTGCATGATGCAAATACGCCTTTTTGTACCTAAGGCAACAATTTTTCTCAACAGAGGATGCAGCAGTCTGGAAGGAGGGCATTGTGTGAACAGCCCCATTCTTAGAACAATGTCAGCAGATGCTGATGTGGGTGATGTGGCGATACATGACCAGCATCGCTCCCAACTCGCAAGCCTCCCTCGGGAAGGTTGCAATGATAATATACCTGTGCATTTAGAAGCAACCTTCTGTGGCATGCAGCGCAAGGTAAAGTGTCGAGTGTCCTGCAATTGTGGAGCTGCTGTTGTGTCGTGTATCACCATTTGCAGTCCAACGATGTTGAGCTGGCGTCAAAATCATTGAACATCATACACAGGCAGCACCACCCCCTGGAGTGGCAACTGTGCATGCGCAACGGTGCTTACAATGTGTGCTGGATAACCCAACAAAATCAGCCTTTTGCATCTATAGACGACACACTGCCACAATACACTCGAAAGTAGACAACAAGACTAGAGCGCTCAAGAAATCGGACAGCCATTGGTGTTGCACACAGGTCTATTTGTATGCCACAGACTTGGTGCCTGTTAGACTACCTGCTGTCTGCTGTACATGTTATCTATTGCATGCCCATGCTGCTTTTCCCTCCTGCTCTGAAATCAGAAATCAGAATTTCTGCTCAGAAATGGCTAGTTCGTGTGGCAGAACAGCAGCCCAAACAATATCCCATTGTTTGGTGCAAAATCCCTGCTGTTGTGTAGCTCACCTGACACACAAAGATGCCCCTGATGCAGGCAATGAATAGCAAGCTGCCATCCTTGAGGCAAGTCTGCATGGTAGGGCTGTACTCCACTTTGCGGCCGCTCATCACATCAGGAGTGGTGAACCAGTCAGTCATCCAAAAGGTATGGAACATATTGTCCTGTGCAAAAATGAGCATGTTTGCATGTCACTAGTGGCGAGCGTACCACACGACAGTTGGCACTGCGATTGGGCACGTCTCTCCACCGCAGTGGCCACTGGCCTCAGTGCTTAATAACACTGCAGCATGGTGGAGGAAAATCATGGCACTAGTCTTGCTGCAGTTGGATTTGTGGGGATCAGGGTTGCAACAGACGACCTGTTGGGCAAACACAGTCAGTCCCACAGGACTATGCAGCTCCCTGTGGGTGTTGATGCTGTTTGTGCATTGCTGCACTGACCCTCCATTGTTGTCGCTGCTGTTTCAGGTTCGTGAGTATATTTCGAAACCTGGGTTTGGTGACAGTTTTCTCCACAACCTGATACATGGCCATGTTACCCACCAAGCTGACGATGATTCCAAGAAGTATCAAAAGCACATCCAGTACAGGATCAAGGAAGGGTCTTTTGAGGAAAGGCTTGTGCGGAATGCGCATGTGCTGCTGGACAGGTGGGTTGCCCCTTTCCATTCCCTCACTGTGGAATGGAGGCTGCTTTTGTGTTGTATTGTTTCTGGGGGTTTTGCTTGGCTTGTGAGAAACGGATAGAAAGTTGCCTGCTGTTGGTGAGGCAGAGTCCGTGACATATGTTTGCGTTCACTCGTCAGCAAACGATTCCTGCTGCACGAGTCACCCAGAAAACTCCCCAATACAGAGGGGCAGGAAGCACAACAACGGGTTCTTATTCATGGAAGTTCTCAGGAATCTGAAAAGCTTGTGTGGTGCCTTGCAGGTTTGGCAAGTGGCCAGAGACTGACAATCCATCGGCCACGCTGGATGGGAGTTTTGACCTTCCGCAGGCGAGAGTGGTCCAGGTGAGACTGTTGGACTGGTGTTGACGAGGAGAAGTATTGGCAGTCGCACATTGGATTATGCTGTGTGCAATCGCTGTTTACAAAAGCGTGCAGTGTTGCTGGCCTTCCGCATGCAGTGAGAGCGCCATCTTCAGCCACATGACAGTTGTGAAATTGTCTTGGAATTGATTCTGTCACCTTTGATGTCCTGTGCTTGTCTGGGTGCAGGCCTTTATGTCCCTTGCCCCATCAGAAATGCTGTCTGCTGTACGCCAGCCTGTGCAGGCGCTGGTGGAGGCCTTGGGGAAGCACGAAGCCGAGAAGAATGAACAGAGTGCACTGGCTGAAATTCTTGGGGGCATTTTAGCATCAGGTGTGCCATGGTGCACCACTTCCTCGGGTTGCAAGCCCTGGGATGAGTGGGTGAAAGATGCACTAAGAGCAACCTTGGAAGCTGCCCCTCTGGAGAACTCGAGTGTGTATGTCCTTGCTGTCAGGTACTGGCTGTGCATGACCCAAGACTTGCAAATAGGCATTTCCAGGAAGAAAGAGCAGCGGATATGTTGACATATCTGATCACCCTGATTGTGAATTTGCTATGGAACCGGTGTCTTCACATCAAAAGCCTTGGTGTGAGTGAGCAGGCTATGGACCCAGACAGCAGTGCAGAAGCATGGCATATAGACTGGGAGCACAGGCCTTTGTGTTTGACTGCAAGAGTGTGGTCTGCTGTGCGATGGCCTCTGGTTAGTCCGAGGAGTCGATTCGTTGTGTTGTGTTTTATTAGTAGGCCTGGATTGAGATGAGCCTTATGCAGAGGGGACAGCGCCTTTATTCACTGTGTTGACGTTCCATAGTATAGCGAATTTGAGTGCCCATGGCAGGCGGGTACCTGTAGAGCTGGGGCCTGTCCACATTGTACAGCCACTGTGGACTTTGCACAATGCCACAGTTGGGTTTCTGTAGCTTGTTGTGAGTGAAATGAAGTGTTGCACCCAATATCACAGCTGGGATTCTTTGTGCATCTTACATGAATAAAAAGAAAGTGTGTTGCACCAACCACCAGGTTTGGTGTTCGTGGGCTGCTCGACCTTGTCAGTGAGAGCAATGGTGGCAGCTGCCTTGGTGGTGGAGATTCTGCAATGCCAGCAGTGAAGGCCCTGCTTGGTGCCATATGCATACCTTTTGATATATCGGGTGCTGGTCAGTCAGCCGCTGAGATCAAGCGACTCAGCAACCTGTGTGGCGCTTTGAAAGAGTTAATGATGGTAAGGCAGGGGACTATGCTATTGTGTTCATTGGGTTTGATCTCATCTGGTGAAGGCATGGCTTCCCTGGTTTGTCTTTTTGTGTTTTCTGCATCGTTGTCGATGCCAGATGCGAGATGCAATCTGGGCCCACAATGGGGTTCATTGGGGTTATGGATCAACCCACTGAGCGCGTGACACTGTGGTGATGGAAGAGTTTGTGTGGCGATTGCTGTGTGTGTGCATGTGTTTTTTCTCAGGTGTTTCCCTTGGAAAGGCTGCCAGCACAGCTGGTACCTATATTTGCTGGCATTCTGGAGCAGCTGCCCCAGTTGATGAACATTGAGCTCCAAAGCGTGCGTGACCATGTGGCACGTCTCATGGTTTTGGTGTGTGGTTTTCTCTTGGAAGACAAACAACTACCTGTGGAGAACTCACTGAAGGAGGTCCAACAGAAGGCACAGGTTGGTCCTGCAGTAAGCTGCTGGGCATGGATGGGGTCCAGCATCAGCTGACTTGTAAACAAGACTGGTAAACTTGATTCGTCTTTAAAGGGCAGAGAATGGTTCATGGTAAATTGTGCTGTTGCAGCATGGGGCATACGGTCCTCAGCCCAACAAAAAGTAGGTTTAGGTTGCATATCGACAGTGATTGTGTTAGTTTTGCAGTACTGTGGATCCGAGCAAAAGCGATGCTAGCCAGGTGGCTGCAGCCAGTGGCGGGTAGCCCTGCACAGTGCCGTATCATTCTTGACCAGTTGGCAATAAGACAGCACCATTTGCTGTTGGAAATTCGTTGTTGTTTTTGACCGACTTTTTGTGAACGGTTACACAGGGTGTGTGCGACCTCTTAGTCCGGCGATTTGCCGAGGGGGTGGAGGTTATAAAGTCTACGGCAGCAGGAGGGGTGCCAGAATCGGATGGCGGCAAGAGTGCAGACCCAATGGAAGTGGAGGGTGCTGGGGCTGAGGAAGGGAGTTCTGAGTCGCATGCCGCTGCGCACGTTGGCCTTGATGCCAAGGTTGGGATGGCGGCTGAATTTGTTACTGCAGGCATGCGCTTCTGTCAATCTCCCAGCCTACAGCATGTTCTGCTCAGGCTGCTCTCTGGCTTGTTCCAAGTACAGGTAGGCAGTGTCGTCCAGACGTATTGCAGTGCTTTTCCTGCATTTTTGGCATCGACATGCTCACCCCCACTACCGTCATTTTGCATAGTCGTTGACGGATATTGGACAAACTCATATCCTCGGGTTTTAGGTCTGCATGGAGGCTGTATGCAGCGCCCTGCACTTCGCATATTAATGGAGCAACAGCGATCACATGTATAGTTCTGAATGCGGAACCTGATTGAACCAAACGATGGCTGCCCTTGCTCACCATGCGGGAAACAAACCTCCATGGCATGTGTACTTGAGAGCCTTTAGAACCATGGCGAATGTTCCCTTTTTCCAGCCAACTGTGCTTGCACTCTGTATTGATCCTGGATAGCACAGAGGGTCGCCCAAAGAAACTGGTGACGCAAGATTGGGAAAAGAGCCCCAGCAGCCGTTGCCTCTGATGTTGCTTGGAATGCCACTGTGAAGTGTGTGGAAACAATATTTGCCATGTGACTTGGTGTGGTCGATGTTGTGTTGCACTCTCAAGAGTTTTGACCATTGCCTTGTGTGTGACCTTCGCTTCATTCCCTCAAAGGCCAAAAGCTGTGTTGATGCACCCTTGTGACACGGTCTTGCAACTTTAAAGTCAAAAAGTAATTGGCGTCTGCTGATGAAACTCCCTTGTCTACCTTTATTATGGCGCGCACTGTGCTCTGGAGTGCCGCCTTTTGCCCATTGCAGGCATCCCAGTCTCAGAATTCTTCTAGAAACAACCATCGCCCGCTGCAATGCTCTGCATGGGCGGCCTTAGTCGCCTCCTGCTGTGACATGCCGTTGTTGGACGTCTCACAACGAGAATGGTGGGCTGCGCAGGAGCTAACCACCCCGAGCTTGAAGCCACTGCAGCTCGAGGCATCCACTGCGTTTGCGCTGCTAAAGTACCTGCCAGTTTCTGTGAGACACGTCCAGGACGTGGTTGACAGTATCTTGGAATCTCCAAAGATGGACCAGTGGAGCGCCCGAGCGGCAGGCCTTGTCTACTTGCAGGTGACCGTAGGTGCAGGGAGCCATCCTCAGCGCCGTGAGCAGATGTGTCCCCTGCCCTTCCAGCCACCATATCTCTTGTGTCTGTTCCGGATGCACCACGCAACGGCTGTCACGCCAATGGACTGCGCTCAGGACGGTGCGGCATGAAATTAGTCGCTGTCTTTTCCACAAGCTTCCCTTCTTGTCTCGGACATCCTAAGCCCCAAACAACTGACCCACTAACTGGTGTTTGCCTTGTCAGCGGAAGAAGGAGGGATCTTCATGGAAAAGACAGAGGCATGGATATATTCTCGGACGGACCTGACATGGTGACGATTGGGTGATGCGTGTGCAGGTGTTTTGGTTCCGCCACTGTTTCTTGTTGTCTCCCAAGCAATCCAGCAGCCTGGAAGACATGGTCGTGAGCAGGCTTTCGGATACCAAGCTGGAGGTGCAGACGATGGCATCAAACACCCTGGCTGGCATCCTGAAAGGTGTGACACGAGCCAAAAGGCGGATGTCGACGTAGAGTCGCGTTGGGGTGCTGGTGGAGACGCGCACTGGAGTGCCATGTGCTGCCATCCACTGCGCTTGCCTTCATGCGGTAGACGTGATTTGTCAACAGCAGTGGCAGGGCCTATCAGAAAGGGCTCAACCAGGCGAAGCAGACCTGGCTGCCTGTTTTGAGCTTGCAGTGATTTGCTGCCTCATTGCCTTGTTCTGTAAAAAATCATGATGATGATGATGATGATGATTTGCTGCCACTGCATCAATCTGTCGCATCACCTGTCCAATGACGTTGACCATGACGTTGACCGTGACGTGTTGCTGCTGCAGGGATGGAACCGATGCAAGAGCAAGCACTGAGGTCGCAGTTTGTATCCCAAATCCGGAGATTCTACCCTAACGGCCGACGAGCCAAGAAGGCCAAAGACTGTGCAACTGTGCAGGAGAAGCACGCATGCATTCTGGGACTCAGAGGGTTTGTGATTTGCCACCCCTACGACATCCCCTCGGAATGGATGCCCGAGCTGTTGACGCTGGTGGTCCCCGCGGCTGGAGACCCGCCGCCCATTCGGACGACTGTGACAAAGATGCTGGGTGAGCAGGAGCCTGGAGGGTTGGTCCTCAATAGAGCTACGGTTGGCCCCCTCCTGTCGTCACCCTGATGGGTCTCGTGGAGTCACAGTCACACAACAGGCAGTGTCCTCCTCTAAGGGCCCTAAGGGCGCCTGTAGTCCAACGTGAAAATGTCATTAGCGTTGCAACACAGGCTTGTCTGCGGCATATTGGGTGCCCGCTGCCTCAGCACAGGAGTCCAATTCTCCGCGTATGTCTGATGCCCTTCATTTCCGGACATGATGTCATGGAGGTCATGAAGTCAAATGGCAATTACACATGCATGCAGGGCTAAAATCCCCCTTTTCCTCACACATAATGGGAGCTATAGGTGGAATGAAGGTCATGAAGTCGTGAAGGCATGAAGCCGTGAACTCATTAACTCATGATGGTCATGAAGGTCATTTTCGGGTTTAGGGTGTTTAGGTTTGTACAGTTTAAGGCCCCTTGTGCCCTTCGTGACCTTCATGTCCTGAGATGATAACCATCGGATAGTCCTCGTTCTATGGCAAATGCGAATGTGCAGTGCGCATTTGAAAGTGCGGACAGTTCCAACCGCCTTCTTTGCTGTTGGACAGGCGATTTCCGTCGGACGCACGAGAACGAGAGCCGTGAGGACCTGCGTGCCGCCTTTGACGACGAGCAATGGGAAGCGCTCATGGGCGTTGGCGCCCAAGCTTCCTACTTCACTTGAAGGCTGCACTGAGCGATTGTGAGAGCAGTTTGTAACCATATTGACTCAGCAAGGGACAATTGTCGCAGCGCGTTGCTGGGGCAGGCACGCCATTTTTGACGACCGCAGTGACATTCAGCACCGCTGGTAGCAAAACGCATGGCGCGAGCGCGCCCTGTGTTCCAGGTACTGAACTGCTCCAGCGTCCCAGTCACCTCTGTGGGATTGCGGGAGGCGGTCCGGAACGGGCTTGAGTGTGGTCATCTTCATCAAGATGGCAGTTCAGCGCCGTCGCGCAGGCCGTATGCTTGCATGCCCATCGAATGAAAACACACCTGGAGAACGCGAATGCGACAACACTGCGTGAGAAACCCACACGGAAAATTTGCCTGAGATGGATTTCTTTCTTCGCTGGCGCCGCCGCCTGACCGTCAACTTTTGTGCATTGCCACTCTGCCATTTGACGTATGCTGCAAACATGGTGACGCGGCTTTAAACGCGGAGCGTGGGGCATGCTCACTTGACAGCTTACCATGACCCACCCAAGCAGAGAAGAAGCCAGCCTGGCGGCGTTCATTGCTTCCCAGACGTTGAACCTGGTCTCGAAGTCTCCATCCAGTGGGGCGCTGGCGAAGCCAGGCACTGCGTTGAACAAGTAGGTCATCTCATCATCGAAATCTGTGCACAAAACCTGCATCGAAAGTACAAGGCAACCTGTGACCGTCGTTGATTTGCAGCTGTAAGGTGACCCACAGGCGTTCCGCGGCCATGGTTGCACAGGTTGTTATCTGGAGCAGTCGGCGGACCGCCTTGTGCCTCTCCTCATTGACATTGCAATGCCACTGCGGAGGAGAGGCACAAGGCAGTCTAACGACAAAACATACCAATTGGCACGCGACTTGTGCCTAATTCCCTAGCACCCTTACCATAACACCTAATACCCCAATAGGGCATGCTGACAACAATGCATCAAAGTGTACCGTGCACTGCTATGGGTACACGAATACAGGTGCACGAATGCGCGCGCCATATCGATGTGGCAACGGCAATCCTTCACTCGCGTTTCGTCTTATGTGGTCAGGCTGACTCACCACCAGTGCGTATGACAAGCCGTAAAGCAGAATCACCGCCACGGGCATGTGTCGCAGCCAACCTTGAGGACGTCTGTCCCAGAGCAATTCGCCAAAGTACCTGGAACCAGCAACATGGCGCAGTGCGCCGCAATGACATGGACAGTGTTGTTGCCAGAATGCTACAGCGCAACCTCAATGCAGTTCCTGTATTCGAAGTCGAACGTCCCGTTCGCCCTGGGGACAAGGCCACGGAGAGGAATGAGCTGAACACCACTTTTCGCAACGGCAACGCACGGTGTCCCCAAATTGCGACGAGACAAACAACCTCCGATTCGCCTCTGTTGACAATTTTGGCTGCCGTCATAGCAATTGCCACACGCGCGACGCCTGCTGAATTGATTGCCAAGCCTCGAACGTATCTTTGCCGCGTTCAGTCGGGGACGAACCGCGAGCCCATCCAGGCACTGTTCACAAAATTCACATCGATGCTGAAACATCTGCGCCAAAATCTAGTCCGGATTTGCACGCTTCTCACAGGCTCAACGGCACAAACACCTTGCAGACGTTGCAACCACGGAGATAGCTGCGAGAGTAGAAGAAATCCTGTTGATCAGGAGCGCGACTGGAGAGTAGAACGATAGGAAGACTCCCCGCTGAGCGTCAATGCGGGCAGGGCCACAGAAGTAGAGAATGACCAAGAGAAGCAGCGCCAACCCCGCCAACAGCCCCTGCACACAGAAATAAATGAGGGACCATTTTCAGCCAATAAATGCAAACGCAGCTGAATTAGTAACAGAGACATCCCTTCCAGGAAGGCAAATCCCGCCACGTGGCAGACAGGCCCTTTCCCCGCAACACCCCAAATTCTGAGGCTCGTGCCTTCTACGCCCCACAGTAAATGAAGTGTGTGAACTCTCAAGTCATGTGCAACACCGCGATGATTCCCATGTGGTCTCATGGCTTCATGCTGCTCGTGACACCATTCCTGCTTCTATCGGCTTCAACATGCTGCAATGTGTGATGCGCGCCTCCTGGCGAAATGTGATTTGGGATTTCCCTGAATATCGACTCTGTGGCAGCTTGTTCATCAGATACTGGCAAGTCACACTCAGTGCACAGATTGCAAAGATTGTGCAGTCTCCGGGCATGGTACTGAGCAACACAGCTCAACAACTGGAAACTTCCAGGCCTTCGGCAAATTGATGCCAAGGGGATGCTTATGCGGGACCACGTTCATTTGTGGAGCAAGAGGAAAAAAGCCACCTGTACCTGGCTGAAAAGCCCGATCGTTCGAATCGTCTCCATTCCAGAATGAGCCATTGTTTGCAATCGGGGTTGACCTGTGGCACAAGGGTGTTCACCACAAGCCAGGCTATACACTGCATTCAAATGGATTTCACAGCACCGGCAAGAACCCAGGTACCCAGATACGGCAAGTGGAAATGGTGTTAATCATCATTCGTCCTGGGCCGAAGTTAGCAAAGGTGGTCTCACACAATCAGCCATTCTCAGATGCTGTGAATTGCCAGTTGGCAATGCACCAAGTTGGCAAATACATTATAGGAAGGGTTCCATGCGGATGCATGTTCATTCACATGAACTGATCATAGGCCGCACATATTTGAGACAATGCCTGCCCTCACACACCGCAGCAGGTCAAAGTGACGCAATGATGGGAATCTTCACGCTCAACCTGGCGGGCATGTTGAACAAACAGCCCAGGGGTCCGTTCCACCTCCGTTTCGCACATGCAGTGTTCCATTTTCGTTGCATTCAGCACCATGACTAAGTGTCACGTACAGAATCCCAACGATCACAAAAGGACAGCAAGCTTTTCCTCCATTGCAGGAAACAGTCAAGGCATGGAGAACCAACCAGCAGAGGCAGCTGTTGTGCCACAGCAGGGGAGATGTGCACCACGGCAGAAATAAGCATATCTGGCACAGCTACAAGCTGAACACTATCGACTCAAGGGTTTTGACGTCTACCCAATGCAGAATCACCACAAGCATCACATTAGACACCAATATGAAGCAGCCCAACAGCGGGGCGCAATGAAATGCAGCAAAATGGTGCAAAACAGATGCAACACCTTGACTGGCTGAAAGGCTGTCATTTGCTTCTGCAATGACCAAGGGTGCCTTGTCATCCACAGTGTGGCACCTGCATCGAGAGTTGAAGTATGGGGTGTGGCACTGTGGCAATCCTGCTGGGGGTCACGTATCCTGCGGAAAAGACCTGCAAGTACAGACGCAGGACTTCAACACATTCATTCCTTCAGCAAGGGGTCGCACATTAGGGAAACAAACACAGGGGTTGGCAAACCATTTCACCATCCCGGCAACTACAAGCTTCTTGTGTCACAAACGTAGACCTCCAAATGCATGTGCCACGGATGATATCCTTTGTACCGGTTTTGACTCAGAATTTGACAACAGGTTACTTCATTTGCCAACAGGAGCCTTCTGTTACCTGTTTTCGAGTTTTCCACAAAAACCTTTGCTGACTTTGTGTGATTACTCTCGTCTTCACCTGTGGTCACAGTTCGTGCTTTACTTTACCAAGTACAAATGGTGCAGCACACAGAAAGGCACTTACACAAGGTCAGGAAAGTGAGAAGGCGTAAAGCTGTGAACCCTTGCCAGTGGCAAGACAGTGCAGGGAATAAGACCATTAGAAAGCTATTAGCTCTGAAAGCACTGAAATGCCAAATTTCGGTTTTGCTTCAGTACTCACTAATGAGCACATCCAGCCCAGTGCTAGCTTCACACAGTGCAAAGGCCTCTGATCGTCCAATTCATGAATAGCAGCAGACAATCGTCCCAGCAAACTGTTTTGATTTGGTACCTGGCAGGGAGAGGAGACCTGTTTTCTCGTTGTATTTGTACAAGGAGTTGGGCACTGTGTCTTGTGGACTGCCATTGCCGCTTGGCAGAGGTGGAGCCACTGCCTCGGCTTCGCTGCTTGTGCGCCTGATCAATGGCACAGACCCCAATAGCAGACACAAGCGTGGACTGAAAGAGCATTTTCGAGACATAAACAGCCAAATGGTAGAGGCTCTATTATGCAAATCAAAATCAAATGTGATGCAACTGGTAGCAACTGTGCCCTTTCCATCACAGTTGAGAGATGGCTTTCATTGGGCTATGCTAGCGTCTTCCATCGGTACATTACAGCCATGCCGAAAGAGAATTGTGGTTGGAACAGAAAGTGCCCTGGGTTGAAGTTTATGTGTTGGAGGCCCCAAATCTCCATACAGTTGACTGTTTATGGCCACACCAAATGGAGTAGTACAATGAATATGAATACCTTTCGTTGTCTTCATCGACTGTGGCCTCTCTGTCATGTTGGTCCTGCACAATGCTCCCACAGTTTCTCAGATTGTGGTTCGCATCAAATCATTGACAACAGGATAACACAGCATAGGGGCAACAAAGATTCTTCAACTCCTTCAAGCACAAGCAATAGTTTCCTGTACATATCGTTTGCGCGTTGCTTTCCAGGGTTTGCACCACCAAACAGTGGAAAAGGATCCACTGTCACGCCTGACGGTAGGTACCTCTCTTGGGCAACACAGTTGCGGTGCACAACAGGAAGAATTATATGCTGTTGACTTCGACCTTGTTTGTTTGCCAGTTTTGTTGTTGCATAACTGAAGATGGTGAAACGGATACAAACAGGAGGAGAACTGAATTCCCATCGTTGTACTCGCCACTTACACAACAGATCGAAGAAAATGCTCACACAAAGTGTCAAATTTGTGCCAGTCAAATTTGTATTCCTGCGGCTCCCTCCCCTTGAGAGATGGCCGGGTTTCCACTGCAGTGGCAACAGTTCTTTCTGATTTCTCTACCTTGAGTGCACTGTCCTTGGGCAACCTTCCCTTCAATACTTGCGCAGCAGATGGACTTTTCTGCACATCGTCTGTCCCACAGCTGCAGCACACACAGCCGTTTCACACCCCCCGCCAGATGAACCCAGGCTGGGGGTCAGGGTGCAAGCACGCCAGAAAAATGGAAGGCTTGCTCCTGTGTACTCGTTTGTTTCCCGCCACGCTTCAACACGACCAGGCGCGCTGCCATCCTTCAAAGCGCATCTTGTGGACCAACAATCCTCACGTGTGCGAGTGGATGTGCTGCGATCGTTCACATCCTTCAAAGCGCTGTCGCCGTCGCTGGCGGACGCACCTTGCCGTTCGCGCAGGTCCGGGAGGCGTCGAATGCTCCTGTCGCATGCGGCACGTTCAGGGAGCGGCAGGGTTTGCTGGAAGTACAGCGGGTGGCGCGCGGCGGTGCCCTACCCGAAGGGGCGGCAACCTCCTCGATGGACTCCGGAGTGGTGCAGGAGCGTCTGGAGGGTTCATGCCTGGGCACGCAAGGCTTCCTTCACCCGTTTGTCTGCCGCAAGGCCCCACAGCAAGGCGCTTGGGTTGGCGCCCTGATGACGTCTCCGCGCTGGCTTAGTGGCCAATGCCCTGCGGTGTTCGCCTATGGGTGGCGCTGTGCGTCCCCCAATGCGCGCTCAGGCACCGGAAAGCTACCTACGAATCGATGATCGTTTGGGGCGTTTGAGGCGGGCCTTAAGGGCGGCTGTCGTTCGTGAAATTTGCATTTCAAACACCCTTCCAGGACAGACTACTACAGGCAAGTGCTGTAAAGTACCGAACCTTACATCATTTGTCCCAAAAACGGGGTTTTCAAGGGATTCAAGGCAAGTCGCTGCCTTCCGGCTACGCCAGCCAGCCTTCCCGTCCCCAGCGGGTGGCTTGGTGGCGTGCACGAAGCCCGTGACAGCCAAGCTGTCGCGACCGCTGGTGCCGCAACTTAGGCCCTACCGTCACTGATCCACGGTGGCCTTGTCAGCACAAGAAGGTGGGATCCGAACACAGAGAAGCTGAAGGACTAATTTCACGGCGTTGTTTTCCTATTTGCCCCGCTGTGTCAGCACCGGCGCTTTTGATGCATCGCTTCTGATCATGCATGTGATTGTGTGCCAGAGATGTCCATCATATGCAGGTCGCTTTGCCATGGGAGGGGCCGCGTGTGGGACCATTGCGAAAATTGTCGGAAACGTGTCCTGAAAGGAAGCAGTCTTTGTCCAGTGGAGTGCTCTTACCAATTTCCTTTTGGCAGTTGACCTCGTCTGCCTCCTTCTGAGGCCGCTGACTTCAATGTATTTGCGACGACACAATCAATCGGTGGCCCGCTTTGTTGGATAATATGTGGGAGATAGGCGCAATGGTGAATTTGTTCTGTTCTATGAAAAGGAAACGTTGCAGCGAAGAACCGACAGGGTCTGATTCATGTTACACTGTGCGCACATGTTTGTGATTTGTCTTGTGGCCACGTCTTTGGCTGCCTGTCACCCACGCCTGGAGAGCTGGTTTGCACGGCCAGACAGACGCACACCAGCACAACGTGACAGCATTACCAGTGATGATATCTGGGGAAAAAGGAATTTTGTTGGATTTTGTATTTCGTTGGTGGAATAAATTGGGCATCAGTCAGCAAATCATGGACACTGCATTCTCAGGCAAAATATTGAGCTGACGGCTACCTCCTCGTCTTGGCATGGGAGCTTCGAACCAGAACTGCGTCACTGCTGCGCAGTTCAATCCCAATCGGTAGTCGTGCAATCGCGAACCCTACGCCAATAAAGCCCATGCCCCCTGTCGGTTGGTCTCGCTAACGGCCTCATTGACACCCACAATAGGCCAATGTGCACAATGCACATGCTTTCCAAGCATCGAATTCCACCTGCAAGGCATCTCTCAATGCTTTCCCGGCAACCGACACCCAGCCAACATCCGTTAACTCGCCAGCCCCTCGGTAATAGGATGTGCCCCTCAGTAATAGTGGTGAACAGAGGTGGCAATCGCTGAGACATTCCTACACCTGTCCTATACACAACATTGTTCATTTATCTGTCGTGCTGAGTTGATAATACATACCAGGACAAGGAGACAGCCATCAGCTACATATTTCACCCAAAATGTCATTATCCACGACTTATTCAATGAGAACCCAAGACATAGGTGGAATCCAACCAATCACTGGATTGCTGTCCATAAGAATTCATAAATTCATGAAGTTCGGTACATTCACACACAGATCACCCGATAACTGGAAATGCCAAGCATAAGACCTCACAGCCTGTCACGAAACGCAAGCGACTCCACGATTTGTAATTCGCTTGCTGGGAATAGAGCGCCATGCTCCATGCGATTGTGGAGGATTCCAATCCGCGCCATTCTATCGATTATGGGCCTCACCGTGGTGACGCCATCACATGCCTTCAGTGCTGAGCAGTTCCAGTCCACTTTGGGCCAAGAAGGCTGCATTGTCGGAAATCTAAAATCTGACAGGAAAGTACACCATAACACTCCGTTTCCTCCCCTGGCAACTGAAACGGGTAGCAAAAGAGGCAAAAGAAGAGGAGACATGGCGTATGCCGAGCGGTTGCACACAGGTGCATGCACCATCTTCCAAGCACAGCGTTGCATCTCCAGTCGCCAAGATTGTGCGCATGAACTTTCGTGGTTGGCACTGGTCAAGACTCAACCCGCTGGTGCTTTGGAGGATGTCAATTGCTCACTACCTGTTTGCCCACCAGATATATCAGGGACTGCCGCCCCAGCGGCAATGCTCCCATTCACGCCATTAACTACCCGCAGACTTCTTGCTTTCAATTCTTTCATCACAGATGCCAGCCACTCAGCGGAAACAACATCAGACCAGGGGGCTCCATAGGGTTCCTTCGCCTGCACCCACCCCAGGTGTCCACCTGTTTCTGTCAAGACAAGCGTGCAGTAGGGGTTTCGTTCAAGGTCTTCGTATGGAATGGCTTCCTTAACAGCTATTGGATCATCCAGCGCTTGGACACAGAGAAATGGGACTTGAATTCTCGAGATTTTGTTGCAACTGCCAGATCCCCTGTAGTACGCATCCACGTCTGCCCAGCCTGACACATCCCCCACAAACACAGTGTAAAAATGCTCCAACAAAAGTGTGGACTATTGGCACAAGTGCACATGTCACAGCTCAGGTGTACGGCATGTGCACATGACAAATTCGCATGGGTGGGTCTCATGAAGGCTTGGTGGCTCACCTGGGCTCAGGAACTTGGATCTCATGGCTGATTTGGTACAACGATTCGCTCATTCAGCCTGGGATACACATGTAACGCTTTTTCTATGCCTGCACACGACTGGACTGCTAACGCGGGATGCTAACGTGTACATATGCTGTTCGTGAGCCAGGTTATCATCGAATGTCCAGAATACTGAAGCTGCGCAACGCCATTTCGACAGCATATAACGGCATGGTTTATTGCCCGAAATCAGGAGTAGGGTGTCAAGCTCTCCTGCATTGCTGCCTTGTGCTCGAAGAAGGCTTGATGATTCAGCATGAGTCTTGAGTGTGGACATGGCGTGTGCGATAATTTCAGGGTATTGCTTTTGTCAGGACCAAGCAACTGAACTTGTGTAACCCATCTTCAAAGTAGCTTGCATTCAGCTGCCTTTCAGGGCCTTGAGAACCATCTGGATAGTCCATCCTGACCACTCAAAGCCATGGCGCCGGGTTAATCAGAGGGCACCATATGCGCTGCACAGATGTCCGAGCTTGTCGTGACCGAGTTGTGCGGCTGCCAGATGACTTTCAAGAAATGTCATTCCCAGTACAGGGGGTCGGGACTGGTTTGTCACATATCAAAGGGAAATGCACCGAAATTTGTTGATTCCAGTAATCTTCACAGGCTGACAAAAGCATTCAGCATATCCATTTCATGTCTGCTCACAAGCTACACACGGGCCCATGTTGCCTCCCAAACTGCAAAAGCCTTGTTTGCCATGTGTTATTGGCAAATATGCCACAGAATTCACACACCACAAACGCAAAAGTACACTACAAAGCAACCATCGTGGGAGAGATACTTTAGCCCGAGAATTAGATCAGAACATTGGGACACGAACAGTGCAAATGTTTGCATTGAGCGGCATGACACATTCGTTTTCAACATCTGGCAGAGAAGGAAGCGCACTGGTTTCCACTGAGGGCGGCAATCGCTTTCTTACCAAATGTGAAACTTGTGATGGCTTCATCAAAGTCCCTGACAGTCTGAGCATTCAGGGCTGCCTGGACACGATCCTCCTTCATGTGCCCCCTGAAGAGGGGAGCATGTGGACGGAACATTCTTCCCATCGTCAAACCTGTCAGTTTAAGGCCAGTGAGCTAAAGAGAAAGCTGCTAATTGTAGACTGTAAATCTGGGCCATATATCAGAGTTGTACTTACCAAGGTTTCTGTCGTACAATCTTGCCATTCCGCTCTTCAGAGCCCTATCTGATACAACCAGGTTAAATGGGTTGACAAGTGACACCGCTGCCTTGATTGGGCTCGTTGCACCCTCCTCCCCAAGGTAATTCAGAAGGATGTTGGCACCCAGTGACCATCCCATGGCCAAAAGGGTGACACCAGGTTGCGTATTTCCCAAATGAGCCACCACACCCCTGCACAACATGTGAATCGCTAACCAACTCCAGTTTGGGATGCACAGTCTGTCTGATTTGGCAATAGACAGTGGCATTGCAGGTCTTCATTGCTGTGCCGATTCCCCTCCTTTGCCCGAGACTTCGATGCCTTAAAGTTGGCCAGAAACCTCAAAATGCTGGTGAACAATGTCGTGCACTCATTGTGCTGCTTGTTTCTTTCTTCCCAAAGGATCATCAAATGCTGCAAGCATGCGTGCAACAGAGCATGTCTGCATGAAAGCAATTGAGAAATACCTGAGGTCCATGGTAAAGGATGCAGAATAAAATTGTGGCGTTGTCATTGGGCCATTTGCTGTCCCCCTGCAGTTGAATACCACAGGTCTCATTCCCATGCGGCCTGTGCTCTGCATGGCATATTGCACTGAGGAGCACACCAACACAAGCCTGTTACACAAAGACATTTTTCCCAGCCCTACATGGTCACAGTGCACTCAACTGCAACCACAATTATTGGACACAACAAGACAGCTGCAAGCCAAATACCTGCTTGGTATGAAGTCAACTGCACTGAAAATGGCAACAGGCTTTAAGTCACAACCATTCCCATCGGTGCTCCCTGAAATGCCCCACTATACCGCTGTGACTTGTGGTGCAACAGCACACTGTTGTTCAGCTTGTCTGTACGTCAAACGCCACACAACAGATGTATGGCATCCTCTGGAACTGGAACTGAGCAAATAGATGAGCAGCACAGCATTGCTGTGGTTCCAAAATTCGATTTGCTGCAGTTTGTTTAGCTTTATCCTGCTGGGTGCAACCATTTGGAGTGATCCTCCACAGGAGAAGATACATCATGGAAGACCTTACAACTCTGCCCAGTTGCTCTTGTAGTTCTGCCTGTTGGTGCTCAAGTTCAGATATAGCACTAGGGCTTCATTGCACACAGCAATAAGATTTGCAAACAGAAGCAGATGGGCAATAATGCGAAAGGAGTGCATAGAATGCCTTCTTCTAGGTCTCTGTTATATCAAAGAGCTGTTGTCAATGGGAGCAACACTGCACACCATTAGCATGAGTGGATTGCCCTTGACCTGCTGTTTAAAGTTTGTGCATTGTCTAATTTGGCTCCTGTGCTGATAGGCAGTTGAACTGTTTGCCACTATTGGATCCATTCAAGGCTGGATGGTTCTGAAGACACAGCAACAGGAGCAACAGTCAAGGTGGAATTTTATGGCTCGAAAATTTTGCATGACAATTGGCGGCCAGTACAGTGCCACCCTGGGACTGCTGCCAAGTCAAACACAGCCACTGTGCACTGTCTCTCACATCAGACTTTGCTTATGATCGATATTTGTAGGCAGTACATCGCTGCCATTGACCAGGAGTTGCAGAAACGAACCATGTGCTTGGCACTGGTTTTAGGGGCAGCCGATTGTGAACGTACATAAATGCCACTGGGTAACGTGCTAAATTTCTTGCATTAGCATGCAACTGCCATGATAGGGGACATTGCAGGCAGCACTCTCTGGACTCTCAAAATTTGGTTGTAGAGGGGCGCCATGGCCTTTTATCGAGGGCTTACCGTATGTGTCTTTGCTGCCACCTGCTAAACCTGCTATAAGGATGACGATTGGTGCATCATCGGGGAGACCCTGCACGCACATTGCCATTCAGAAGGTCAACCAGCCGGACTCCAAGCCACCTTCTTGCACATTGTTGGGTCCCAGTTGTGACAAAAAAAAAGTCTGCAGCCATTGCAGGTAAGCAGAGCATTCTAAGAACAACGACAAGCTCTTCATTACCAAATCACTGGCAACAATGCAGGAAGACTGTGCTGATGACCAAGTCCGATACACGAGTGGCATTTGGCTTCGTCTCATTCTGAGAGTTCTTGTCAGCGGGGTTGAGTTGAACTGGCAGTAGACTGTACGTTAGGGGCGCTGAGACATCGGACATGTTTCTTTCATCCCGAATTTCTCAATCCCCGCTCTCCACTCGCTCACACAAAGTTGAAAAAGCGCTCCATTGAAGCACCATTGCCAGGGCGGAACATCCGCCACCCACCTGCGACGCCTGCCCCTCCCAGTCCAAAGTGACGACTCCCCCGTCGTCAAGCCGCAGCACTTCCCTGCGAAGCGCCAGCCGCGGGCCTCTGCGCGCCAGCGCCCCCCAGATCGTCTCCGCGTGGCCGTTGAAGCAAAACGAAAATCGCCTGTACTCGCTCACGAGCGCGGGACACCGCGCCAACACCGCGAGATTGAACTCCCCCCGCGCCCACACGTCGGCCCTCCTCGACCTGCTCAGCCAGGCCGCGGCGCAGAGCGCCGCCGCTCCAACCGCCGCCGCCGCCGCGAGGCTCTGGGGAGCGCTCCAGGCGACCACGTCTGATGATGTCCGCCTACGATTCAGCCGTGACCCTGTTCTGGGAAACTTAAAGTGACCTGGGAGACGGCGCTGATCTCCAAGCAAGGGGAGCCCCTGTGCCGGTCGGCGCCCTGCCCACTGGGCAGGGGCGTGCATGTGTGGCTGCGCCCCACAAGGGCGCCCACGGGGAGGGGGGGTCGTTTTCGGTGGCGAGAACCGCCGTGTTCCCTGACGCCAGCGGCCATGGTGAAGGCACGAAGTACGTAACGTGGGTGGCACCAAGGAACGCAGTTGTCCGCCCTCAACAGCCACGCGGCGTGTTTGATCACGTGGTTGGCGGGGGAGGGAGATGTGGACTTGAAGAGATGTTTCGCGAGTCCCGAGGACGCCAGTGTTTGCGTGTATTTCATAGTTTTCGAACGGCGTGTGTACGAAAACCCGTTGGAGTGTTTCTGTCCAGTTGGTAACACGTTCAACCAAATTTAGCGCCCTTCTCTTGACATACGACTCCCATTCACCCTGACGGGATGAACATCTCCAAATCCTTTCATTCACCATGCAGGCCATTGGATGGCTGAAATGTGAAAAATTCTGCGCGCTTGCCTCAAATCCCTCAAAGGGACCACAGGTGCAAGAGAACACATTCAAGAATGAATAACACAATATATATTGTATGCAAAGCAAGTGGGCCATGTCCTGCTGGCCTAATGGATAAGGCGTCTGCCTCCGGAGCAGAAGACTCCAGGTTCGAGTCCTGGGTAGGACGTTTTGTGCTGTCAACGACGATTTATGCTGTTGACCGCCAGCTTTTGCCTCTCGAGTTGTGCTGCACCGGAATCCGACGGCCGCACCGCTCGCTGTGGCCTCCCAGTTGGCCGGCTCGCGACCGGCGCACCAGGCGAAGGAAGGACAAGAGAACAGTTGGTGGTCCACACCCTCCGCAGGGCTCTCAGCCCGTTGGGTTGGGATGTGGGCAGTCCTGCCATCCGAATGGTGAGATCTTGCTGGCTTCCGCTGTGGCAGGAGGGGCAAGGCCAATCTTCGTTGGACATAAACAGTAGCTGTGGTGCCGGACCTGTGGCAAGCTGCGGAGAAGGCGATCACAGCCAGCCCGACACTGCAACGATGGGGGACCGCCGCCCATGGCATTGTCTGATTTTGTTGCGGGATTGGGATGGCATGGACCATTGCTGCGGCACCACTGGTTGTGTGTTTCCCGCACGGCATAGGCCCAAGGGGGGCGCCTCCTTCAGTAGGCGCCGACGTTCGGAGCGCGCTGTTTGGCCCGTCGAGAGCGATTTTCATCACCCCGTCGTGGCATGTGTTCCCCGCAGGAAGTATGGGGCTGCGGGTTGCGTGGCGGGCTTAACGACGACTGTGTTGCTTCATCCTTTGGACGTGATCAAAACCAGGATGCAAGGTGAGACCATCCGCATGGTGGTCGACCAATGGTGATTTTGGCAACTGGTGCTGGCGAATGGGCATCGGAAAAGGCATTCGGCTTTTGGAAACAGGATTGGTTTGTCACAGGGAGAGGTCGAAAAAGCAAGGATTGTGGCGAATATGGGTATGGGATTCTGGCCATGGGATGCCCACGCATTTGCGCATCCATTGGTGGACTGGGCATTGCTAAGTTAAAGATAGGGGATGGGCACAGGTTGACACTGCTGAGGCGTTGAAAGCACCCAACATGAAAGCCAACAAGGCATCCATCCACCCAGCAGGTGGTTCCTTAAACTGGATACGTCTATTTGTGCACAAACCAGTAAATACACTACAAAGGACGGCATGGCCCAAGACCAACGACTGTGCCACGTTTTGCTCCAGTGGCGTTTGAAAATGTTGCCATCAGGGGACTTTTGACGGAACCTGGTGCGTGCCCCTTTGGCTGCAATATTGCTATGGAGTGTGCCACCCACAACAGCTGTGCACGTACAGACCCTCTACTGCCATGGATTATAAACGTGCCAATTGGGCAATGCAGGAGGTCATTGGGTATAATGGTGTGCGTGTGTGCTTGTAGCAGCTGCCTAGCCTGCTTGTAACCTAACGGCTTCCTAGTCCAGTGCAGTTTTCTAATATTTGTCGAACTGTTGGGTTTGAAGTTCAGGATGGGCATGGCGTTGCCCTGCCCAACTACAGGGGGGCACTGCACTGCATGCGCAGCATTGTGCTGCAAGAGGGCTGGAGGACTCTATACGCAGGCCTGCTGCCTTCACTGCTGGGATCAGGTGCGCCCCTGCACAGGGGAGCAGTGAGACACTGTGCACGATGATGGTGTACTGCATTCAACGGAGAGCTACCACTGCCTATTCAGAGGGGGCATGTTGATGTACTGCAAGTCTCAATTGATAAGGATCGAACCTGAGATGTTGATCGAACTACAGGTGCTGCGTGGGGCCTGTACTTTCTTCTCTACAATCAGAGAAAGGCAGCACGCCTTGGAACTTGCAGCCACACGGAGATGGACACATCCCAGCTCCTGATGGCAGGACTGGAGGCAGGCTGTATGGTGAGCCGAAGATGTCTTGTCTCGTCATTCCACTGCTTGTTCTTTTCTTGCCTTTCTTTTTTCCTGAGCAAACCATTCTTCTCAACATTCCATGTTCTGTGCTGCTGAGCTTGTCTGTGGGTTCAGTGACCTCATGAGAGAAACAGCAGTGATAGCAAGCGTACTGTCAAACTGACAACTCTTGTCCATCTGCATGGTCATCAGATAACTGTGAATGGGAAGACACAAGACTGGCTCTTGTATCTCCACAATGTCATCCTGACATGTGAAGGCTGCAACAGAAAGAACTCGTTGGCACCTCCCCCCCCTCCCCCCTTCGTGTGCCTGGTGTTGTGTGCTCCTCTTGTTCCACAATGGAGGTTCTACATTGTCTTTCAACAATATACAAAAGAGTCTCGTGCAGACTTGCTCAGGGAGGAGGTGCCCAGTGCATGACCTGTTGCTCATTTCTCCATCTACAAATTTCCCCCCCGCCCCCCTTCTTCAAGAGGCGGCTGTTGCTAATTTCCCCTGGGAGGCTGAAAGGAAGTATGGTTGGACAGGTCAGCATTCTGACAAATCCCATCTGGGTGATCAAAACTCGTCTCCAATTGCAGTATGGAGGGGTCAGAGGCTCAAGCCCCTCTGTTTTGGCCCCTGCGGCTGGGACTTGTGGAGTGCATGGGATGCACCGCAGCACTGCATACCACGGCTTGGTGGATGCTATGAGGCGCATTGGACGGGAGGAAGGTATCCATGCTTTCTATCGAGGGCTGGGCCCCAACCTCCTGTTGGTAAGGCCGTTTGGGTTGGCTACCGCTGCCCTCGATTTGGAGCTTTGTGATAGTTGATAAGTGTCTTTAAAGCCGTTGCTCTGTTTGGCACAACTTTCAGTATGGTCCTGTTGTCAGCTTCAGGGACCTGATGTCGTTGTGCATGCCTCACACTTTCCCTGGGTTCGTGTCAAAGGTTTCGCATGCTGCAATTCAGTTTGCAGTTTATGAACACCTCAAGGTGGCAGCACTTCTGACGAGCGGGCCCGAAAAGGAGAAAGGAAGCCGGCACTTGGGTCCATTCCAGGCAACCTTAACTGGGGGCCTAGCGAAAGGGGTGGCGTCGATGTCTACCTATCCATTCCAAGTGAGCGGCAATCGTGGAGTTCAGTCTTCACCCAGCTTCCTCGCACCCTGTCTGCTGCTCACAACTCTTTGTGTTAGCAGTCACCTGAATACAGTCACTGGAAGATGCTTCACTGAATTGGTGTCTGGCAGCAATATGGAAGTTCAAGGGCTGACAGCAACATTTTCTTATCAAAGTCTGGTGTCATTGCTGAAGGCGAGTGGGTGGTGTTCTTGCAGGTTTTGAGATCTCGCATGATGCAGAGGTGTGACTCTGGGCAGCCTCTGACCTATGGGAGCACGTGGGGTGCACTGGCGTTGACTGTGCACCGAGAGGGTCTGAGAGGCCTGTACAAAGGGTTGGGTCCAAATCTGGTCCGTGTCATGCCCCAGTCCTCACTGATGTTCATGGTGTATGAAGGGGCTTTGCGCGCGCTAGATGCACTGTGACCACTGCCTGTGCATGTGTTCAGCAGCAAGGTGTGCATTCATGCACACTTGCAAAGGAGCCGTCGCAGGTATTTGACCTCATTTTGTGTGAGAATATCAACACTTGAGACAAAACCTAAGCAGTCACCTTTCTTGCAGCATCATTTCTTCATCTTTTAGTATTGCTTGCTTGTTGCTTGGGCATTCGCTCTGGAATGATGTGGGAGACGCCCCCTGCTCCTGCCCTTGTTCATGGCATACATCCACTTGTTCCAAGCATGGTACCCTCATTTCTCAGCCTGGCCAAGTCTGTCGACAGCTTTGGCAGTGGCAGGGCACGCACCGAAAATAGGACCTTTTGCATGTGCAAGGATTGCAGCACACACATTTTGGCAGTGCGCAGCTTGTGCGCAGATGATCATGACTATTCCCCAATTGTGCGGGCGTTCTTCACCCCCTGCACGTGAAAATGCAGTGGGACGGGTCGCATGACAATTGGTGATGAGAATACATTCACATGTGTTTTCGTGCAGGGTTCTTCGTTTTTCAAGCAGCTGTGCCAGGAGACTTGTGCAGATGCAGTCCCCATCCCAACTCATTTGTGGCTGAACTGGAGCCAGGGCACAGTGGCAGAATTCATTTGCATCGTCAAACATATTTAAATTTTCAAAGGGCCATATCACAAGCACTGGCAGCAGGGGGAAGTCAATTCCTCCCAACCCCATCTGAACACTGCCAAAGAACTCAATGTCAACGTACCAGCTGTCAGATTGTGCCCCACCAGTTGGCAGAAAATGGTCAGCGGTGATGCAACGCTCTCATGGACTGCAACAGGGGCCTTATGGCCAAAAGTACAGCCTGCCACGTTTCTTCTACAGGCCAGTTGCCCGAGTCTGTTGTTGGGGAGGTTGTCATCGAGCCATCAACCAGAGGTCGTCCATATCGTTGCCTGACGTCCGCAATGCTGCGTCCACGCACATTTGCGCCTCAGCCTCTTCTGCCTCGAGCATGGCAAGTCTCTCCTCAATCCTCTTTTTGCACTCCAACAGGTTCTCCCTGTGCCAGCTGTGACTCCTGACCTCCTTCTGCATGGCCGTCCTGTGTTCTTCGCCGAACGGGAACGGCAGCCGCTGCTCCTCCCGACCCTGGTTTCTCTGAAAGGGAGCAACAGCCGCTTGGAAGCCCAACAGCGATCGCTTCCAGGCCTCGCCCAGCGCCATCACATCTGGCGGAGTGCCCCCAGACTCTGCAGTCGCCATTCTGCCTGTGCACTCGCCAAAGGGCGGCGACGAGCGGTCCACAGCCGGCGCGCTCCTACCTTCCATCGTGCTGGGCGTCGAACCGGACTCAGGCGTCTGGCTTGGTCCCAAGTACTGCTGCAGCCGGGGCGTCGCCGCCACGGTCGACTCGGCGCAGTGGCACAGCTCCCTCAGCTTGTCGCACTTTTCGAGCACCTGCCCGATCTTGCGCCAAATCTCCTCCGCCTTGGCCAGCTCCTTAGACCGGTACGCCCTGCCGCCAGCCCTCCCCCGCGACTTGCCGCCTTGGCGCGGCTTTGGTGCCCTGGTCGCCAGCTCGCCGACCTCAAGCCTCAGCCTGTCGTGGCTCTTGCGGAGCCGATCGGCCGCAGTCCTCCATGCCGCCCCGCGAGCCCTGGCGACCGATACCCCCCGTAAAAACTTCGCCCTCTGCGCCTTCACCTTCATCTTCGCCACGCCCACCAGCGCCTCACCGTGGCCGGCCAGCGCCTCCCTGCCGACGTGGCCGCCCGCGAGCTGACCCAACGTCGGGGCATGCCGGGCATTTTCACTGGGAAAGCTCGCCTGATGATGAATCCTCAGGGCCGCGCAGGACATCTCGCAGAACACGCGCCGCAGCTTGTCCCCCATGGCCTTCTGCAGCTGCGACGCGAACAGCCGCACCAATTCAGCCGTCACGCCCCAGTCGCCGCCATGCTTGGCCACCTGCTGCCCGGCGTACGTGCGGAAGGCTCGGGCCGACTTGTGATCTCTTGGGGGCCAGAATTCGGCCATCTCGGCGCGGGCGGCTTCCCCGCGCAGGCGGCAGATCAGGAAGTGGAAGACGCACTCCGCGGCGGCAGTGTTGGGGGCTGCGAACATCGGGTCCTTGAGGCGCAGCGCTGGGTAGTCGCCGCTGTCCTGGATGCCCAGCAAGAACAGGTTGGCCAGCAGGATGCGCTCGTCCGTCGCCATCGCCCCCTCGCCAGTGGCGGCCAAACGGCAACGCGGTCGCCTGAGGGAGGAAGACTGAGCCGCTGGGGCCTCGGTCCCGAAAAATGGCGGGAGCAGTTTCTGTAAACCGGCCACGTGGCAAATCCCGGACGTTGCCCGCTGGCGATCCTCAGGTTGAGTTCAGTTTTCAGTTTCTCAGCAGTTCAGGCTTCGGACTGGTCACAGTTGCCGGATTTTGCTCACAGTTAGGCCGTTTGGGACCCCCCCTCCCCGCTCTTTGTGTCCCCCTTGTCACCGCCTGAGGCCCTCAGCGGGAGGGAGGAGCCGGCCGGATGGAGCCCCCAGCGCAGGCGCCCTGGTGGCGCGAGCGCAGGTACCACATCGTGGCGGTGTGCTTCCTGGCGACGTTCACGATGTACGTCGAGCGCCAAGGCTTCTCAATCGCCTTCACGGCGATGGCCCGCAGCGCGGCCATCGACGAGGGGGTGAAGGGCAGCGTGTTCTCGGACTTCTACTGGGGATACGGCCTGTCTCAGGTGGGCTGCTCATCGGGTTGATTCTTGCAAAGAGAGGGTCCTACACCGCCTCTTTCAGTTGGCTGCCAATCTGTCGATGGCCAGATCTGGGCAGGGCGCACCGAAGCTGAAAATCCGCCTCTCGTGACAAAGTCAGTGGCTTGCAATTTGATGGCGTCTATCGCTTGATCGACGTTGCGGTTCTTGCCGCGGTTTGACGGCGGTGCCGAGTCGGTCGGTTTGGGAAGTTGCCGCGGATGACTGACGGACGACGATGCTGCGCAGCCAGATCCCTGGGGGGGCGGCGGCGCAGCGCCTGGGTGGGCACTGGATGCTGCTGGTGTCGTTCCTGCTGTGGTCAATGGCCGAGGTGCTCACGCCGACGGACGCGAGCTACACGCTGGGGGTGGCCACGGCACGCGTCCTCGTGGGGGCCGCCCAGGGCTTCATCATACCATCGGTGCACACCGTGCTGGCGCAGGTAGGGGGCAGCGTTGGGGCGCCAGTTTTGCTGTCGCCTGTGATCTTAGGCATGTGTTAGGCGACAGTGGAGTTGGGGTTTCGCATTTTGGTTTAGGGTGCCTTTTTCTCGCCGGCGCTGCGGTCCTGCTTGCCCGTGTTTGTGTTCTTGGGTGGTGCACCCCACGCTGATGCGCCCGTCTGATCCAGCCTTTTTGTTGATCAGTGGATCCCGCCCAATGAGCGCGCAAAGGCGACTTCGGCAACTACCTCAGGTTCGTGTGCGACTCTGGTTCTTGTGCCCTGCAGTCCTGGTACTATTGCCGAGCTGTTTCACAACGCCATGCGGCTGCATATCACCATTGCTGCCTGTTACAGTCTGAATGGCACCGCCTCTTGGAAGTTGTGATCATTCACCCATTGTGATCCTGTCCATCTGCCCTGCATCAATTCTTGAGCTCCTGCAGTTATTGCAAGATATTGCACAGATGATATTAGAGATATCGGCATTCTGATGTTGCAGTCAACACTGTGTCGTTGCAGTCAGCACAGCTTGAGACTTACTTTGAGTAAGAAATAACCTGCAGATTACCATGAGTACATGCTGGTTGTTTGCTCAAGGTATCATCATTCTGGCTTTCCCTCCCATTGGGTTGTTCTTAATACAGCACTGTGCATGTTCGGTGCCAGGGATGTACTTGGGATCTGCTTCTGCCCTGTATTTCCTTCCCTCTGTGGTGTCCTACTATGGGCCAGGCAGAGTGTTGAAGCTTGTGGGAGGGCTTGGGCTGTCATGGCTGCTGCTGTGGCTGTGCGTTGGGAGGAAGCCGCCTCCTGTCAGGTGTGGAAAATGCTTACTGCTCAACTGCAGCAAAGGAGTACAGTGGCAAATGCTGAAAGCAAGCATTGCACTCAGGCAGCAGCCCACATCCCCAACACTCTGGAAGTGTGTTGAACAACTACTGGGGTTCCATTTTGACTGATTTGTGCACGCTTTGGCACATCATTGCCATTTTCGACCTTCTTTCTCCAAGCTGTTCATCCCTGTTTGTATGTTTGTCGTATCTGACAATGCATCTGACGTCTGGTGGTAATGTATTGCAGTTCCCTCAAATGGCTTGCAGTGAACGTGTCCTGCAGCTACTGTTCTGCTGTTGCACTGAATCAGGGACTATTTCACAGTTTGACAGATTGTTTTTGGCTTGCAGGCTGAATGAGCTGCCTGTTGCAGTTGGCCACAAGGGGCAGCCCAATGTTGACAACGCAATTCCCTGGCGGGGCATGTTCACCGCACTTCCCATATGGGCCATTGTTCTGAACAATTTCACATTTCACTATGCAGTGTACGTCGTGCTGAATTGGCTTCCAACATACTTCCATAGCTTGTTACAGCAAGATCTAGCAGATCTTGGAGCTGTCAAGACCGTTCCCTTCTTGCTTATGTTCATCACATCCAATGCTGGTGGTTGGGCTGGGGACTGGCTTATCATGAAGGGAGCTTCAAGGAGGGCAGGAAGGGTTATCGTGAACACCGCTGGTAGGTTATCAGAGGATATAAGGTTCATCCCAAAGGCCACAAGGATCCTTTGACGGGCTGTTTGTATCTATCAGCACGTGCCTGATTCGGTGTGTTCTCTCAGTTCAGGAGCAGTGTCAACCTGTGAGGCTTGCAACCAGCATTTGTCTCAAGACTACTGCTTGGTGGCGCCTGTGTACATCACTTGTTTGCTCTTGCCTCAGTTGGCGCCAGGCACATCTTGTCGTGGATTGCCGATGGCATGCATTGCATGGCATAAGCCCTGCTTTGATCTGTTGCAGCGGTCCGGGCTTGAGCAGACACAGATACAGAAACCAGTCATCTACAGTGGATTGACCATTTGCGCGTTCACAGTCTGCTGTCCCTGATTGTGCCCTTGGCCTCCCACGCAGGATTCTGGGGTGCAGCGTTGTTCTTGATTTTGATGCCATTTGCTGGGGGCGTCACAAGTGGGGTGCTGTACACTTCCCTGGCGATGGGCTTCCTGGGCTTTTCCCGTGGTGGCTTTTCAGTGAACCACATGGATGTGACACCAGGACATGCGGGCGTCGTGATGGGTTTCTCCAATACAGCAGGTGATGGTTGGCTCACGACAAGGAAAGCACGGTGGTCGTTCGATGTACTGCATGTAGTCAGGTGACCTGATTAGCACCTTGCATAGTAGGCACATGCCAAACGATAGTGTGTTGGCCGTAAGATCGCAGAATCCAATTGCAAGGTGCTTGGTCTCCAGGAGACCTCTGGAATACAGGTTGCCTAATTATGAAGACAACTGCCCTTGTTTGCTCTCCCTCTGGAGTTCGCAATCCATATTCAGGCGATAATCTCAGGGCATCTGAGGCGCTTAACCCACAGTCAGCACCTGAGTGTCCTGACTTTTGGATTTAGGTGAACGATGCAGAAGAGGGTTGACCCTTTTCTAGGACAGATAGTTCCTATTGACCTTTGCTGGGGCAATCTTTGACAGTCTATCTCCAAAGTCTATGCACAGATTCCAAGTGGGCAAAATTGAAGCTGGTACTGGAATACTGCTGTGCTGTTGCCTTTCATCCCAGGAAAACAGAACCAGAACAAATTGAGCAGGAATAACTACCAGCAGGGGGTACTATCAGTATGGTTACTGTGCAATAAAGTGTGTTCTATGTCGGTGGTTCCCTGCTGCATTCTCCAAGCAAGGGTGTTGCTCCCAAATTTTCCAGCTCCACAATCTACCACAGTGTTGCACTGGCAACCCCTCACCTCTCTTTTTCCTGCCATCACACGCTTGCATACCTGTGTGTGTGTGCGTGTGCCTGCAGGCACCATCTCTGGCGTCATTGGTGCACAACTGACTGGCTATTTCCTGGAGCAGCATGGAGGTAGCACAGACCCAGCTGGGTGGATTGTGTCCTTTTTTGTGTGTGCGGCACTTGCTGTGTTAGGATCAATAGCTTTCATAATATGTGCAAAGGGGCGACAAATAGATTTAGCACCACCTCCACAAAGGTGAGCGGTGTGAGGGGGCGGACATTCAGCAGCAGTGATTCAGAATCGGTGAGAGCACCCCTCTGATTGTTCATTGTTGCCAACTAATGGCCAATTATTTTGCAATAACCAACCTTTTGTCTGCCGGCAGTGGAGCCTTCGGCCGTTTTGACACATCGCTGCAAGGTGGCATCAGTTTTAGGCAGCACAGGCATGGGTTTAGAATACTTGCAACAGCCAATTGGCCTGTGAAAATGGACACCATATAACGCGCAACAAGAGTCCACTCAGCAACCCACCTTTCTGATATGATCTGCAGATACAGTCAGTCCCCAGGGAAGTGTCATCTGGGGTGCAAGGAACTGTCCAGGCGCGCTTCAGCACGTGCGGTTTCCACCCATCGAGCCTGTTCTCGCAACAATTCCCAATGGATGGAAGAGTGACTTCTGCTTGTGCCCAAGGGTGACACTGTAGATACCGCTGTGTCATTCTCCTGCATATAAGCTTACAGCCTAAAAGATGATACTGAGTTTGAGTTCTGCTTTGCCCAAAGCTTCCATCCACCGCAGCTTTTCTCCACATGCAGTGTTCAACTCCCTGAGGCACACTCCTGCAATAAAGCGTTTCTAACTCTTCGATGCTGCCTCTTCTGCTGCCTTTAAGATGGCATCAGCAGGAGCATGGTCCCCAAACGTTTCCTCAACGAACATGTACTGAACTCCAGCCTTGCCTTTTGCAACAACAAACAGCCCGCCCATAGTGCATCCATCGCCGTTGAGGTTGTGGTCAGATCCAACGCGAGCCTGCGCCTTCCTGACGTTTTTCCACGCCCTTGAAAACGGGTTCAAAAGGTCGAGGATCGTCTTTCTGCGTACAGTACCGCCACCCAAGGCCTTGTAGAAGCCTTTCTGGTGGTCAAAGTACAGTTCCCCAGGCCAAAACTTGGGCTTGAAGCCATCCACCTGTTGGCAGAAAATCGTTCGGTGAACTTCGCGCGGGAGATTCTCCTAATTTTGTTAGTCGAAAAGACCGTGTCGGCAATGGGTTTTGGCGACGAAGACAACATTCCCAAAAAGAATGTGGGCTTTAAAGGAAGTGCACACCAGCGCAATTGCCACTTAGCGCAGGTGGTGAAGAGCGAGGGCAAGGCAATTCGTCCCCATTCTTGCGTTTGGCACACAAAGAACATATCAATGGCAAGCCCAGTAAACGCAGGGCATCTTGGAAGGGATCCCATTGCAACGCTGACAAGCCCTTACGTCCATGCACTAACACCCCAAACCAGTGGACTGCTGTCTCCTGTTGGTGAAGAACTGAATCAGCTATTCCTGGTGCCGACGCATGCCAATATCTGTGACCCGATCCTCACCTCGCGCTGAATCCACTCGTGGACAAGCACCACAGCCTTCACACCGAGCTCATCAAGCCTCGCCTTCAAATCCATTATCTCCAAGGCTTGTCCACGGCACGCAACTGCGAGCGCACAGCCTGATTGTGAAACAACGCTTGTCTGCCACATTAGGGCTTCTTCGGGTACAGTCAGACACGGCTCGACAACAATCACACATGCGAAGAAGGGCAGTGCTGCGAAACAGCGAACTTGTTTGCACGGTACAGGCCACCCCATGCCCCGTGGAAAGGCCCACACACGCGCCAGCTCCACCACATGCTGCGTGTCTCACCGCAGCCAGGGCGCCTGAGCACGACGACGAGAGCCGGGCCCTCCTCCCACAGCTTGCCAGCTGGGAACGATCCCTTGTCGCTGTCTCCAGTCTTGAGTTTCACGGCGGACAGGGTTTCGATTGAAGGCAGCGGCGCCATCGCCAAGTGCCGCACCGGCCAGGGCCTGCGAGTCACAGCGACGGTGTCGAACGTTTGGCGCTCCTCACGCACCGACAAGCCTCCGCACCGTCAGTGCCCAGGACAGCCAGGCGCTCGCACACGAACATGTGGATACGAAGGCAAGGGGCCCAGGACATGACACGTGGAGGTACGATGGGAGAAAGTACGGCTTCCACATGCCCCGTCTTGCTGAATCCTCGTCTATTCAGCAGTGTGCCAGGTGCCAGGGAGGGGTTGGGTCACGCGACTGGTAATTGGAGTTGTTGGCTGCCGTTGCCTTCCACAGTTGGGCTGGTAGTGTGTTCTTGGCCTCTGGGCTGAGTGAATCGATTTCCAAAGCAACGACTGATCGCAAGTAAACGGGCAAAAGGAAACCACCTTTTTAAAAACAGAAAATATTTTGGGAGATATTTCTCTCGCTGCTGTGCCTACCATGGCATACGTCCAAGCAAGCCGATTCTGTGTCCACATAGGAATGCAAGGAAATGTTTGCTTTTGTCCCTGCTCGCCAGCACTGTCGAAAACCCTTCTTTCCTTGCATTATCATCGACAAACATTTCTTACAATTTCGGACTTGATGGATTCTGGACTTTGTGTGTGTCAGGCACTAGATTTCAATCAACAAATCGTGGGCACCGCTTTGCTCGAGAAACGCAGGAAGCTGACAGCTGCCTCCTTGCCTTCTTACGTAAATTTTCACGATGACGATGCTATGAAAATTTTCATGACGATGACGAATCGTTCAATGCGCTTCTGGCTGGACCGGAACCTCGGGTATGAACAGCGCGCCGCTGTGGCTTTGGCCATGACAACTGCCCTTCGGAAGCAGAAAAAACTGCCAGCTTCAAACCCCAGCAGTTGTGTGCCCAAGCCATGCGACGCCTGCTGGCCCCGTGGTTGAAGAAGCGCCGAAGACGCGACGTGTCACTGTGGTGGAAGCGGCGGCGGCAGCGGCTGCGACGACCGTCATGGAGAACGGGTGGTGCGCTTGGCTCCCGCCGGCTCTTGTGCCGTGCGATTACCGATCTGCATCGTTTTTTACCTTGGCGCAGAGCTCTTCTCGGGAACTTTTGGTCGCCTGTTCACGCAAAGGCGCCCGCCACTCTGCCCCGCCTTGTTAGCGCATTTGATCGCCGGCCGGTTGCAGAACGTTGGGCTGAACGGTGGTCTATTCTGCATTCACAGTCCGTTCACGGACCCGGGCCGGTCACGAAACGTGACTGGGGACCTACTCGACGGTGGAGCGCGGACAGAACGTCAAGGTGACTGACCCACAGCGCTTACCAAGCACACCCTCACAGTTAGATGGTCGTCAATGAAGGGCAAATTGAATAGAGCGGGTAGGGGGGGGGGGACTTTTCCGCTTATTGGAACGCAAATGCTTGCCTCGTGGACTTCACCTGATTAGGTCAACCAACCAGCCAATGATGTTCTGCATCGGATACGAGTTTTGGCGATGGGCGTTGTTGATGTCGATTCCGTGCTTCTGCCATGCAGGATTTTCCCTTTGTCAAACAATAAAATGAGATGCGGCTCATGGGAAGAAATTTTCTGAGAAGATCAAGAGAAATGGATGCACGGATTCAAAATGCCATTCGTTCTCTATCTATTGAAATCGTCAGATTTGGTGAGCCCAACGAAAATTCGTCCTTCACCTCCAGAAGATCTCCCCCGAAAAGGATCCATTCGATCGCCACGTTTCATTCAATGCTCATGCAATGCGAAAACAAAAGCCCGCAAAGCTTGGCTTATTGTTGTTACACAATACCATTTGGAAACGTGTCAGCAGCGGATGTCTTGCAACTGAAACTCCAGCACAAATCATCATACTGTGCATTGTTGGGGATGATTGTGCACTTCACAACAGAAAAGCGTGAAATGGATGCACATTCTAAAAGCTGTCGACGAATATTCTATTCTCTGTTTTGGACACATACACTTCAGAAACAACATCCTTTGCAGAGATATAACTACATGTGCGGTACATGCTGAGCAATCTTGTTGCAAGGCAACGACTCAATAATTCAAATTTCAGAACATGCACAATTTGTTCTGGTCCTGCAGGTCGAAAAGAAAATGGCACAGGCCCCTCAACAATATCATCAGGCCATGAACCCTGAGGCGGCTGCGATTGCCCCAGGAACAGTAGCGGCTGTGAAATTCTCGACCCCTGTCGCATGGCAAAATTTCACAGCCCTCTCAACTGGCCATGGCCTGTGCAAATTTGCAGGTGCTTGGGGACCAGGTAAAGCGGATATTTTTCAAGCCCAAAGAGCGCTACAGCAAGAGTGAGCCACATTAGAGAAGATGCACTAATAGCCCAAAATTTGGGGATGCTACAGGGCACCTGATGGTTCTTGACCGTGTACGATGCAGGAGAGGGTGAAGGAATATGCGCAGTATTGGCCATTTCGAAATCGTGCCTCAACGGATCTGTCCAGACCAAGCATATGACTGTGGGTGCCTTCACGAATTTGGCAGAAACAAACATTGGCCCACGACATTCTGTGAGACTCGAATGGAATGCTTGCAACTGAAGTGCCTCGGCTGATGGGCTGATGGTGGTGGACAAAGCAATTTCTTGAGTGGACAAAGCCGTGCATATAGCAATGTATAATGTGCACTACCAAGCTTTCTTTAGGAGGAACAACGATCAAGACAATAGCTATTCCATGCATGTAACAATGGTAGGTGCAAGCAAGTGGAAAACACTGTGCCTCTGATGCATGCAAAGCACAACTTGTATAGAAACATGGCCAAATACGGAATGGAAGCCAAGCTATCCTCAGCTCCAATCTTTAGCACACAACACATAGCCTACCTGCACGTTCGGTTGACGTGCTGTGGCCAGAATCATGGTTGGAATTGCCTTGACATGTGGTGGAGAATCCACAGAGCTTGTCGATCAAGGGGTGTCATTTTCATAAGTTTGTGATGCGTTAGTATCCTTGAGAGGGTCATGCAAGTGCAACCAGCGCCCCTGAACAAGAGGTTTTGGTGCCCTTCTTCCCTATCGTGACCCATTCCATGCATGGTTGCATGGCTACTGTTATCGTATCTATTGTGCACTCTGGGTACCCATCGTCCGCCCGAAACAAAAGCTATCCACCCAGAGACATGGTGGTGATTACGAGGTATCACAATACATGATTGGCTCTATTGTAGCTGATGTCGATGGCCGGCAACCCCACGTGTGTTGTTCGGCCTGTGGCACCCATTGTTCATCTTTGTTTTCAACGCGTGCTGGGCCGTGCATGCACTGTTGTGGCTGGCCCACCACAACTGTTATGAATGGCCGATCGCATCCGTGTTGCCCAAGGTCAGGAAAACACACTCGATGGCGGAGGGTTTTGTGGTCTTTCCAAAACATTCCTCGCAACAAATCCTCCAGAACGCGCCAGATTCGGGCCCACAGCAGGTGGGGTTCCCAAGGACGCCCTGCTTCTGTGCCCATACGTCGAGTACAGCTTTACACGCGCCGCTCCCTGCAACCCCAGGTCAGCGGGGCGCACGGCCAGCTCGCGCAGCTGCAGGCCCACGCCGGCCATCGCGCTCAGCCAGTCCGCATCCAGCCCCTCGTCTCTCGACTTGTGCGCCAGCAGCACCCGCACGGGCCCGCTGCATTCCACCACCACCCTCAGCGTCGCCGCCAGAGGCCCAACCTGCGCGCCCGAGTACACAAGGTCCGAACCCAGCACCAGATCATACCCCCCCTTCCCGCACACCTCCAGCCTGTGCTCGACATTAGCCCAATCCAGCGCCACCACATCGCATTCGCCGCCCCCGTTGGCCACCTCCGCCGCATTTTCCTCCACGTTCCTCCTCAGCAGGGGCAGGGCGGCCGGGACGTCGCTCAAGGTGACCACTCCCCCCATGCGCGCCGCGACGATCCCCACCAGCCCCGTGCCCGACCCAAGCTCGAGCACGTGCTCGCCCGCCAGCCTTGACCCCATCCGCCTGATCAGAAATGCTGCCAGCATCACCCCGCTGTCCCAAACAACACAACCAGGTCCGCCCTCCCCGCCATACTCCTCGGCGACTCTCAACCCAGGCAGGCCCACCATGCCCGCCAGCGCCATCTGGCAATCAACCATGGCCTGGCTCAGCTCATCATCAACTTCGGGGTTCGCTGGATCGAGAGCCTTGCACGTCCTGAAGGCAGAGAGCGCATCTCGAGGCGCGCCGCACTCCCTGGCCGCCCGGCCGAGCGTGAGGTGGCCCTCCGCCCATCCGGGGCTCAGCTCCACAGCAGCGCGGGCGGACTCGAATGCCTCCCAAAATTGCCCGGTTTGAAGCAGGCACTGCGCCAGGAGCTCGTGCAGATCGCTGCTGGCGGGATCCTGAGACAACGCTCTCCGGAAGGCGCCAGCCGCGGCGGGGAAGTCGCCGTCGGCGGCCAGGCAGTTGCCCTCCTGGCGCGCGGAGGGGGGCGAGGATGCCATGGTTGGGAACTCGGAGGACCTCGAGCGCAGAGTGGGGTTTCAAAGTCCGTTTTGCGTCGTTTAGTCATCAGAGTGAGCAAAGCGGGTGTTAGAACGCGCGGTCCAATGCCCGAGAGTCGGTCACGAGGAGTGCCGTGGCCAGACGGCAGAGTCACTTTGTGGTGAAAATCGACAGGGCATCCGAGTGAGAGGATGCGCCCAGAGAGCATGATTCTTGCAGCGTTCACAGCGCTGGTGTCTGTTGCGTTTATCATCGCTGCACGGCACGGCTGAGACTGTACTAGATAGTCGGGGAGTGAGAGCGGGATACCGCATAAGAGAGCGCGAGGGAGAGCCCTTTTGATTCCGGACGAGGGGGCGGGTGGGACGGTGTGAACAACCAAGTCGTGTTTTGCAGACCACAAGGCATGTTCATGTCTTTTCAAAAGCCATAAATGGAACAAGATCAAATCTTCCAGCACAGCAGGTGACCAGGGAGCACTGTAGAATCGTGGCCTGGTTACCGAACTGTGCCAAATTGGCACTTCCAACGCTGGTCTCTTATTCTGTGGTGTTGATGAGATTACACTGTCAGAGGGTTCTAAAAGCTAAATGTAAGCAAACCACCACCACCGTGGTGCCCTATGTGATCACTTGCAGCAACATGCAGCCATTCACACAACAGTGCATGCAGCCTTTAAGCCATGGTCGCCTTTGATGACAACATTGGTCACTTCTTTAGGCGCCTGAACACTACACCTACTCGCCCAATCCTACATCTACTCACCCTGCAGATGAGGGGGTGGAACAGTTCATCCACACCCCATCAGCAACGAGCAGCCAACTGCCACAAGACTGGACACCCAGCAAGAAGCAGTGCAAGCGTGCACTTCCCTGCAGTTTGCCTCTCACCCAAATGGCAACAGCCATCAGCGTCCACCAGATTCTAAGTTTGTGCAGTTTTCACAGAAGGGTGATCTGACCTGGAACACAGCAGTTCATGCACATATCGGTCATACGGTCCAGCCCAACAGTACTTACAACCACAGAATTTCCCCAGCAGGTGCCTGTACTTGTCAGGCACCTGCTTTTCCACTGGTGATAAGAAGACACCTCAGTGACACAGCCTGGGGACCACATGGTGCTCCCCAAGGCATGGCAACAAATTCCCAACAAGCAGCCCTACTTCAAGGAAAACTAGGTCGCTTCATAATTCATTGATGAATCAAGCTCTTGGCGGCACAAGGGAAGCAAAAACAACAATGAAATACCCCAATCTGTGCATCAACATTAACGACACAGGGACATCTCATGACTGCAGACTTACCTTCGCTCCAACAGGTCGTCCACCAAGGGTTCAAGATCATTATACATGGTCGTCTTATCCTTCCAATCCTTTGGGATGCTCTCCAGTCCACCCTGAAGGATTGTTAAAATGAAGAATGGATCACACAACATGGCCCCTTCTCCTGGAAAAGCACTTGAGGTTCTCCTATGCTACGAACAGCGGGTCACAGAATCTATGCACAACAGAACAAGCGAGCAACATCGAAGAACGCCTGAATTGCACGCAAATCAACTGCTTGTAATGACTTGCAAACAAGGGCCACATACAGGGCCTCAAACATCATGGCACTATTAATACAATGACACGTGATACATGATACATGTACAATAAGACACGACACATGATACATGTACAATGATACATGGTACATGATACATGGTACAAGATACATGGTACATGTTATGTGGCACATGTATCTGATACCTGATACCTGATATATGTACAATGATACAATGTTGAATGGGAACTCCACAATCAGCTGCAAAGGATCCATCTAGACTACCCATACTGCCACTTGCACACGTCCCAAATGACAATGGTAACAAAGCAAATGAAGCACATTGAAGCAAAGAGGAACCCACCTGTGCAGCAAAGAGGGCAGCCAACAAATGCGACCTGCCACAGCAGTCTCCTCCTGCCATTATATTATCCCGCACAGCCTGTGCATAATTCTGACTGTGATTCGCAATGAACATGGTGCTCTCAAAGCTGTCTGGCAAATGACACGTTTGCCCAAACGACTCAACAGCAGCCACAGAGTCTTCAAAGCGCGATTGTAATGCTTTGGACAGCCTGCCAGCACCAACACTTCATGTATCAATGCCGCGCTGCACTGGGTGCACCCAGCAACGAGGTACTGGCACTCATATGCTGAATACGCTCTTGCTGCATATGGAAATGTATCAATTCCCACCCCCCAAAAAATGCATGGGCAGAAGCACATGGAAGGAAGTTTACTGTTGCTCCCAGACAATTGGATGATTCATCTAACAAATAGTAACCAGGACTTCCCCTTCACATTGTCCATGGCATCAGCAGAACAACGATACAGAACAGTACCATGGTCGTGCTGCTGCTGGAAAGGCAGCAGATCCAGATGCCCATGTGAGAGCTGCTGCAAGTGAGTCTCCAAGGACCACACGTTCAAGCAACAGGGCTGCAGCAAGACCTGCAGTCTCGGCATCCTCATTGTTCTGATGGGTTCGGACAGCGTCCAGCATTCGGTCCTTCATTTCTGCCAGCCCTGCATACCGCCCCACAACAATCGGAACCTGCATCAGAGAAGCACAGCAACTCCATTTATGCGCATTTCTCTGGAGACATGGTGGTCCCAATCTGGTCCAGGGTGTTCACACCCTGCCACAATTCACATCACACCACCATATCCTCGTTGCTGTCAGGCCTGGATGTACGACCATGGCATGTGCATCGCACTTTGACATTGACCAGTGCTTTTGGGGATCCTTTCCCAGCACGTATGCAAAGATCTGAGAGTATGTTGCATCAGCTCAAATTCTTTCTCCCTGGATATGGAAGTAAGATTGCAAGAGTCTCCTTCTGTCATTGTAAACTATGGGGACAATTATCCCGTGAATTCACAATCCAAGAACTGCTTGTTGGAGTCTTTGCAGTCTGGAATCACAATACACAGCTTCAGTTCTCCTATGCAAGCCCTGTTCACAGTGTTGTATTGTCTTGTACAAGGGGCTCACTTGGCCATACTAGCTCTGGAGGCGAGCTGTTTGAAGATAGGTATGAGGCAACTGATCAGTGGTCATGGTGTGCACAGCATATGAGAGTATCTGCGCATCTGCACAAACCTGCATCATGCAGTCTGGCTAATGGGAAAGTCAACATCACACATCAACAAAGTTCAGACAGAATCAATGCAGGTTACCCCTTTGAACTTACACAGGCTCAGTGGAGGCATGCTTGTGCCTGCGAACTGACGCGACACTGCAGGACCATTGTGGCCTGCTATCTCACTGTACTTGAAGATACCACATAGCACAGCAACAAGCGATGTCCGCCAGGTTTTTGGTTGCTTTGTTCACAACTATGGTTGTAAGCAATCCATCCACCTCCAGGTGTTTCTTGCTTGCCTTGACTGTAGCATGGGCCTCATTGTTATTTGCGCCAGCTGCAGGGAACGCCTTCCCAGCCTCAACATTTCGCATCATATCTATAGATGCCCTGTTGAGACGACCTCCATTGCTCCTGTAGGTCTTGAAGCTGTCATACAACCTCTGCAGCAGAACATGCTTGCCGCATATCATATTCTTGCATCTGCCAAGGGGGATCGGGGTATCGCTGAAACAGGCAATCAACACAATCTGTCACAGTCACTTTGACCCATTCCCACACCCAAATGTATGGGACTGCAACAGTCACTTAAGCCAAGCTGAAGTGGGTAGCAGTCTTCTTGCCACTGAGTTGTGACTAGCTCTTGCATTGTAAAGTTGGTACTTCTCAGCGTTCCCGAGCCACAACCCTGGATCTCACCTGCAATAGGTGCTGGGGATCCAACCTTCCCTGCTCAGCCATGGATTCCAACACGGGGAGTGCCTCATCTCCATAAGGTGACAGGCGTCCGCTCTCATACTGGATTCACACACACACCACACTCTCACTCAGTTTGACTTTACTTTTAGGAGAGGTTCACCTCTGCGCCAGAAGGTGCTGCTTACTCATTATGAACTTCCTTCGGCTGCATTGGTCAGCAGGACAACACAAGCCTAGTGGCCTGAAAGGCAACCTGAAGGATCGATCTGCTTTCTGTAACATGAATCAGGACGTGCTGCATTCACCATACCAGAAAATGACAATGGGGTATCACCAGCAGTAGAAGCCGAGGAGTCTGATCGCTGAGGCCAGACTACTGCAAGAGTGTATGTTGTGCCCCACAGGTTTGCTGCATCGTACAACAGTTGTGCCCTATGCAAGCACAACACTGGTGGTGGATGGTGTGGTGAGTGTGGGGTGTTGTGCTCGCATCCCTGGCCAATAACTTCCACACTTCGTGAACCCAACAAACACCCGGAAAAGGTCCCAATGTCAAACATGACAAACTCGGCTTTTCTCAGAACCATTGCCAAGCACAGATTTCCACACCAGTTGGGGTTCCCTGCTTGTTCAGGAGGTCAGGATGTCCAACATGTTTAAGTCATGTCTTTTCAGGGGCCACAGTAATCGCATTGAATGTAAGGTGGTGAAACAAAACACCTTGCAATCATCACATGCACTTCCACAATAAGGCATCGCATCCCTTGCCAGTTACCAAATCCCCATAAACGCTGCTACCCAACACAATGATTCACAGCAGATTCTAAACAGTACTGCATGCACAATGCAGGATGTGTTGGCCGCCAGTACATGAGCAGATTGTCAATCCCCCCCCCCTCGAGTTGGGCCCAAAGCCTGTGAGCTGACAGATATCCACAACCAAAATCTTGCCTTCCGACCCTCTTTGTGCCAAGGCGATCGCGTCAAACAACCTAATCTGCACTGGTCCATGCTGGCAATATTCGTTGAGCATTGGCAGGATTCCCGCAACCTAAACTTTTGACCAAAGAATGGACAGCAAGACAGTCATCACACAGTGCATAGGTGCATGCATCATCAAAACAGGCCAAAGTAGGGCGCTGGACGAATTTTCACCTTTGCAAAGGCCCTTGCGAAACATCTTCACAACAATTCTGTAGGTTTGCCTGAGCTTTCGATGAACACTTTGATCACCATCTCAATACTTGTGCGTTTGATGGAGATTCTAGTCAACCTCAGCGTAGGATAGGGTGTCCGTCTTCATGGTATCAGCAAAAGAACACGCCTTGGGTAGTGTGGAGCGCACAAAGCCATTTGCAAGACGATTTGCACAATAGAACACAGGCCACAAGAGTAGCATGCAATGAGAAACCGGACCGCACAGGCGCACCAAGAATGGCTTACGTGGTAAAATGGGCATGAAGGAGGTTCGAAGAACTCCGGCTTTCCTATTCGATCGTTTCTTCGCAGGAGGCTCCTTATTGTATCCGTGTCATAGATCCTACCAAGCCACAGAGCCATGCCCAATCAGTTCCGTTCCTTCATGGGCGGGATCCGCAGCACGGGGGCGCGCGCCTCGCATGGGTGGCAGCCTTCCCCACCAGTGAAGGCCCATGGACGCCGCGTCTGCCACAAATGCCCCAAGGATTGCCGCCTTGGCCCTCGCTCGGATGGCCTTCTCACGCAGTGGGTCTCCGCCTTTGCCCACGCGCGCGTCCGTTTCGCCCAAACCAGCCCCACGGTCGCTTGGAACACTGCCTCCCAGGTCCGTCGCTTGCGCCCCCCTGTCCACCGCGGCCCTGTGCGTGGCTCCAATGGATCCGGGCAGCAACACGTTGCGGCCAGCAGGCAGGGAGGCGGGCTGAATTCGGTAGGTGACCCCGGACATGCTCATGTACATCAGCAGCCCAAAGCCGGCGGCGGCGCACAGCAGGTGGCCGTAGCTCAGCCCCTGCTGGTGCCTGCTTCTCGGGAAGAGCGGCATCGCAGGCGCCCGCGCAAGGCCCTTGGGGATTGGGAGCGGCCCAACTCGAGGAGTCCCGATGCACCGGGGACCAAAATGCGCACAGTTGGACTGAAGGACAGTCCGGCACGGCACTTGGGGCAAGGCAGACAGGAGACAAGCCAGAAACGGCCTGGGTGTCAGGGGCGCAGTCCTTGAGAGCGGGCACCCAACCCAGCAGTGAACGAGTCATTGAGAGCAATGTGTCTGCAGGATCCGAAACGCAAGTGCTGACGACATGTCATCGGCATCAGTCAGGCGACGGATGAACCGGGTCTACGGTACATAAAGGGCCCCACAGGGGCGTCCGCGCGATGGCCGCCCGCTTTTCATGGCCTTGCAGTGCAAAGCTTGCACACTTTTTGCAGTACGTAAATGGAATTTTACGGGGCAATGGGAGCTGGAAGCAGTACGGTAGACACACAAAACGCATCCAAATGGGGCGTGCTGTCGGCTTGCTGCGCTTTGTGCTCCTCCGTGAAGTTGGGCAATTGTTCGAAACGGTTGTATGGAGGGGTTTACAGCTGGAATAAGGTTGCCTGCTCCAGCTCGTTCCCAGACTGCCACCACCGGACAGGTTCCCCAGAAGCGAACCAATCAGCGACCTAACAGTGCCAAGTTGTATATTGCGCCACACAGTGTCACGTGATAGATTGTGATAGGCGCCATGTCAGAGACTTCTTTGGAGTGACTCGTTTGTTTGCTGGTAGTTTGGTTGTAACTTTGTAAACGCCACAGACAAAGCAAGTGCGACACCCAAAATTGGGCTGAAAACAGCCAACACCACGCCCAGTGCTCTGTCTGTTGCAGTGGTAGTCACGGGAAGTCCTACGTGATGGATTGTTTCATGTCTTAAGAACATTCAGATGCTGCCATCTCTAGTACCCCAGTCGTCCAATGTTCATGGCCACATCACAGGGGAGCTCATGCGGGAGTCTTGCTATTGTTTATCAGTCCTCTGGCATTCTGAACCTACCGTGGTATAAACTTATCCCTCGGCAATTTGACGTCAGCGTAGCCTTGTCTGTCCGCTGAGCATCACCTCCGGAGGAGCCAGTTGCAAGAGATGGGGGTTGTGTGGCCTTGCGAATGGGCACAACGGCGCCTCTGTTGAATGCGCCGAAATACAGGTGGTGATGACAGCTCTGACAGGAGCTGTCAGCCACAGGCACTGGCTGGATTCGTTGTTAAAGAGAAAATAAACGTCATACAATGGACGTCCCCCTCTGTCACACGCCCACTGGGACATGCATCACTGCTCTCCACAATGTGGGCAAACCACCGACACAGCCCAGGGACCTTACTGCACACCTGCTCTGTCTGTCGTCCCAACAGTACAGGTTTTGACAACTACAAAGGCATCACACTCAGCGATTGCGGCCCCTCAGTGCCTGGGGAATGGTCGTATCCTTGTCACTTGCACCCATAGTCTCTCCTAACAATCAACATTCTTCAGCAAAGCCTCCAGGCATTAAATACACAAACCCGCGCAAATTAAATCTGCAGCTACCACCAAATCACAGGTGTCGCGTCCAATAGCCTCATACGCCACGGGGGCGTCAAAATTTGGTACAGCAACAAGTATCCACCTCCATTTCGGACCTCAAATCCCCGCTGCGTCCTACAAATCCAATGCCATGCAACGGAGCCTCAGCAATGGAACCTGATGCCATGACCCTTGCATAAGATCACTCCCAAGAGGATGTGAAAGTGTGGGGCCCTCAACACACATGTCCATGTTGACTGCACAGCTTCCATCCCGCTCCACTCCACGTCAATCCGACATATACAACACCGCCCGTCGGCCATTGGCGTATGAAAACCCAGCAATGAACCACATAACAATAAAAACAGCAGCGGCTACAAGGACTCTGAGGCTGCTATTGCGTCTGGGTTGAGAATCTTGCTGACGTTCGCGTCTGGCCCAAAGCACGCGAGCGAGTCCTGCTTTGAGTTTGAGCCCAGGACAAACAGCTCATGGCTGTCTTCTCCGTCGGTGCCCAACGACATTTGCCTGCCCTCGCCTTCAGTACTGATCGACACTTGGCTGTCACCGCCACCATTGTTGAGGGACACTGGCACCACCTCCCCATCATACGTGGTCGCTCTCGTGAAGGGCGTATTGGAGGCTGGCAGGGGGCAGCTATCAACTTTCTCTACTCCATCATAGTCCGCCAACAGTGCAGGTTTCACGACATCCTTGTTTCGAACAAAGCGCTTAATGGCACTGATTGGGCCACGGAGCTTCTTCACAACGTCTTTAAAGTCGTCCCGACTGTTTGGAAGCATGTCCAACACAAGCACAGACGTGTCGTCTGTGAGCCCGCCTTGCTTGGATTTCGACTCAGCGAAACGAATGAGCGCCTCAGGGACCTCATGAATGCGACTCTTCCTTGCCTGCTTGCAGGCCTGTCTGCTTGTAACGTGGTCCCACAGGCCGTCAGAGGCCAATATGAGCCTGGCACCAGGCATAGGAATCTCCACCTGAACAAGACACACCAGTGGTCAATTTGAGACTGCACAATCATATGGGGATCTGGAGTGGCACCATACGCTGGCAAACGCTGTCACCGCAGCAAAGGACGCTTTGCACAGCATTTAGAGTCAAGTGAGACGAAGACAGCCACACACTGAACAGCAACGCTAAGGACCTGGTCAAAGAACGCGTAGGATTGCAGGAACTGGGTACGGGCCTTCTCAGCTGATGCGGGCAGGCACTATCACTACACTCTACTGAGCATTTCTGCTCCGAGATGGAAAGTGATGATTTGTAGAGAACAGCAGGGATAGAAATTCTTGTTAGGGCAGGAAGGGGGGGGAGAGGCGCCTGCTTTGGCCCCTTTCCCCTGCTGCCTCATCGACCATGGTTGCACGGCAGACATGGGTGCCATCGGCAGCTAACAGAAGTAAGGGCAGCAGATTGCATTCAAGCAGAGCAGTGCACAACAGAAGTGACCAGAACTGGTGGGGAGTGCAACGCCAAGAATCAATTAGGTCCAGGCTGACACATAGATCAGACACGAGTGGCGTTAAGCTGAAGGCTAGACAGCGGATAACAGGGAGCTTGCAAACTGCGTGCAGTGCAACTTCCAGGCTGCTGGTGTCCAGCAACTCCTCAGCACTGTTGGTTGTGCAAGGGATCAGTGCGCAGCACGGGAGCGGAACAGCCATACCTGACGGATGTGTGGTGCAGCAGTAACTTCACACCCACAGTCGTAGTCACCCAACGATCGACTGACTGCAAGGCCACATGGCCACACCCTCAATGGGCCCACACCCCTCTCTCCATCTTCAGCTGGACGGTACAAGTCGATGCCAAGTTGGGTGACCTGCCTGCCTGCATCTTTCAGTCGCTCCTGCTCCTTAACATTGATGTCAATTTTGTGGGATTTTGTCATCTCGACAATGTACTTTCGGCCCGTGTCAAGGAAAGCCTCAGAATCGCCAATGTTGGCAACGGTGAGGAGATGCCCACACACAAGTGCAAGGCTCACAGTGCAACCTGCATCCATCAAGTCAACACTTGCCACATTAGCCATCAAGGGCAACTAGCGGAGTATCAGCACTTATTTGCACAGACTGCAAACACACTCATGCAAAGACAAGGCCACCCAGGCAGCGCACTAAGCTGCAACCAAGGCCTCCAAGGATACTGTGGGTACTGAATGAACAGCAAGACACCAGTCATTTGACATTTCACACCACGTGCTCAGGACAGTGATGGTGGTGTTGCAAGCCACCGAATTCCGGCGCAAAATGGCTGGCAAGCACCGAGCTTGAGTGAACAATGGAACAGACAGGCAAAATACTCCATTCAAAGATGATTGGAACGAATCTGACCAAGCGATATTGTTGCTGTAACACTTACCAACGCTTGAGGACATCGCATGCGCCCCCCTGGACTCAAAGTCTTTGTCCAGGTGAAGGAAGGTATCCACAACCGCCTCCCTCACCTTGTCACCCCATACCTGCCAACCTTAGCACCACATGCACGGCAACTCTCAAACAATGTGGATGTCAGTGATCAAATATTCAGCAGACACATGACAAGCTAGTTTGGTCTGCATGGTACTTAGGCTCATATACAGTGTCGATTTTGTCCAATTCACAAATTTCCATCCACAGGATGCATTGTTGTGGCTTGTCACTGCTTGCTTCACTGATGTTGCACACTCCTCCGCAGTATTGCATTGCAGCAAGGTGTAACCAGCCCCAAATAACCGCCAAAAGGGAAGGGGACTTCAAGACTCTGTTTCTTATTGCAAGAAGACCGGACCAGGGATCGTTGCACAAAATGCACTAAAAGAAAACAGCAGGAAAGAGAGATATTGGAAAGAGGTGCAGGTGGCAACGAAATGAAACAAGTTTGCTGTCAATTCAGGTACCTCCATCAGCAAGAGCAGTGCGCATAAACAGTGGAGCAGTTCAGCTTTCTTCTGTGTGCCTGCACCCTGAAGGTCCATCGTGACAAAAGCAACCCCTTCTAGCACAGCACGAAACACGGTGGCTTCCCATCGCTACAAGGTGGCGAAGGACTTTTCTACATTGGGATGGTTTGGAGCATTGGCACTGGCGACCGCACTGGCTGGGGATGCGGAGTGAGGAAACAGAAGCTGACTGCTGCTCAACAGCTGAAGCTCCGCTTCAGCTGGGTAGAAGTATAACTCATGGCCATCAGGTAGCATGAGGGCCATGAGGCAGCACACTGTTGCGTCGAGGCAGTCCATGTCATTGCTGCTCAACTCCGACGCAAATTGGACTCACAGTCGTTGGTTCGCATTGACCCAACGCCCCAATTCGCACCAGGAGCACTGCCTGGTCAGCTAGCTCCTGCACTGGTTCAGGTGTGGAATACCACATCGCGGCATCTATATCATCTTTTCGCTTCGTTCACTAATGTGTCTGTTCAGTACCCATCACTGGAAGACACTCCACACCGGCCAACTGGCCAATATTCTCTCTGACCGGGCCAAGTACCCCAATGGAGCCACCATTGTTGGTCACAGATGCAGCAGTCCAGTGGGTAGTTGCACTTTCCCACAGAGCACGGCACCGACTCTGCCACCTACCAGTTGTAAAAAGGGGTGGGGGGCATTGTGCTGGCAGCCGCTTGGCCATCTCCCTGGCCAGGTTTTCCTCCATGTACTTCGCGGCGGACCTGCCGCCGTGTCCATCGCAGACACAGTAAAGTGACCACTTGCACATGACCGCCGGATTGGGGCAAAGGTTCTGCAGGTCCTCATGGACGAAGACGACGTCCTGCAGCACAGACACGGCAAGGGAATCATGGTCCAGTGCATCTCCGCCCCATGCAAGGCGCCCCACGTCGAAACGCGGCTGATTGGTGAAACAGGTAGGCGTCAGAAAATTGGCCAACAACATGCCAAAGTGCAGCAGAGCACGCTAACGCAAGGCGGCCCCCAGAGGAATAGGGTCCGGTGGAACCTCGTTGTCCCACTGCGCGTTTTCTTTAGTTTCCTGCCGAGGCACCAGACTTGGCCGGGGCAGGCGGCCGCTGGCGCCATCCTCGCCTCAACGACGTGCGGCGAGCCGCACAGTCCAAAACGATTTGCCCATGGATCTCCCAGCGTCAAACGGTGTCGTCAACGCCGTGTCACCCGCATTCCGGCCATCGCGCCGGCACCAGATCGCGGCCCCCCGCCCGGGAGCAAGTCCATGGCGGGCGGAGCGCACGCGCACCTCGCCCTTGATCTGCTCCTGGGACACCGCGTGCCTCAGGTACACCGCGTTGTTCTCCATGCCTCCGGGGTAACACCCGCCTTCGGGACCGGAACCGCGCAGCGGCACGGCGGGCGGGGGATTCGCCTCCCGAGTGGCACCAGGCCACTGTCGGGAACCTGCGACAGACGCCAGAGGGCCTCCTCAGCAACGGCACGCCCAACGAAAATTGAGCGGAAAGCATGCATGCATGCCTAAACAGAGACATCCGACGAACATCAACGTCGGCGGCGCTGGAGGCTCCGCAGGCGACACCCACAGGCGCCGAATGGCCGTCCCTCCACAAAGCTCAAAGAAGCACAGGGTCCCTCCCCATATGCACTTGCGGCCCGAAGTGTGACAGGCCAACCCCAGTGCTCGCTGCTTCGTATCCAGCCAGCGGTTTGCAATTCGGGGGGCTGGTCGCATCATGCCCGGCCAGTGCCAGAGATGCGAAATGTGAGAATTTTGGGGCGCCAGCTCCAGCGTTGGGGTTCCGACACGCCCGCGAAACGTGAGTTGGACAGCACGGCGGCGACTCCTGCAGGCGCTCGGGGCTGTCACGCACCTGCTCCCGGCGAGGCCGTGTTCCAAGGCTCCTGCGTCCTGTCTGGCTGTGAAAACCCAGGCAGAGACCGCGTGGTGGGATGGGAGTGGGACTTGGTGCCAACTTTGGGTGGTTCCGTGCAGGGCAAGTCACACTTGAACTGACATCATCAGCGCAATTGAAAATGCTGCAGACAAAGGCGGCATTACGTTGAGCTCAACGAACCGCTTCCATACCCCGTTGCCCCGCTGTGAATGGAACCCCTCCCACTCACGTTTTGGAGCCGCTGGTCAGCACATCCCTGAACTTGTTTCCCTTTACGCAACGGGTTTGTTGGTTGTTGTCATTGCCCTTGTTGTCGCGGCTCCACGCGCTCTTGCCATCCCAATGGTTTGTTGATCGAAAGGGATGAATCACCGGCGGTGATGACAAAGCAATGAGGCAACGGGCAATCCACACTGCCACTGTTATAACGAGTGCTGGACACGCTGCGGCAAAGCTTCCAAGGAGCAGCGCATCCCAACGCATCTGCAAGGATATGTGGCTAAAATGTTGGCGATGGTGCCCCGTTTCGTTTAAGGCGTATCTGCAGCAGTGGGCACGGCGCTCAAAGGGTCGCAGCGCCTCCCCGCGAGTGGTTCTTTTCTCAAAAGCTGTGTTACAAACTGCTCATCGGGTACAAAGGGTGTTTGTACGCGTTCAACGTGCTGCCTCCGAGTTTCTGAGCATTCCCCCGTCATTGAAACGCACAATTGATTTGTTTTCCGCTGTCCATTAGGTCGCGGGACCTCTCAAAAGCTCTAACTGCGTCCCTAGCATGAGTGTGGCTCGGAGTCGGCTCCCAGGTGTTCTTGAAAGAATCAAACAAGCCCCACTTCAACAAATACTCCGTGCGGGAAGTGTTGGGGCGTCCAGCACTTAAGGGATTGGATTGCCCTCTTCCTCGCCCCTGGCAAGGGCCCTGGTTTGCGAAATTTCGCTGTTTTTTGCCTAAGTGTTCAATGGCCAGCTGCTGGCCAGAGATGGCGGGTCCAAAATGTGGTTGCTTTGGTGCACTTAGTTTTGATATCAGCTGTCTTGTTGCTGACTGAGTGAGGCTAGGGGGGGGGAGTTGCCCAAAACAGTCAGGAACCCACAACTGCAATCACATGAGTTTCGTTGCCGTCTCCATGAGTTTTGGCACGGCTGTGGGACAGTAGCTCGTACTCAGATTGATCCCGGGTCCAGACACCCCACCAAGCCGTACGCTCTCCAACTCAAAGCCTTCCTAATAGGAAGCATGGGGAGTTCCTATGCGTCGGTCCTCTTGACGATTGTGTTCCAATCCCCAACCCTGGCCCTGCATAGCCCACCCACGAGACATCCGTTTCTGGCACAGCACTCCGACGCGGAGGAAGTCTTTTTTTCGCCTCACCGCCGGCACCCCTGCCCCTCCGCCCCTGCGCCCCGCGCCCTCGCCTGACCTCCACAGGCCGCACGAATCTCGGGTGGGCCGTTTGGGCGATCGCTCGCCATGGCAGATCCCGTGGCCTCCGATTTGCTGCGCTGCGGCTTGGGAGCGGCCACCACCTCGGGCAGGGACCCCGACTCCTGGAGCGACTGGCTGTGGTGGCCCATGCTCATGGTGTCCGCCCCGCTGGCCGCCACGGCGGCTTTCTGGGTGTCCAGGTTGACGTACAAGCACTTCGTCCCCTATCAGGTGCGCGGCGCGCCCTGGTCGCCCCATTTTGCTACGAATGTTTTGGTGGCTTGGGCCGTGCGTCTGAGGCTCCTGCTTTGCGTGCGCAGTACCAATATCGGCCGGGAACGATCAGCGGCTGGGTGGCGAAGATGCTGCAGCGCCACGCGAGCCGCAGGCGGAGTATGGGGCGCACGCGTTTCGCGCGCTGCAATGGGAGAATCGCTGCATCGAATGGAAGCTTGTCATGCGATGGGCGCTCAGCCCTGAGCGATATTGTTTGTGGGGCTGCTTCTCTTTCCGTGAAAGATGTTGGAGAAGCCTCGAAGTGCGCCAGGAAATGCTGCATTTTCACCTTGCTGTTTGTAAATTGGACCGATGCTCGATCCATGCAACGCTGGGCAGATCAGAGCTCACAGTGCTATTTCGGAGTGCGCCAGATCTTGTTGCTTACTTCCAACCTCTGTTCGTGAGCACTGCAAGGGACTCCTTGGATTTGTGTTAATACATGCCTGCTGTTTTCCCTTGTGGGACAGAAGTTCAGCCTATTAGGGTGTACCTCGACGGGTGCTTTGACATGATGCACTATGGACATGCAAATGCTCTACGACAGGTCAGTAGATTTCTCAGGACCGGAGCACACTCATCACCCTGTGTGTCACGTCCCCCTGGATTGGCTTCCCCAATTCCTGCATTTGGCAACGTGACTTTCATGCTCATGGTGGACGCGGCCAGTGCTGGGTTGAATCGGCCATTTTGTGAGCCACGGGTTGGTCCCTGGGCCTTGTGTTGGGTGCTGTATTGCAACTTGCTGCCTTTTCTGTGCCCAGGCAAAGGTGCTTGGGGACGAGTTGGTGGTGGGGCTCATTCCTGACAGCGAAGTTGAGAGGTGCAAGGGAAGCAAGCCAGTGCTGTGCGATGAGGAGCGGTTGTTGCTTGTGGACGCAGTCAAATGGGTGGATGAAGTCCTGACAGGTGTGAACAACTCTTTGAAATCCCTTTCAGGGCCTCTGTTGCAGGATTGCTCCATTTTGCATTGTTGGCTGCAGGGCACAACTGATGATACCAGTTTAATATTGGCATGTATCCCACTGTGACAATGATGTGTGCTGTGTGTTGGGGGTGTTCCAGGTGTCCCATATGAACTGTCTCCTGAGTTCACACAGGAGCTCTTCACCAAGCACAGGATAGACTACATTGTTCATGGTGATGATCCTTGTCTGCTCCCGGATGGCACTGATGCGTATGCTTATGCCAAGAAACTAGGCCGCTTCAGGATGGTGAGGTCCTCAACTATGTATGGCATGTTGTGCTTGTAACAGCTACATCTAGTCACGCTTGCACTTTACACAGTACTTCTTGCTGCCTAATTGTTAATGTTGCCTATGGATCCCTGGACTGCATCTGAACTTGTTTTGGTGCTGTTTTCACTGGAGATGGGGCTGGGCGCAGGCCTTGTTCAGTGCTGCATAACTTCACATTGTTTGGGAATTGACAAGTGCACTGTTGCTGACTTTGCCGGAATGGTTGGAAACTGCTTGTACCTGCGTTGCTTGCAAATTGGTATCCTTGTACAGGCAGTGCAGTCAGGCTTGCATTATATGTTTGAGGCCCTCTGTCGCTGGTATGCAGATCAAGAGGACAGAGGGTGTGAGCACAACTGACATTGTGGGCCGCATGCTCACTTGCACACGTGTGAACAAGTTTGTTCAAGTGGATCCTGCACGAAACGAGGTGGGTGCCACACGGTGAAAGGTTTCAGCAGACAGGTCATTGTTCGAAGGGCAGGGCTTCTGAGAGTTGTTCGCCTGGGAAGTCCTCCCATATGTTAGGACTGATGGTTGTTGCAATGTGTGTTATGTATTTCCACCGCACCCTGTGAGCTGTGGCATTGTGACTGATTGGAAATGGCAGACATAATCTCAGGATAAGTGTGGAGGACCTGAGTCACTTCTGACATCATGGAATCAAGAGAAACATGGCAGTGTGAGGATGTCGTTCACTCCTTCCTGCAGCAGAGTATATTGTGCAACATAATTGTGTGATGCATGGAGTTGTTGTACTTCATGTGCAAACCACCACCCCCAGTGCCAGGTACTTATTCTCCGGTCTCTTCATTCTCAGATAGCTCGCAAGTTCAGCGAGGGCGGTGAGTTGGAAGTTCTGGCATCGGAAGGCAACGGGGATGCGGCCAGGAAGCCTCAGAAAACTGCCGTGTCTCATTTTATGCCCACCTCAAGGCGCATCGTTCAATTCTCAGAAGGCCGTGTAGCAAAGCCGAATGCCAAGATTGTGTATATTGATGGGGCATTCGATGTCTTTCATGCTGGCCATGTTGCAATACTGAAGGTAAGATTGCCACTGGTTGTGCCGTTGAAGCTCCAGCTCATTTAGCTGATGTTCATTCTCCACTGCAATACACACACATGGCAGCAAGTATACAGCAAGAAATGTTGTCCTGGATGTGCAGTCCTGCTGTCTGGCTGCTGCTGTGGCTCTTGCTCTGTCCCTTCTGGCCCATCCTTTCTGGCATGAATCCGCATTGGGCACGATGCAGTGCAGTCCTGCAAGTCTTGCTCAAGCAGTCTTTGGGCGTGTAAACCTTTTTGTTCCCGTTGCCATATTTGTGACGAAGCGTGACCAGGCGTGTGCAAGACTGTGAAGGGCACCTATTGTGTCATCCTTTGTGTCTCCCAAACTGCATTTTCTGTTTGGACGACTGGGAAAAGCCAGAACCTTGGAGAAGCAAGAAACTGCAGCAAGCATGCCCAGTGCTTTAGGAGCAGTGGTGCAGTAGCTGCAAACAGGGTGTTTCCTTGGCAGGTGAAGTGCTCACGATACTGCGTTTGATTCCAAACCAGAAGTATGTGAATTGAATCCAACCTTATAACCTTGCTACCCTGGGAAAATTCACCCAGCCGATCAAGCCGGTGGCTCTAATCGCAAAGATATGGAATTGCTCAGACACCAATGCTCCACACCAATTCAAGCCAGCGGTGGTACTTCTGCCACCCTGGTTTTTCGTTCTTGCGTCTGTTGCAGTGCCCTGTTTGGATCTCGGCTGGCAGGGCTACTGACAGTGCTGTTTCCTTTTGTTCCTCTCACCAGGAAGCAAAAGCGCTGGGAGACTTCCTGTTGGTGGGGCTTCATGGTGATGAGTGTATAATGGAGCGCAGGGGGCCCCACATGCCGATCATGAATCTGCATGAACGGAGCCTGAGTGTTTTGGCTTGCAAATTTGTGGATGAAGTCATTATTGGTACGTCACCAGGCATCCAGGTGTCCTTGGCCACTGGATTGTCTATTAGCTTGTTCATGTGTATTGAGGGTTGGGGCTGTGTGCAGTTGTGGTTGGCAAGAGACTCTTCTTGTTGCTGTTCCATGCCAGGTTAAACGATTCAATTATCACTTCCACACACCTAGCTGTCAATCCAGTGGAGAAATCGAAACTCTATCACCACCCTTTGCTGCATTGCGACTTAATTGAAGCCATTGATGCTGACTGGTCATTGAGAGATAAGTATGCCTTACAGGCCACACAACTGTTTGCATTGAGGTTTGTAGCTCTGGGCTTCCGTTCATTTAGTAATGTGCAAGATTTGATCTACAGGAGTGCCGCCCAACATCACTGAGGATCTCATTCGGACGTTCAACATTTCCCTTGTGGTGCGTGGGACCCTCAGTGAGACGTCACACCTGGGCCCAGAGGAGGCAGGCAGATACGACGTGGCCATAGGGAAAGGAATTTACAGGTGGGAGCTGCATAGGGTGGATCCTTCATGTCATGATGGTCGCAGACTGCAACCACTCTGTCAGGACCTTTGTTGACAACATGGTGCACCAAGGCATGCTTGGGCGTTTGCAGTGACTTGGCCAGTGGGCTTTAGCAGAGTGTCCGATGCCTGCTTTCCATTCGTGTGAGTGATTTGTGTGCAGGGAGATCGAGAGCCCCAATGCCACAACCACAGGGTCCATCATCCGACGCATTGTGGAAAACAACAAGATGTATGAAGCTCGGAATGCAAAGAAGAGTGCGGGGGAGAACTCATACTACAAGGACAAGAAGTTCATTCAAGAACTGTAATCGATCTTCCTGGCCAGGCACTCTTTCGTTACAGATTCCTTGGAGTTGTTCATTAGCACTTGGGATAGTTCTGGGATATTTGCTTCGTAATTGTGCAGTGAAAAATTGCTCTGGAAACAAATTATTACTGAAACGAATACTTTTCTGGTCGGTTTTTGCCGCTTTCCTGTCTGTTTTCATCTTAAGGAGCTGCCTTGAGTCGAGATAGGCGATCTCCTATGTCTGGGATTCTGTCTACAGCTGCAGCTATCCAACCAATATCACAAGAACTGCCATTCTATTCACCTCATACAACCCAGAGGAATGGCAAGAGTTCCACAAGTGGATGCTGCTGGGCCCCTTCCAATGAAGCAACGTTTGTACTAAGCACTTTGACACTTTCTATGTACCACGAATTTCAAGGCACTGGGAGAGTGCCATCGATGGCTGACCACCCTGATGCAATGGACAATCCTGCAACTCCTCTGGGAACCAGTGGAAGCATCGCATGTTCTGTCCATGTTCGGGTCAATAGCCGTGGCCTGTTCAATACCAGAAGCTGAATTCAGCAATGCACAAACTCCTGTTGAGCAGGCACAATTTCGTTGGCCCATGCTGTCTGGTTTGGGCAGTTGCAGCTGTCTTCACAAATCTCGAATCGGTGGCCGAATTGCGGTTTGTCCACTGTTGAAAGGGATGTGGTTGGCTCTGGTGGCAGCTCCTGAAAGGGCTGGAGACTGTTCTATGAATGGCAAAAGTGCTTCTTGTTGCAGACTTTTATCTCTGTTTCAGTAGGGACGTTATCTATCACCAGGTTTCTGTTTCTTATGCACTTGTGGGGGGCGCAGCAGATGATGCCGACCAGTACAGTATGCCTGAATTCTGAACACCAACTGGAGGAACTACTGCGCTGCTGAATACTATTGGAGGCAGCCCTTTTGCTGCGCTGTCCACTGTGATGTGCGGGGAACGAGGCTTGGAATGGAAGTTGAACAATCATTTCTGGGACACAATCGTACCCATGGTAGCCTACCTACAAGGTGCAAGTGCTTTGTTTGACTTGACTATTCTGACAAATGAAATCCAAGGAATTCGTGATCTTGAAGGCACTGCCAGGTTGTTGCTTATGCCATCGTCCGTAGCCTTTTCCATTGGAACGCCAGATTTGGTGATATCTGTTAGATACAGACACTTCGGCTTCAAGGGAGCGTGTATTTCAATGCCTCATCGCCAACGGCGCCTTCGCTACCGGCGGTTGGGTTATGGGACGCCCGCACGCCAAAAACCACATCAACCTCTCCACCATCGGCTCCGTAGGCCCGGGCGAAAAAAACCGCGCCCGCCCTCCCACCTGCGCGCTCCTCAGGGCGCCGTGCCGACTCCCTCAGACGCGTGCCCCCCGGCTCCCCAGTCGCGCCCCGTCTTCACTGTGTTGGGTTTTGCGCGGGCGAGCCCCAAAAGCCAACCTGCCTCCGCGCCCCGACTTGTCATTTCGGCGCCAAAGGACGCTTGAGCCCGCCGGCCCGTCGTGCAGATTGGCGGCTTGCGGGGCTCGCGGCCGGGCAACGTCGCGGGGGCTGACCTTGGGCGGCGTGCGCGGCGGCGATGGGCGTCGAGAAGGCCGAGAGCCCCTGGCGCGGGCTGGACGGCCAGATCGAGCAGCTGATGAATTGCATGCCCCTGCCCGAGGAGGACGTGAAGGGCCTGTGCGACAAGGCGCGGGAGATCCTGGTGGAGGAGTCCAACGTGCAGGCGGTGAAGTGCCCCGTGACTGTGTGCGGGGACATCCACGGCCAGTTCCAGGACCTGCTGGAGCTGTTCCGCATCGGGGGCTGCTGCCCGGACACGAACTACCTGTTCATGGGGGACTACGTCGACAGGGGGTACCACTCAGTGGAGACGGTCACGCTGCTGGTGGCGCTGAAGGTCCGCTACCGGGACAGGATAACCATCCTGAGGGGCAATCATGAGAGCAGGCAGATCACGCAAGTGTGAGTGTTCGGTGGCGTCCGCGTCTCTGTTGCCCAAGGGGCTGCGGCTGGGCGGCTGGGATGCTGAGTTTGGGGATGGACGCCCGCAGGTACGGTTTCTACGACGAGTGCCTGAGGAAGTACGGCAACGCGAACGTCTGGAAGTACTTCACCGACTTGTTCGACTACCTGCCCCTGACGGGCCTGGTGGAGAACGAGGTGGGGCGCCCGGAGGCTCGTGCCCACCACCAGCCCGCCAGATGCGTGGGCATGCCGCTGACACGCGCTCCCTGTCGTACAGATCTTCTGCCTGCACGGAGGCCTGTCGCCGACCCTGGACACCCTGGAGCACATACGGGCGCTGGACAGGGTGCAGGAGGTGGGTGGCTCGCTCGATCTTGCGCCCAGCGCATTGCAGGCCCCCTTGCTGGACTGTCCCGCAGCCAACACACTCGTAATCCTTAAAAACCTGGGCATCTTCTCTCCCCAGGTGCCACACGAAGGGCCCATGTGCGACCTGCTCTGGTCGGATCCTGACGACCGGTGTGGCTGGGGCATATCCCCTCGGGGGGCTGGCTACACGTTTGGCCAGGACATCTCTGAGCAGTTCAACCATGCCAATGGCCTGAGCCTCATATCCAGGGCGCACCAGCTGGTCATGGAGGGCTACAACTGGTCGCATGAGAAGAACGTTGTGACCATCTTCAGCGCACCAAACTACTGCTATCGCTGTGGTGAGTGCTCTGGGAGACCCCACTGCAAGAGGGTGCCGCTTTGGAGGGCGGTGACTTGCACTGCCTGACAGAGTGCTTGCGCTGCCTGGCAGAGCCTTGCGGCGTCCTGCCGTGAAGGTGGCACTGTGGGATGCTGAGGTGCTGGGACGATGTGCAGGCAACATGGCAGCAATCATGGAGACGGGAGAGCAACTAGAAAAAGACTTCCAGCAGTTTGAGCCAGCTCCACGGCGTGGTGAACCAGAGGTATGCTGTTGCCTGATGCTGTGTGGAGTTTATTGGAGACTTTGTTCTGTAAGAATCAAGGCACCAGTGTGTTGACCTTGTGTTGCTCTTGGCCAGCCAAATGTGGCAACATGCGCCTTTTCTGTGCACCACGTTGCCTTGCTGCAGGTTGCTCGTTTGATTGCTGACTTGCTGAATTTCTGCTTCAGGTATCAAGGAGGACACCTGACTATTTCCTGGTGAGTGGAGATCACGATTCCACACAGCTTGACTGTTGCATTGCTGCAGTAAAAATTTCTTGAACTGCTGCAGTTGACTGTTGGTACTTTCAGAGCATCCTGCAGGTTGCTTCCTGCCAATGTGATCTGCAGTCCAGGCAGACATTCATCACATGCATGTTTCTGGAGCAGTTCAGTCTTAAGGAGTGGCCAGATGCAAATCTGCGTCTGCGCTTGAACACACAATGTGTTGTCAAGATGCTGAGCTTGGGCATGTGCTACTGCAGTGATGACATTGCATGCTGTGTGAATTGATTACCTCTGGGGAGCATCGTGCATCTGCTGCACCACTCGGACTCTGGCCACAGCAGTGCCAGTGGGTTACCAGTCATGGAGAGGAGGAGATGTTGGCTGGTGGTCCATTGTTGCTTCCTGCTATTCGTTGTTTGGGGACCGTGAGACCCCAGCGACAGTGCCCCCCCTGCAAGAGAAGTTCTCTTCAGAAGCTGAGAGACCCTGGATCGCAGGTCCACATAATTGGCACCCAGGCAACAGCTTGTGGAAAGTGTCTTGTGTTGGGGGCTGGATTTTTGTGAAGCAGTTCGTTCTAGAGCCTGTCAGCCTCTCTGCACTGACGTGAGGCTGTGCAGATGGTGTCTGGGCTCCTTAGTGTGCAGTTTTCATAGGTCGAGTAGGGCCAGCAAGAGAAGAGTGTGATGAGGATTGTGGGGATGTAGGAAGCGCACTGTGTGTTGGCCAGGCTGTCACTAGCATCTGTATGTCCTTCCATGAGGAGTACGGCTGAGGTGTGTGGAATAGAGAGAATCCTGAACAGGCGTAGAAATGTAGCAGAAGACACTTTGACGTTGGAACATGCATTATATTATGATGCTTGCCTTCCTACCATGAGCTGGCAGCTTGCTGACTCTGCCAGTCTCCGTTGTGCACAATGCTGGCAGGCCCATTCATCTGCCCATACTGTTAAGGTCTGTGTCGAGATTTGACTTGCTTTGGGTGTGACTTTGTCTCAGTGCGTGGCCTTTCCTTTGCAGTAGCGTGCCATGATTGCCCTATTTGGACCTGTTTGATGCGCTGTGTTGCCATGTTACTGCAGCCCATCACAGACAGCGTTGAAGTCCACCATGGGCCTGTTACCAGTCTTATTGCTCTCCTGGCTCCTGTGCAATGCAGGGCTTTTTTTCCGCTGCAGAGTTTGCGGATATTTTACAGATATTTCACGCACGAGTTTCAGGCTGCCTCTGGCGCCGTGAAATGTTCCTGAAAAGATGTGCGCAAGGCTTCCAGTCCAACCCGATCGAAGCATGGATTATGACTTGGCATGACAAAGCGATTGGCGCCAAGAGGTGGGGGTCAGAGCATATCGCCAGTTTGGTGTTAAGTGCGACGAATGGCCATTGTGTCGCCCCCAGGTGGATCAAACGCCAGAATCTTAAGGCTTTCGAAAGCACAACAACGTAGGAAATCCAGGAAAGCGGGGTTTGGCGGCCGAGCGGACACCACCAAGGAGGCAAACATGAGCTCCAAATGTGGAGAAGAATCGAAAGAGTCTTAACTGAGAAGACTGGTGTGGAGATTTCAGATCGTCAGCGTGCAGCCTCAATTGACATTGGCACATCACGGCGCCGAAAACTACGGTTGTCCTCCGCACTCTCTCCCTCGTGGCAGATTCAAAGACGGAGATATCGGCAGAAGCATGGCGCACAAGCAATTCACCCCAATTCAATCCACATGGGTGCCCACGGGGTACTGTTGTGGTGAGCATAATTGCGGGCCTGCGTTGCGATGCACGGCGGGAAAACATGATGTTTGCTCCGACCACCGCCTTGCTGCGATGAACACACTGTTGCAGCTCGCCAGCGCCGTGGACTTGCAGAGGCTGCATTGCTTTGCGCGGTCAAACATGGCTAAAGATCGTTTGTGTGAGACACAGGCAGCCACCTGCTTTCCTGCGTGCTTTGCTACATTGCCACCGACGGCAACGCTCCAGCTGCGTTTCAATGCACTTCACAACACAGGCATTTAATACTTTCGTCTTGGTCACAAACAAATCCCTCCATGCCACCCCTCTCTCAGCATCGGATAGTATTCAAACAAAGGTCCGAGCGTCGTCATTGCCATGTGAGGCCGTACAAAGCCATACTGTGAACCCCTGTGACCCAAAGAACGGGGGATTTGCCGCCTGTGGATTTCTCGCACACATGATGGGCGCCTGAGCGGCTTAGGCTTGTCGCGTTGTCAATTTCGAATGCTTGGACGCGATTTGCTGACAATAGGCCATGGCGTCCCCGTACTTTTGGAATCTGCACACATGAAAAGCAATCATAAAGCCTCACATGAGTCATGTGACATGGCGCATCGGAACAGTTATTGCCGCCATGGGGGTGCGCTCCGAGTGATCAATTGGGGTGTGTCAGCCGTGCATCTTTTGCATTGCTGGAAACACATCAACTTCTGGACACCATGTTGCCGCCAAACACAGTGGCATGGGACAGGACCAGGTTCCGCCCATGCAGGAAACGAAGTGACCGCGCTTTCGACGTTTCGACGCACCCATCCCTGGTATTCGGCCCGGCGATCCGGCTCTGGGGCTGTGGCGGCATCTGCAAGACCAACGGCTGATATCGTTGAAGGCACAACAGGTGAATCCTGTGCTGTGGCAACAGAAGTTTCTCACTAAGTCTTGGCTATCTCCACACTCAGAACTTTCTGTGGGCGCGATTGTCGAAAGCCAGGCACCAGAGCATTGAAAAACCTGCCCCTGCCTCTTGACAAGACCGCCGATGGAAGCCAAGCTGACTGCCAAGCACATGCAAAATTTCTTACCCATCCAAAGTAGTGATGATGAACATAGTGGGGTGGATAGCCCGGCAAGGGGAGGTCTGGACCCTTGCAGAGTGGATTGCCACCTGCTTCTGCTGATGGCCCTTTCCTGGAGGCCGACAAGTCACGACAAACGAAAGCTTCAGCATTGATCTGCAACATGGCGGGGGAGCAAGAATTCCAACTACCACGCACGCCTTGGAGCGCATGCTTGAAAGCCTTTCGTTGCTCAATCTCTCAAGTCTCGGTGTGAGTTGCTTAGAAGCATGGCAGAACCCATGGGCTCCATTCAACAATCTTCGTCGCTTGGAGAGGTATTGGAATTGGGTACCCAAAGCGCTGCTCGCATCGGTGTGTCAAATGAAACAGGTCCATCCGCGTATTGAAGATGACCTACTCACGTTCCATTCAGCATCGCTGTTGCTATGTCTTCTTCCGCTCCTCGCTTTTGAAGGCCGCTCAGATCTTTGAGGGTCTTGTAGGGTGTCATTCCTGCGCAATAAGCAAAGCTGCACTGACACCCCATCCTCTGCGCATTCCAGCAAGTGCTGACAGCAATCTCTCCTGAGGGATGCCGCATGTCCTACATTGCCACCGTGCCAGCAACTGCAGGCAAGGTCAATGGTCCCAAATTCAAGAGCCCGAAATTCAAAGCGCACTATGGCACATTTCTGGCCTCCGACACAACACTGCCCACCTCTTCTAGTTGACGTTAGTAATGTCGGGCAATCGGGCCCAGCCCCCCCTGCCTCGGACTTCTGAAGTCTGCAACACAACCCGAAGCAGCGCGGGTAAGGAGCAATGGATAGGCGCTGAGCACAGCACTGAGTTGCGATGCGTCATGGACGTGATGATGCCGTTCGGACTCGAACAGCATGCTGGTCGAGACCACATACTTCGGAGAGAATTTTGCGGCCAAAGCAATCAAGGGATGCTACATATCAAGGCGCGATGGCAGCCACCAGATCTCCGGTTCGCCTGGCGACAGCAGTACCCAATCTGCTACGCCAAGACTGCCAAGAAACCTGTGATGACTGATTTTGCCGGGGATAATGTATGTGACAAAATACAAAGGAAACGTCTAAATGCTGGACACGCTTTTGAATGCAATATTTTCTTTGATGGATGCATTGGTTTGGTATTGCCAGGCACTTCAGTGGTGTTAATGCGTAATCGTCGAAATCTCGATGCGGTCTTAGCCATTTGTTCTTTCTGAAAGCTGCACAAGTGGGAATAGTTGAATTCTAGAAAGCACCACGTATACGACAGTTCATTTTAAAAATATTGCATACCAAAAGAAGAAGTTCGCCTATGTCGATTTGTTTCATTACTTAATTTAAGCAGCGTGGCGCATGGTTCTCTCTAAAATGCAGCCAACGCGCAACTCATTGTGCATCTGTATATTAATTGAATATTCAGTGTTAGTTGACATGGCGTTCACCTGGTTTCTGTTCGCACCCATTTTTTCAAATGGTCTTGCTTGTATTGCGAGAAAATTCCATGGCCTGAGGTTGTCTTGCTGTTTTCCCAGAGGCGTCTGGACATTTTGCCTCACTGCAGAGCTGGCACCATGCCCTGATTCGCACAAGCAAGAGAATGGCAAGGTTTGACTTTGTGAATAATCTCCAACGTCATCCACTAGAGTCCCTAAGCTCAGGCATTCGTGGACACCTAGGTATTCTCCCGCATTCTTCTGTGATTGCGGAATGCAGACCATAGTCTATGCACAAACAAGTGGCATGTGCATTCGCCGATTCAAGGTAACCATGCAGTTGATGGCGTTGACTTTTTTTGACTTTGTTTGACTTCGTTTGGCTCGTTTAAAAACGAAGCAAGCATTATTGGACATACTGGACATGCAATGTGCACCTCACCACGTTTGTTAAGCCTTCGCGCCACCTGCATGCTGCACGAAGACGGATTCCTTATCATCTCGATATACAACGTTTTTTTTATGAATTCAAATAGATATCGATGACCTTCATTGGTTTAAAACATATCTCTCGTTATTGATAATGAGGAGCGCTCTTGGAAATGCAATTGTGAACTTCAACGCGCTCATATAGTCTTAACAAGAAATCTTAAACATCAAGGTGACATAGCTAGACATCGACTCCTTATTTTCCCGTGGAAAATAGTGTCCACAAACTACTGAGCTATTACCCAAGACATTGCTACAATCCAGCAAGCCACACTGAGCTTATATCTACTGGCTCCAACAAAATTTTGAGGTAATCAAGCCTTTGTGGCAAGTTGTAGTATAGACGCAAGGACTCGCAGGATGCCAGGAAACCAATGATTGCCATAGTCAACGGTTCTAATCCATTCTTTTACCTTTTTATTCATAGTTGTGTGTCTAAGTCCCAGAATTGAGATTAGGAACAGCTTTTAACTCGCCGGGCCAGCCCAGTACCGCCCCCTGAACTGTTGCAAGAGATGGCATATACTT